AGGCCATACTAACCGGATCTTATAATCTATTAAAAGATTAGATGGAAAAGATCTCTATATTAACTATATTACTATATATATAAATATATTAATTCTTTTATAATATTATATAAAGGGATTAATATATCTGTCTATAATTTGTTTAATTTAGCCCATTTAGATAACCATATTACTAATCACTACACATGCTTAGCACTAGTAACTTCTATTCCTTTTAACAAATTATATATAATAATAGTAAGAGAAATATTATATCTTCATTTCTAGTAATTCAAAAACAGATATATCTTTTCAATTAATATATAGAAACTTATTAAAAGGAATAGAAGTTACCGGTGCTAAGCACGTGTAGTGATTAGTAATACGGTTACCTAAACGGGCTAGATTAGACGAACTATAGACGGGTATATTAGTCCCCTCATATAATACAATGAGAGGATTAAGATACTTATACGCGTAGCAAAATAGTTAATATAGAGGTCTCTTCTACTTAATCTCTTAATAAAACTAATCTTTTTGTAGATTAGACTACCAAATCTATAAGTAATAAATAAATAAATAATAAAACAGAATTGAAATAATTAAAACACTTCAATTAAATATAAAAGAAATCAAACCAAAAGAAAAGAAAATATAGAATACTAATACTAAATGGGTATAAGAGCTATGAATTAATATTATTCTAGAACTATTATAAGAAGAATAATATTAAATATATACATTTACTATCGCATTCAAGTTATTTAATTCAGTCTCTTAATATTGAATATTTTAATACTTTAAAATAAGAGTATGGTATACAAATTGAGGGGTTTATAAGAGTATATATTAATTATATCTTAAAGATTGAATTCTTTATAGCTTTTAAAGCTGTATATCAATAGTCAATTGTAAATCAGAATATGAAATTAGAGTTTCAAGGAGTAGAATTAATTATATTTAATTTTGAAATTATACTTTCTAAATTAAATATTTGATTTTATATACCTACTCCTCTTTCTATCAATTTAGATCTTTAAATCTCTTAAATATTTTATAATTCTATAGGAACTTCCTTTTCATCAATATTAATTAAATCTCGAATAACTTATTATTAATCAAACTCTTTTATATTTTCATTTGAAATTATATTAATTCTAATTAAAAATATATAAAAATTAATATATAAGAATATATTTCTAAATATAGAAAATTGTATATTTTAAAAGGCTAATAAGATATTAAGCTAATATCAATATATAAAAAAAACATAAATATATTAAGGGAAAATATTTACTAAACAGAAAGCTATAAATATATTATTTCAATGAAAGATTGATATTTAGATTTGATATAATAAATATTAAAATAAAGGGAATTCTAATATAGAAATATCCTTTAATTGATATTATAGTAAATATAAAAAAATAGATTATAATATAAAAATGTATCAAAATAATATAATAGATTCTAGATTATTAGATTTTTAATAGTTTTAATTAATTGATTTAATAAGTATTGAATGAAATAAATTTAAAAGTATAAATTGAGATGAAAGTAGATTATATATTAATATGAGTTATGTACTAATAAATTATATTAATATATTTGCTTATAAATAGATTATAATTAAAAATAAGTTTTCTCTAAGAATATTTTTCTTTCTCAAATTTGAATATAATAATTTTAAATAATAATAAATTTCGATATAATTAGTTATTATATTATATTAAGTTTTGATATAATAAATTTTTGTTTTCTCTCTATTCAATAAAGAAATTAGAAAAAGTCTATAATTATATATACTTTTTATATATCATCTCGATTTTAGTATATTTTAATCTTATTATATAATAGTTTTATATAAAGAAAGATAAAGAATTCTTTTAATTAATATAACTTTAATTTAATATTATATATATCCTTTCACTTGGATTTCATCCTTAATAATTATAAAAATAATATAATTTTGAAATAATCTCTAGATCTTGAGATTTATTATTTTGATTATTTTCAAAGCTTTTTATAAAAATATATTATAAATCTTTTCTTTAAAGTAATTATACTTTTTATTTTCAATATTATTTTTTATTACTTCGGTTTTTATATAAAACGTTTTTTTAGTCTATAATATTCTAGTTATATAATAAGATTTATAATATTATAAAAGACTTATATTTTTATAAATAAATTAAAACTTAATATTTCAAAAAAAAAGTTTTTTATATAACAAACTAATTTAATTAACTCGATTCACTATTTAGAATCAATAATTAAGAAAAGAAGAAGAGAAAAAAGAAAAAAGATAAACTTTTTCTTAAATATTTGTATAATAAATAATTAAAAAGAATATTTTGTAATTAAAATAATATATAATTCTAATTTATAATCAATTATTATATTTAAAATATTAAAACTAGAAGTTATATAATATATTGTTTTCAATCCTAGTTTGTTTTATAAAAATTTGAAAAGATTACTCTTGATATTATATTTAATAAATAATAATATTATAAAAGAAAAAACTTAGAAAAGTTAGTAGAAAAAATGAAGGTTATCTAAAGAGCTTTACTTGATATCTCACCACCGATTAGTGTTTACTATACCATTAATAAATCTAGAATATTAAAACTTTAACTTTACTAATAAATTTATTATATATATATTTTAAATAATAAACTAATTACTTTAACTATAATTATTGTATAACTATGTATATATTATGTAATTTATAATAATAATAAAAGATCTAGTTAATTTAAGCTTAAGGGATAAATCGAATATATATATTCGAATTAAATTGAAATCAATCTATAAAAACTAAGCTTATTTTAAATTAAATTGCTTAGTTTTTCTAGGTTTTCTTTAAAGAATATCCTAGGTTTATATAGTTTATAATGAAATTCTAGTATATTCTATATTTCTAAATAAGATTGATTTAAATCAAATTCTATAGAATCATTTTATATAATAATAATAAAATACAATCAATTGAATTTAATTAATTTAATAATAATCTTCTATATATTTCCATTTGGTTTTATTTTATTATAAATCGATTTGATAAAAGATACTATTATATAAATATATGATAATATAATTTTATAATATAAAATCATATTATATATATATTAGTCATCAATATATCTCTTAATTAGTAAGATATTAATAAGTAATTTAGTAGACTTATTATGGATTTTCACATTATCCAACCTCAAGTATATCATAAAGTTCAAACGAGCTTTTGAATCGCCTCCTGAAGTTGTCGTCTGGATCCGGGGCTTTTACATTGAGACTGGCACAGATATTGGTCTCACTGTATCCGCGCATGAAATTACCCAAGGTAACTTTGAGATCCGCATCGACCCCAAGGGCAATACAAAACTTCATCGTGTCATGGCGACATGGATCGCATATCCCAAAGATAAACAGGGTATCTTCAGTGGCAGCACAGTAGGCCAACATATGAAAGTGTGGCATGGGGAGAAAGACAATCGTCGAGGCTACTCAGAGAGATTTGACCTCACAGATAGGCTGGAGCAGCAGGGTTGTGATAGGACAAAATTTCGCGTTTGGGCTAGGTTGAATTCCTTCGATATTAGTGGAGAGCGTAATGTCAGGTTACACACAGAAGTGGAAAAATGGGCCAAGATGTCTGTGAAAACAGTTTTTGGATCCATATGAAAACTTGGAATGATACTGATTGCCGCTCTGCAAGCTCCTCGTATCTAGCAGTATTTGAAGAAGGATAGAAATCCCAAGGGATAATTACTATTAATACTATCAAGATTTATTCAAATAGACAGAAGAGGGCTATTGAAGGGAGATAGGGTGTACACTCCGCTCTTCTGCGAAAAATTCTTAGCACTTCTTGGAAGAGGTCTGCGTGTGTGTGTACAACGTACTTGTACAAAAAAAACCAAACATAGATATTGTTTCGACACGAGTGAATATACGCCCGTTAGCGCTAGCTCACTAGCACACGCACGTATTGCATGTAGCTTTCGTAGCTCTAGAACCTTGAAGAGATTAGACACAATATCAATCAATACAGCATACCTATCATGAAGACTTCATAATCACCACCGAGGTGATACCAACAGATATCTATATCTTATAAGAATATTACAAGAGCTGCTTCTAGGTTCACGTGGAAGTCTCTAGAAATTTCCCGAGGTAGTTTAGACTAAGCGTAAATAGGAAATGGATATAATTATAAATGATTCCAATTCTCGTAACTATAATAATAAGACTAATGATTATTCTTGAATATGAAGCTCTATATACCAAGTAAATCCTGTCCATTTTATAGACCTTCTTACTTTACTAGATTCAGAGGTTACTTTACTTTATATGCGAATATTACTGGGGGAAAAAAAGGATTTCTGGCTCTTATTTTAATGTCTAATACTATAGATGATAATTATTTGTATGACTAAATCCAGCCATGCTGGCTATGAAAACCGATGAGGAAGTTCTACGCAGGGCCTTCAACGGCCATGCCTATTCCATTGATATTCTAAAGTAATTTAATAGGGAAAGCAGCGCGACTTCACTTTCTCGATCCCAGGAAAAGTGAGACTATCTTAAGTGATCCCCAATTCAAACCAGAATCTATTCAAAGAAAAGTTGAAACTATAAGTCATCTTAATAAAGCTTATAAAATAACAATTGCAACACCTGATCTTTCTGCCTCATAACATATCATTGAAGAATGTGTCCGAAAAATCTACACATCAGGTCGATTTCAAATTTTAATCTTCTTATCAAGCTTCAACTACTTCTTAGCGTAGGAAATACGAATTTAGAACCGCCACTTGGTCGCTCTCGTTCTGAAGAAGTAGATTATATCCAAAATGACATTGTTCGGATAACAAATTTTTGATGAATAAAGAGTTGGTATTAAAGTATACGAACAAAATTCAGCGACGAAAATAACTAATGCCCCTCCCCTTAGCTCAGATAATAGCGATAGATGTAGCTTCTCTAATATTATTAAAATGAAAACAACAACATTTCCGCTAACAATAGGTACCGGTATCTGTGATGCCGATACGTCTAAACGTGTTATCGACATCAACGTTGCCTTTCTTTTCGCTGACCTTCTGCAATATCAACACCACTCCTGACTCTATCCGCAACCCTTGTGTAGTAACCAACAAACCATATGTCTCTCCAAAATCATATTCTGGCTGCCAGCCATCGACATCCAGATCTCTCTCCGAATAATACATCGTAGAAAGACCTCTGTGGGTCGTGTTTAAATCCGAGGCAGCAAGAAGTTAGCGAACGTCTCGTGCTAGCATTAATCTCCTACGGACCTTTAGCATTCCTGAAGAGACCGCCCCATACGGACTGTCTCCCTCCACTGTACAGGTGATATCTTCAATTTCGAAAAGATGATCTTGTAGCTGTTTCCGGTCGTCCAGCTTGGACGTCTTCCACATGAGCCACCGTACAACGTTCTCATTGTTCACCTTATATTCCAATGAAATTGATGCCCAAGACCAAGTTGACGCTACATAAGTTTGAGGTCTTTTGATCCTACAAGGGTTGGTATCCCTATAAGTTCCATCTGTTGACCAAAAAAATGCGAAAACTCCGCTTTCGCTCCATATTCCAGCTCGATACTTAGTCATCTTGGAGTAAGAAAGACAGCGCAAGCGCTCAGCAATGCGGCTTGCGATTTCAGAAATAGCCGGAAGGCGATCTTCTTCCTTTGTCAGCCGAAGGGCGCTATAAACACGAACGCGTATATACCAATCAACTCGCGAGTCGTATGATGTTCAGCAATGTGATTCTCAATCATTTTACATTCACAACATCGCCCATTTCTACACTCCCAAATAAGTTCGCTATCATAAAAGCTCACAGTTCTTGGCGACAGAACACGTTCCTGGTAAACCCATGCGCGTGAATCGAGTGGTGCTAGCGGCAAATCTTCGCCCCAGCGACCTCCCCTACGATAAGAATTCAAATGAGTGTTTTTTAAAGATGGCAGGGTGTATATTGGCCTGCCAACCCATTTACAAATAGATTCTGATTTGTCAACAAGAGGTTGTCGTTCGAAGGGCGATATTATTAGCCCGTTCAACGATTGAACTGGACGCATGGATGCGTATCGAGTATTGAAAGTCCTACATGACTGTCAGAGCTGTGAGTAGCAGAAACATTTAACAATGATCCAGCATAAATATCCGCCATCATTGCTGACTGTTGTTGTCAATCAGAAGGGTCATCTTTTACAATACACAGCGAATCTATCCATATGTGTTGCATATCGAGCCCACCTGTAAGGAGAATTGCATCTTGAAATGTTTGAGGAAGCTTAGAAATAATGATTTCCTCCTCCATGTGCTCATCGTAATTGTGCGATGTTGTTCGGGCAACTCTAGACGCAATAGGACCCCAACAGTGGCTTAGTGTTGCATACTTTATTTTAGTCGTATCAACCCTCTCGATACTCCTTGATTCTACTAGCCGAACTTTTCCTGTGATAACAAACTCCTTCACATCAATTAGACGTCTTGGTAAAATCGTTGTTGACGTTTCGATACAGCTTTTATGTTGCGTATAGCATTTTTTCAGCCAAGACGTTATGAGAGCCAAGGCAAAATTCAAGTCGATTTTTGGGATGATGTGCGGTGAGATAATGAATGGCCTTGACGACAGGTCCGGTTCCTATTGTTCTATATTCGAATCTATCTCCTTCAATCAACTCAACTCTCGATACTCTGTAGCCGTACGAATTAATACCTGGTAGCTGATAGAAGTCTAGATCCCCCACCTCTCCAGTATATTGCAAAGAGACATATTTGGCATAAATATAAGCCTTTATTGGCTGTACTTTCGAATCATATCTGGCAGAGCAATACTGTAGCACAGCATTCCAAACAATTCGGCACCGTAAACAAGCAGACAATTCCTGATCTCGGGGAGTCAAGTACAAGGTAAGGGCTAGTTTGGATATACAAATCCGCACTGAATCCACTGAATATTCCATACTTTTTGAAAGCAGATTTTGAATTTATATTTGGATATTAAATTGTGGATTTTATTAAATAATTTGTATTTTAATAAATTTAGTATATTTTGAAATAAGGAAAGAATAGATTATTCTAAAATAATATTAAATAATTCATGTTTTTCAATAAATTTGTATAAGAAAATGAAAACACAAATTGAAAACAAGAATTAGAAAAAACTAATTTTATTGAATCTATTGAAATAATCCATTTTTTTTATAAACTTTTATAGATTTTAAAACCTAAAGCTTTAATATATAAAATCTAAAATTATAATAAATAAAATCTAAAGCTATAGGTTTATTTTGAATTAGAGTTTATAATTATATATAAATTTAAATAAAGTTATTTTCATATTTATTTATTTAATTATTCAAATAGTAACAATATATTAAAAATTTGAATTATTTTATTTAGTTTGTATACATATTATATATATATTTTACTTTTTTTTATTTTAATAAATTATTTAATGGATTTGATATACAAATTATAAAACCACAGATCAATAATCCACTCTTTTTGAAGCAAATTGCTATCATTGTGGAATCCATAGTGATACAAAAAGCAGATTATTTCAGCGGATTCAGCGCGGATTTTGCAATCAAACGAGCCCTAATGCTCTCTTTTGCAGATAATTTGCCGCAATACTCGCACAGCATTTTAGGTTGGAGAAGATGACAGAGTGTTCGCGAGATCGGATGATATGGAAGTATAGACAGTTGGTTTGGATGAGAAGCATCATTGAATAACACGAAAATGCAAGAATGGGAAGTAAAAAGGAGAGGTGTAAGCTGACCTTGGTTGTATGCATGTTTACCCCACTGCACTGACGCAACAACAAAAAGGTTACATTCAATCTATCGACATCTAATTAAAAACCCGATCTCATGAGATCTCACAGCCTCAGAACCTCAAAACTTTCCTTATCAACTCCCCTCACAAGCATAGCGAGGTGTATTTCAGCATGCCACAGGCCATCGACGACAGGTTATACAATAGTTCGGACTACCGTCCAACAATACAGAGTTTTGAATATCCAAAAGCAATTGAAAATTCGAAAATGATTCAATATTCTAATCCAATTCAATGTTTTAAATGATTCAAACATTCTAACTGATCTAGATATTTGATGATCTTTATTGTTGCATTGCAGTCCGGACCATCAAACACTCTAATCAGCGATCATTTTTATTACCTCCAATTTCAATACCCTGACTTTTGAATGTAAGAACCATCAAGATTTGTTCAATTCCTATTAGAATAGACTACTAATAGTTCGTTCTCTCTTCGCTTTCACTAGAATGCGGAGTGGAATAAAAATAAACGGGCAGAAATTTCAATACAGATGGCTACGACAGGAAGACAAGACATGAGATGATACATGTAGCAATCTCTTCATCGCACTACTTCAAAACATTCTGATAGGAATTTCGCAAACTATTGATGTCAAGATTTCCCTGAGCGATATCCAAGATGGCTCAGGCTGGAACTAGAATTTCCAACAATGGAAAGTTGTGGTAAGGATGGCTGGTTTTGGAAGAGGTGGAATCTGCTTTGAGCATGAATTTGCGATTGGTCTTAGGGCTCTGGACATGGTGACCTCGTAACTTCCATCTTGAAACATCTTTATATCTTCTCGCTACGATCTGTCCGGATTGTGCGAATTGTTAGTGCGCTAGCAGTTGTTACGGGCTAAATTTAGGTGCTATCGGTCTATCTCTCGGCATGGATGGGACAAACATTTCGCCGTTCTAGCGCTTCAAACGCGATGTACGCGCGTGCGTAGAGTGGGATACATCTATATAATTTAATATTCTCACTTCAGACGACGGGGAAGACATAATGAATTACAATCTCTAAACCCTGCATATGTATTATCTGAACACATCTAATGAAGTCTGTCCAACGCTATATTAAGTAAAGGCGACTTAGAATTTCATATTATTTTCTACTCCATTGAAATTTAGTAGTTTTTCATAATGGATTTCTCGCAAAATTCACAAATTGATTCTTGAATTTCAGAACGATTCAATAATCCAAATCGAAGAGATGATAGATTAGCAAACTACAAATGCCAGATAGCCTAGACACCCATTCTAATTCTAAGAGATAACAAGTAAAACAAACGCAAACGCCGTCCATAAAAAACTACCTATCCTCTGTGAGATCCTCTACCAGTACTACCAGTTGCAACTCCTCGTGTTTTTCCACTCGTAGGGGCCTTTTTCTTTGTATCCCTGTTTGCTGGCTTATCCGTTTGTTTCTTAGCCTTTTCTTCATTCTTCTTCCGCTCTTTTTCTTCGTTTTTTGATGACTTATCCGCCTGTTTCTTAGCCTCTTTTTCATCCTTCTTCTTCTTTTCTTCTTCAGCCTTCTTCCGATCTCTAACAAGTGGGTAGTTCTCAAGCTCTTTATATTCCATGATCTCCGATGCACTTTCCGTATACGTCCCATAAATCTGGCTCCAAGCATATAGACGACCTCTCAAGTGCTTGAATTCATCTTTATCAACCCGTTTATTAAGCAGTGCTCTCAAACGAGCTTGATCGATATATCCCAGTTCTAGGAGGTAATTACCGTTGGCTTCAGGATTAGTAAGTAGCTGATAGTGGTATTCTAGCTTGAGTTCGTTCTCAAGTCGTTTAGCCTCTGGTATGGCAGAAGCTGCAGCAGCTATATTACCAAGACGTCCCATGATGGAAAAGTGTGGTTTTAAGTGGCTTTATATATACGTGTGTATGTGTGTGCACGGCGAATGTAAGTGAGCAAATATAGAAGAATAATATTAGAGAGCTTGATTGACTTTGAAGATAATGATGTTGATTTTATTTATTTGAGAGATTTTGATGGAAACCCCCTCTTTTTATATCTTTTTAATTATCTTTCTCAATTATCTTTTCAGTATCTAAACATTAAGGTTATTCAAACGGTCTTGGAAAATCCAGGTCTAGATACCGAACTCATCTTTGTAGACTCATCCTACTAACGTAAGAGACCGTTATAAGACGTGTTAGACCCTATGTCTAATTACAGGCATCAACGATATCAGAGGGTAAAGGCAGGGTATGAATTGAACAAGTAATATTCTAACAACAGAAAAAGAGATACTAGAAAGACTAGAAAGAGTATCCAGTCATAGTGTGAGTAACTAAAGTGTTTATATTACTTGATTCTATCAGGGTTTTGGTTTATTCTGTAAGCATTCAAACTTCTTTAAAACTTTATATATAAGTCAACTACCCCACTTTCCGACCACCCCCTGTTTCCGATCACCTAAAAAAATCATATTATTCATACTTAAAACTTTAATAACTCAATAACTATTGAATTTCAATAAAATCACTTATAAAATCACTTTCTATAGCACTAGAGCTATTATTTCTTTCAATTTCATAATCTCTTATTTCAATTTGTATACATTTTATAGCTTTAATCTTTATAAATTTCGAATTTGGAAATATTATAATCTTTCATTTTTTTCTAAATAATATTTTATTTAATTGATATTTTAGTTTTCTAATTTTATTTTTTGTTTTTAAAAGTTTATAATCTTTAATATTAAATCCTTTTATAATCTTACAAAATAATAATCTTTATATTAATAAATCAATCTTTTTTTCTTGAATTATTATATCTCTATATTTTCTAATATCAATTCCTTTTTGAGGAGTTTTTTATTAAATAAATAATAAATATATATTTTATTAAAAAATAAAATTATTATTAAATTCAGAATTAAATAATAAAACTTTTTTATTATTATTTTTAAGCAAAAATTGATTTATAAGAGATTTAGTTATATTTTTAAATTAAAGATTATTAGTTTACTATTCAAACTTAATATTTTGAATAATTAAATCTTTTATTTTAGCCTTCTAATAGCAAAAAAGGAAATTGTACTTTCTAATTAATAAGGAATTGGATAATAGATTTAATTTATTAAATTCAATTCAATATATACTTTTTAAAAATGAAAATATAGATAAATTAAGTGATTGTAGTATATATAATATATATAATAAAAGAAATAAGAAATATATATTATTATTAAAGTATTCTGATATAAATATTGTAATTTTATAATTTCTATATTCATTCAAAATAAGAAGTTTTGAATTTTCTGATTGAATAGAGATAATTTAAGGGATATAGATCTTTTTCAATTATTCTAAAGCTATAATATCTATAATCCATTTATTTTCTATAATAATAAAGTTCTAATCCTTAAATAGAATCAAATTAATTGGAAACTATTATTATTGAATTAATTTTTTCTTATATATTATAAAAAGAGTAATACTTTTTTTATTAATTAAAATATATTTTATAAAAAAAATTCAAATTTGAGATTCAGATTACTTTTTTTGAATAAATCTTTGATTAATACTTTTTATTATTAGTTTATTAAAACTTTAATTTTTTATTATATCTATTTTATTTATATTTCATTTATTAGCTAGTTTAATAGCCTTGATTTTAGAAATTGTGAGATTTCGAAACTACTTTTTAATAATATTAGATATAGTATCTAAAACTTATATAGAATCGATTTGATATTATTTCTTAATTTCAATATTAGAATATTTTTAAAAAAAGCTATATATTCATTTCTTTTTAAATAAGAGATTCTTTTCTTATATAATAAAGAGATACTTTATTATTTCTTTGATTTAATAATATATAAAATTAATATTAAAAGCTTTCTATATTAATATTTATTTTATTAATTGATTTTTTTGAATTAGAAATAACTTTTGAAGTATTTGAATATCTTTTTAATATAAAACTTTATTATATATTTAATTATAAAATATAATATATAGAATATTATAATTCAAATTAGCTTTTTGTATATTTATTTTATTTATAATTATTTTAAAAATCTTTATAATATCTTTTTTTGATATATTTATTCTTTATATTACAATTATAATAATATCAAAATTTCAAATCAATTAATTAAAGTATTATTGAGTTATTCAAAGTGTAAATTTTATAATTACTCAAAGCAATATGGTTTTTGAGATGGTCGAAAAGAGAGGGTGGTTGGAAAGTGGGGTAATTGACTTAGATACTATATTTTGATTGTACTTATTAGCTACATATTTACAGTTTGTAACTCAAATACCTGTTGAGAAGAGATTCGCATACTAATATTATACAGATAGAGCTAATCCTACTCTATACTGATGAAACTCTGATAATTAATAAAATCTCATCTTATAGATACTAAAATATTTATTGGATAGGAGTAACATAATCTACAGCGTTTCAAAGTCTCAAAGTCTATTCTAAGCTTTCTATTGCATCCTATAGAGAGTTGTGAACTTATTAATAGATTGCGAGACCGGGTTCGCACCCGAGTTGGAAGAGACAAAACCACGAGAAGACGGAGACCATGACCGTAACGGTAACCGCTGCCAAAGTTATAATTGGAATCAGAGACCTTGTAGTTCGAGTGGACCTAGAGAATGCTTCTTATGAAATGAAGCTCATCATGTTACTTGTAATCACTCTTACAAAGCAATTATTCAAATCTATTTCAAGAACGACTCGATCAAAAATTTACCTCAATCGTTGACATTGTCGCGAATCTTCACTAGGAAATGCTTCTTCCAAGCCGGCGCGAGAGTATGATTGTTTAAGAAGCTCTTCATCACCCGAGTAAGTTCGCACACCTATTATTAAACGGCAATACCAGAAAATGTATTGTAGATAGTACTCATTATACGCAACTAATCAGTCCCACCTCCTATCGAACTAAAATTTGAAATCACGCAAGATAAGAATTGGCAGAGGAGAATTGAGCGCAATAGAATATAAATAACAAGAATCAGACAGAAGAAGACTAATAAATGCAGATCGAGAGGCCTTTATGTGTCAGGTTTGAATATAAGTTTACTATCTATAAGATCTTACTAGAGTAATGAGAGTATACAAAAATAAAAATATATATTTCCGAAGAGGAGGGAAATTATAATATCTAAAAACAATTTTCAAAGCATCTATATAATCTCAACTACCTTTCGTAACAAATCCGAAACTACAATCTCAGATTTCGAAGTCAAGAAAGAAGTTCCCGTTGAGATTGAAGATATTACACATATACAACGAAGATAAAACTGATCAAATAGAACTTCAGAAGACCCCCTTGATAGTCACTACTATCTAATTGCTTCTATAAAACGAAAACGTATTTAAAGCCTTAGAATTCAAATCGTCTTATATAGTCTTAAATTGAAGAAGAATCCTAAATAAATCAACAAATAAACAGATAATATAACTAAGAGTGGAGAGTTCTCTCTTTCTTATTACTCATTCTTAGTCTAATCATCGCTTTTTCCGACGAGCGAACTCATTTTAATTCTTTCGATTGATTAGATAATGTAAGTGATACAAATAATTCCGAATAGTTTAAATAATTTGAACACTTTCAATTATTTCTATTCCTATATATCCCATCCAAAGATTCTCCATTTCTTCAAATTATCAATACCAGCAAAATCCTCATTCAAATCACGTGCTCCTTCACCCCAGCAAGCCCCCTAGCTCACAGCACCCGTGTTTGCTTATATATATACCTTTTTCTGGCTCTGACCACCATCAAAAACATCCTCCAAAATGTAACGAACGGGCTTGTGGTTTAGTGGTATAATGTTCCCTTAGCATGGGAGAGGTCCGGCGTTCGATTCGCCGCTAGTCCATCTTTTTTGTTTTTTTTTTCCATCCCCATAATCCTCTCTCCCCAATATTCACTTTTCCATTTTTTCCGATCAAATTAGGTATTATTTCGAGGTTGTTACATGGTTGTGAAGAGTTACTTTTTTGGATGATGCTGGTGGTGGGAATAATCATCCCTCTTCTCTTTTCCCTTGCGTGGATGTGGGGTAAGAAATAATTTTATGGGGCGGGTGGGCTTCGCTTGTGGTTTGCAGTCTCCTATCATTTTGTTGTGTGGTGTTAGATTTTTCTTGGGGGGGCTGAAATAAAGATATAAGATCGTATTCTATCATTTAAGCAAGGGATAATGGAAATGTAGAGTTTCACGCAATTCTGATTCAAAACTCCTCTCTTCAAGCCACCATTGACAGATCTTTAACCTCAATTTTGGATTCTGATTCATATCAAAGAGCTCCACATACATCATTTTTTGAAAGCCTGTTTTTTAAAGCTCGAAAGTAAAATTTTGCCCAACATGATAGAACGTATGCCACATTTTTGAACGGCATACTTCTCTTCTCGGCTATAGATTTTGAGTTGTACTTCTTCAAGCTCATGTCTCACCACCTGCTATATTTTGCATTTGTCATTCACGCACATAGTAGCATATTGAAAACAATAAAATTGAGTGAAAACTCTGTTTCCATTATGCTTTTCATATTGTTCATAGCTCAGGGTAATATTATACACACTATACACACTATACACTTTCTGACATCTTCCCAAAATTATCTCCATGGCCAATTATTTGACCTCCATTATCCACTCCCTTGAGTGCTCCTTCGTATCAAATTTGTAGAACCTCAACTCAAGATCTCGTACGTCAGAAAACCCATTTTATCTTCTATCAAACATAAAGCACATATAATAACATGCAATTGCTCATCCCTTCAATTCACCCATCATACTTGAATCCTTCGCTTTACTTCTTTACCCCCCTCCCCTCCTCTACCTTCTCCTTCCCCCTCCTCTCCATTCCTCACCTCGTACTATCATCCGAATAATAAAAAAATCCTATCGCTAACGCAATTTTGTAAAGAAAATAATCAAAAATGCGACAAGGCCAATAGCAATAACACACATCCAACAAGCCAATAATAACCATGCATATCTCTTTTGTTTTAATGCAAAAGATGAGAAGTCCCCATTTGTCCACCACACAATTATCCCATCCATTCGACCAGTTGCATACAATAATAAAATTGGAGGAAATAAGTTACACAAAGCCAATACTATGATTGAGATGCTTCTCTTGCGACGAGCTTCAATAATGATATGAGCAGGGTTTTGAGACCAAGGAGATAACTTGGGGTTTTCAAATAGATGCTTCCATGTATTTCCTTTCGAATCACGAGGGTTATCACCAAGTACAGGTTGGGATTCAAAGAAACCATCGGAAATTGCAGCATTTCGAATTTCCTGTAATTGACGAAGACTGTACAAATCTTGCCAGCTTGGACGCTTGGGAGGAGCAAGAGGTGATCGATAAACGAAGTCATTTGGAGTATCACTTTCAGCTCCCTGGTTCTTATTGCTACGAATAGGTGTTGAGGGTTGCTTAACAATCGGGCGATTTTCGATGTTTGAAGATGTATTAGTAGCAGATGCCTGCAGTGCGAAAGGCCGAAGGGTATTTGTTGGGTACTCCTTTGTTTTGTTATTCTGAGCAGGAACTTTAGCAGGCCTATTTGCCTGGATCAAACTAACACGCCTTGGTTCATGCTTCGAGTTCAAATGTAGATCCCTATAGAAGGCGCCTGGAGGACCTTTGATGAAAGGCTTTTGACCTTGAAGCTTTGAACTACCGGTAGCCTTCAGTTCGATATTGATCTCTTTGTGTTTGCTGCTGGTAGTTGACGTTGTCGCGAATAGTTCTTTCTTTGGACTAGCAATCTTCTCACCAAGGGCCAACACATATTGCCACGAACTGGATCGCTTTTTGTTCAATGGTGGTAGATTATCACTAGAACCGCCCAAAGCGATTCCTGGCTCCAATTCACCTGTCCAGTCGAATCTCAAGCGATCATTTACATGACCTTGATTTCCGGAAGGGACTTGCTGGCCTTGATTTGAATTTGTAAAGTCTGCACTTTCCTCGCTTGTATGTAGGGATGGCGGAATCAAATTGATGTTTTGACCACGAGTTGGCTTCATTTTTGGCGGAGAAGATTTGAATGGATTGGTATGAGTTTTGAGAAGGGGCTGTGGATTGTAGTTGTAATAATTCGGAGGTGGCCGTGTCCTATTTGAATCTGCAAGATATCCATTGACCTTGTGTTCTCTGAAAACAGGCAAAAACACAGGAATATGAGTCTTCTTTAGATCTCTTTGACGATAATCTCCATAGTATTCAACATTACCTGGATGATGCGGAATACGGTCTGAAGATCCGTAATCATCAATATGTAGTGGTTCCGTACTATCTGTGCCATCATCTGAGTTATCCGCAATGCTGCTTCCAGCTCTATTTACAAGACCCCCCATCATCATTGGTTCGTTTGGTTTGGAACGACCAAAAGGTCCCGCAGCACTGTCTGCCACAGTTTCCCAATCCTCGGCCTCAGTAGGTGTGGCATGTTTTTCGGACGATTCATGAGGTCGATCGTTAGGAGATTCTGGGGGAGAATCTGGAAGATTAACACTGTGACTAATCGGGATACGAACAACATTCTGATGATGAGCAGTAACCCAATTTTGTGCAATTGCTCCACGGTCATAAAAGGCTTGCGCCTGTGCTATGAAATCTCTTTGCTCAGTGCTAAGGCTTCCAGAGTCAGATGGGGGAGTATCTTCGACGTTGATTTTCCTTGAGAAATTTAATCCAGACCTTTGAGGTCGAGGATGCTCATTCCGGCGAGTTAACGAAGTCGATGCGCTTTCCATACTATAGACACTATAACCACTAGCACGACGGAGGGCTTTGCTGACTTCTCTCTCCAATGGCTGTCGCATGATAACCGGGTCCGTCCAATGAGGATCATCTCCATATACCGAAGGATCATCTGCTGGAGATATTATGACTTTTGGGGTTGCTTGGATTTTTGGTGTTGCGAAGGGAAACGAGGGCACATGCAGTTGCGCGGCGACGTCTGCTTCAGAGTCATCTACCTCAGAATCCATATCGTTAGTTCTCTGCTGCAAAACTTTTCGAGATACCCCTTTAGTTGTTTGAGTGAGTTTGTGTGTACCACTGCAGGAAGGCTGACCGGTTCCTTGAAATGTATTTGGAGCAATTGTTGGCACACCCAGAATTGGTATTTCGGGCAAAGTACGAGTTGGTGGCTGACAATTGGGCTCTTCGGCTACCCTAACAACTTTGCGCTGTTTGTGTATATTAAGAGCGGTGGGCAACATTTCTTCAGAGTCCAGTCTCATATTTAGGTCGAATTCTCGAATGTATTTTTGTTGATCTGAACCTCGAGTGGCGATTTCTCCTCGTAGAGGGCTTTTCTCGTTCATCTCTTCTTCACTATCGGTGTCAGCTCCTCCTCCGCTGGAGTGAAGATATTGCTTATAGATATTGCCAACAGTGCTAGTAGCTCGACGGAAGTCATAGCTGTGTCTCTGAGGAGTTGTGTCAGAAAAACCCTTGCGTATTGGTGATTGAACATCTCCTTGATTTGGTGTATACAAAGAATGCCGTGTCGGATGTTGAGGTTTTGTACGCGTCAGATCACCCAAACTCTCTCCTTCATCACTAATTGACGAGCCCGATAGTGCTTCGCCAAGAGGAGAATGATGAATAGGAAAGTCATGACCTTGACATTGAATGCTTGATTTGTCTCTGACATTTCCACCATGGCCTGATTGTCGAGCTTCTGGAGTAGATGGATCCTTTTCATCATTTTCTTTAACAAGCGCCATGTAACCTGACGCTTTCTTCCCAAAAGTGCCCTGGGCAATGTCGAGATTTGCTGGTTGCCGATGCGGAGCATTATTTTCTTCATCTATTATATCCTGTGTAATGGGTGAAGATACATTTGTAAGTGCGGTTTTTATGTTGCCAAGTAAAGAGCCAGACTCGCCCTTGACTGTTGATGGAAGACGTTGTGGTCTTGAGCGAGGAACCGGTGTGGAATTTTCAATATCAGACCCATAACGGCCTCCGAACAAGGCAGCAGGAGGTGGAGGAAGCGGTATATTTTGAAGAAACGACTCGACATTAGTACCGCGCTTTCTCTCTATCTTCTGGAGTGGAATTGAATCGGATCTTTCGGGTGGTTCGAAGAGATTGTGTGAAATTGCACGCCGTCCACTTAAGGTTTTTTTATTTCCTGATGTAATTGAGGAGTGGGCCGTATGCAGATCATCGAAGACTGCCCTGACTGGTGTTGGCTTATTGGAAGCAGAAGACAACTCGACTTCGTGAGAAGTTGATCTCGATCTGGGGTAGTCAGATGAGTCTGGTCGTTGACGATATGGGTTCTTGGATAGATTTTTGGAGATTTGTAGGTCTGCAAACCCAACCATCGAATGAGACATTATATTAAAGAAGACTGTCTATTAACAAGCATCGATAGACAGAAATGTGGGGTTTTACTATTGAAGTATTCACCGTGTTGATGGTACCTTGACTTGCGGCCGAATATTAACACAAGATTCAGTCGGTCAAGTAGAAATTTGACTCAATGATCGGTTGAGAGACAGCAGATTAAGAAAAGAAATCGTTCATAGTGCTTGGTACCAAATAGAGATGCACAGCGCCGAAAGATGGATTCTATAGTCGAAATCGCGTGTATCGTTGATGATGTAGAGTTCCTTGAGTTGTAGTCGAATTGAAAATGAATGGAAAAACGCACTCTTGTCGTGTTCAGCGGGTTGTATAAGAACGAGAGACTTTTTAATAAAAGAACGAATGGAGTTGGTAGCTGCGAGTGAATCGGTCTTCAAGAGGTTTGTCGTATGTTGTTGATTATTTTGTTATGATGTTGATATTTCAGGTAACTCTGAAAACGCGATCGGTTTGCCGGCATAAACAAATCATGTTTTCCTCAAGCGAATGAGGGGAAGAAGGATTTTCAGTTCAAACAGGCTTCACTATTGTGTGATCTACCTACTATACTTTTGATAGGCCACTCGATACCTCTGGCTAATACCAGGAGTGTATAATGAAGAGCTGACAGGCAATTGGAGAAATTTATGATACGAATGAGAACTTGAGGATTGGAAGTTGGAGTGATAGATTCATCTTGTGAAGGAACAGTTATTTAATTCTTTGAATTGAGAACAACCTGGTTGATATCATGGTCCGACATCGTTCCTTCCAATTCCAGACTAAAAAGGAGGGAACTCACAGTCTTACTTTTTCAAACCGCATGACTTACCAACATTGGCGGATTCTTTTGACCACCTATTATATATGCATTGGATGTTCAAAATCCATTGATACGCTTTCCCAGATTATGAGAAGATCTTGGAAGCTTATAATGATGATTTACTACTACATCATTATTTCCTTGCCAAGTTTCTTAGACGTCTGCTCAAGTTGTTGGGAAGCTCCTCTATCACTTAGTTGCGCCGAAATTCTCTTCAGGAGATGCAGAAGACTGCCCAAGTTTTGAGAAGAAGCTAATGATGCTGGTATACTGCTGCATCCTCGACCTCTTGCCAGCATCCCACGGAAGCTATTCCTACCTTCACTCTATACGAACTAAGAAACCTGGCAGGCGCTTGCTTCCCTTCTTAGCACACCAATACCCACTCATGCCCTCAATAGACTCTATGCATATCTAGATACTGTGCCCCCTTTATCGAGGTCGAAATTTGAATATTCTCTAGACGTAATCTCATGGGAGAACAGCAGGAATAGTTTACTTATACTCATAAAGGATCATCAATGAATTCAGCTCCTATCGTGATTCGGACTCTACAGTACCATCAAGTCTGAGGGTTTGGCATCATGATTCGAGTTTGGATCTATTGAATGTTGTCGGATTTCGGTAGTCATTGTCATTGACGTCGTTGTCGTTGACGAGAATATGAAGTGCAATAAAAGTGGAGATCAGATGTACCTTAACCATACTAGCGCCTCAAGCTCGGATAGTCTCGATTAGATAGCAAACGCTACATCTCCATCAATTCACACTCTACCACTGCACAATATTACTTTGTGAAAAAGATTTATTCTTCCCGACTTCAATACGAAACATACAGCAATTCGACTCTCGAGAGTATTGCCTGTCTGTTCCAAAAGTCGAGACATTACTTGACTCTACAATATTCGAAGCTCTTTAATAGGCAAAAAGCTCATACAAACCATACCAATACTCAACAATATAAGATGGAGCAAATCAAGGCTCTGAATGCTTTGGAGGTATTTATGATTCTCATCTGGTTTTACTCAGAATTGACACCAATGTGCTAACTGTATCAAGCCCTTCCTAGCTCTTACTAAATCTGCGACATCACCCCGCGCTGCTATCGACCTGATCACTCGAGCGACTGATGCTCCAGGAACCTACATATTCACCGAGCTTCTCCTCACTCCCCAAATTCAAGCTCTTTCTACCGCCCCTCCAGAGCAAGCAGCCTATCTCTCCCTTCTTAAGATCTTCAGTTATGGCACATACGCCGACTACACTAGCGATCCATCTCTCCCCACCCTTTCCGCAGCTCAAACCCTCAAACTCCGCCAGCTTTCCTTTCTCACCCTTGCCAAAAACCCCGCCGAATTGACTTACCCCAAACTTCAATCTGCCCTCGGTCTCTCCACTCCCCGCGAACTCGAAGACCTTGTCATCAGTACTATATACGCCGGTCTCATTACTTCTACGTTGGACCCATACAATCAAACGGTGCTTGTCTCCTCCGTCTCACCCCTCCGCGATGTTCCCCACTCCACAATCCCATCTATGCTCTCCACTCTCTCCGCCTGGTCCGCTCGTTGCACCACTACCCTCTCTTCCCTCGAATCTCAAATCGCCTCCATCAAAGCCGATGCCCAGCGCCGTCACCGCGATGAACAGGATTGGAACGCCCACGTCGAATCTCTCCTCGAACCCACTCCTCCCTCTGAGAATTCGTCAGGACCGACTGGCATCATGGGCAATATCCAAAGTCTAACGGGCAGAATGACAAGATCGTCTGGAAAACGCCACAACCGACTAGAGGGACAGTCTAGTGATGAAGAAATGGATGATGTGGATCCAGCGGGTGGTCAGCATAAGGATACACGAAGTTCGAAGAAGAGAGGTTTTGGCGGGTTAGGATTTGGGAAGTGAGTTGTTTTGCTGTCGCAGCTTCGAGCTTGTGACCAGTAGGACTCTTCACTGACCAATTCTTTAGCGCAGAAAATTTAGCTTCTTCAACGACTTCAGCAAGCCCAGAAGGCCCAGAAAAAATTCCTGGTATCCTCCGGAAATTATTTGGCTACAGGAACTCGTAGTTTCATACGCATGAAGATTTCTTATGTTGTGGCGAGGTATACCCCAATTCGTTTTCGGGCGTGGAAGCAGGAATCAATGATAAAAAGGTAGAAAGCAGTGCATACATTCTCACATTGGTTTAGTCAGGTTGGGCGGTTTCTATATGAAAATAATCATGCATTAAATGTATGAAGGAAGAGGATATCAAATTCACACGCTATTAGCTCCCACGCATACAAATAGATAAGTTAAGGAAAAAAACATAAAAGAGGTGCCATCACATCCTCTTTAAAGAGACGTCCAGTCTTTTTCGAGAAGAAGAATATAAAAACAAATAAAGTTCCTCCAAAATGATGAAAACAAATCAACTCAACGCCATTAAATCAACCTGTGATATCATCCTGCCTGTCTGCCAACCCTGTGTACAAAATCCCAAATCACATAACATGAAAGAGAGAATTGGTCCCCAGAACACCTCGCTCTATAAACAGAACTCCCAAAACTCCCTTCCTTTCCATCCCAGTTCCGAATGTGCTTTGCTTATGTTTCATGCAGTTGTTATACTTTTGCATTTAGCCTTCATCCATCAATCCTCACATTACAATCTCTTTCCAGGTACCAACGCAAATATTAGGACTAGTGCTGCATCGGTGATAGCTGTGACCATTAGGACCATGAGTGCACGTTTGTGGAGAAGCCTTCGAACAAATGGTTCTCGAATTTTGGAGAAAGACATGAATGTGTATTCACTGTATCCGGCCAGGGCAAGAATGGGATCGAGGGCATATTGGTGAGAACAGAGTGCATAGACACCAATGGTGAAGGGAAGAAGGAGCTAAGATCATGTTAGTACGGAGATGAAGAGTGTGAAGATAAATGTGAGATACGTACCCAAACACGAGTATGGTGGGGATAGTTGAGGAAGATTAGAATGAATCCAACCCAGAATGCGGCAAACATTGAAAGTAAGCCAACAATCAATCTCAACATCATCGAAGGGGGGACCAAGTTGCCTAGAGCTTTCATTCTTAAGAAGCCTGGGAAAGCATCCCTTTCCATTGCTTGGAAAACATAGTCCTTGGCTGCATCAAACACTTCCGGATCGTCGCGTCCTCTTTCCTCAATGGAAATGATGATATCTTGGGTGATGGAGTGTGGAAGAATAATCTCACGTTCAGCACCTGGGAGGAGGAAAGTATAGAGAATCTTCTCAGCAGAAGCTCGGATGTCGGCTCTCGCGACAGTGTGTGCAGGAGAGTTTGAATCTGACGTCAAATCCATAGGGCTGCTCATGAAACTTGGTCTAGGCCTTTCGCTAGACATGTTTCCCAGATCGTGGCCGTTACCATTGGATCCCAAACTATGAGAAGGAGAGTGTCCTTGTGGGGCAATAACCTCTCCAGTATCAGATTGTTCCCTGAGGAAGGCGGACATCTGAGCATCTTGGTTTTTCTCCTTTTCTGTAGTGAACATGGATGGTCCGGCGGGATTTGACATATCACCGAGATTTTCTAGAACAGCAGAAGATCGTTTTGATTGAGCATCTTCGCCTTTGGGTGTACCAATCATTACAGATCGTCGCAGTTCGCGAACATAGTGTCGGCATAACGACATATGTTGAGCAACATCAAGCCTGCCCTCACGTTAGTGATTGAATAGACAATTCAATGCAAGGAACACGAACCAAAAATCAAGGTAATCAACAGAGCGCTGCTGATCTCTCATATAAATATAGAAGGAGAATAGATCCACTGGGGGTAAAGTCCTTCTACTGAGCACCTCGAATAGAGTTGGAAGCCGATTACGATTTAGATCGGGTTGAGGGGAGCCGATTCCTGACATGTTGACAGAGACAAGACCAGAACTGGGTTGATTGGAAAGCGAAATGAATCGAATTGGAAGGGATTGCTCGAACTATTGGCTCTGCTTCTGCAAGGAGTTCTCAGGTGTTGTCGCAAATTGGAGGATTGTTGTGAAGTTGTTGTTGTCGTGGTAATGAAAAGAGAATATTGGAAAGAGCGTCGAAAGTCGGGATAAACTAAAAGAGTGAATAGGATCTGTTAAAAAAACTTAGAACCTGAGGAGAGTTTTTAAGTTTGCGACGCTCAGTCCAAATTAAAATTGAAGTCATAAACGTTATGTTATCGGCGTCGCACTGAATCCATTGACAAACTGTTCGCGGTTGTGGCCTCATAATATTATGTAATCAAGTGTAAGGCATCAACGATCTATTGAACTTTTCGGTTAACTAGCGCCTTCCACACTGAAGGAATTTCGAAATTCTAAGACTGCATTATTGAAGCTTAGACAAGACAACTTTTCACGACAAATCTCGCGACGAATCCTTCAGTACGTTAATATACCTCCCAGCCGAATCAATCGAAGATCGAAAATCGAAATCTCTCAGTTCTAACAAATATCTCAGAAATGTCGACGACCACTAAGAAGACCGGCGGCAAGGCCCAAAGATCCGCCATCGCTGATGTTGTTGCGCGCGAGTACACCATCCACCTCCACAAGAGAGTACGTCGAAATTGCGAAAAATAGGGCGTCGAAAATAGGCAGAAGACTGATAGCTTTGTTTTAGTTACATGGTGTTTCTTTCAAGAAGCGTGCCCCAAAGGCCATCAAGGAGATTAAGGCATTCGCTACTTTGTCAATGGTATGGATTTCCATCTAGCAAGATCGGCAGGAGGATACAACAAGGAATCAATACTGATGTTGGTATTTCATTAATCTATAGGGTACCACCGATGTCCGTCTCGATCCCCAATTGAACAAGAAGGTCTGGGAAGCTGGTATCAAGGGTGTTCCATTCAGACTCCGCGTACGAATCTCGAGAAAGCGTAACGACGAGGAGGGCGCCAAGGAGAAGTTGTACAGTTACGTCCAAGCCGTCAATGTCCAAAACCCCAAGGGTCTTCACACCGTTGTTGTTGAGGATGCATAAATGATAAAAATCAAATGGCATGGGGGATACTTCTGGAGTTGCTGCATTTCTGCTTGCTAAGGTAGCGGAAAATGAAAAGGTCTAACTTTCGATACCTAAATGCAGTCAATTGTTGTGGGAACATTTTCATGCACTTGTGATATTGGTCTGTGCTATGAGGCTGGGAGAAGGCAGATGGGGTCTTTTTCCGAGGAGATGGGGAAGTAATGCTTCTCCAGGCCATGCAAATGTGCATTGGAAATAGTGTGAGGTTACTTTTGGGCCATCGAAACATGCAAACAAGTGATGCATCAGAAACCCCCTTCGACATAATTTCTGCGAGCTTTGCAGTTCCCATATTTCATTGAGCATAGGAATCTTCAAATCTTGATACCACATTGCCAGACTTTCCTGCAGAATAACTGAATATTTTGTTTCTTGTTTCATTCCACCACGCATCACACATAGCCCACAGCGATAATCACTACGTTCGCGACCTTGAGCGATGGCAAAGAATCCTGAAAACCCAAAAATGAGCTGCTCATATAAAGTCAACATGGCTATGGCCAGTGGACGAATGGTTGAAGGGCCGAGTTTACAATCAAGGATGAGAAGCCCGCTTTGTGCATTGGCCTAGGTAGGTCCTTGAAAGGTTTTCCTATCGCGACGCCCTTTCGTAAAAAGCAAACATCAGACTCGGTCAAAATCGACAATCGGAAATAGGTTTCATGAAGTAGGTCTCACGTCATAATGCATGCACATCAAATAGAGTTCAAGAACATTTAACAATGCGTTCGTTTGTATTGATTGAAGGTCCAAAATAAGGATACAACCTTCGAAGTCCCAATAGGACTACACCCTTCTGTACTATCCTGAGAATGCAGCAATAACCCAATGCCCGAGCCGAGACATAGACCAAAGTCCATTATGCACAATCTCCAATTCATAAACATATTGACGCCGGGTATCTGAATGACGATGTTTTTTACTCCTCCTTCCCCTAAATCCTATTCGTCATCAATGTCTTGGTGACGACCATTAACTTTCTTTTGAAACTCCTCGGGGTTCTTGTCCCACAATTCTGCGGCTTCGCCGTTCAATGGTGATGCACTGTGATGTATGTTAGCCTAGGTCTTATACTCATTCACTCATATCAGGATTCCTCAAACATACTTATTAGGTTCGCCCAAGAGACTCTGCAAACTCAACAATACCGTTTGAATATTATAAGCGGCTGTCCACTTATCCTTCAAAATATCCAAGCAAATTCTACCAGAGAAATCGACATTAGGATGATAAATAGGAGTCTTGAAGAGAACGGTTGGTGGTGCGTAGGGATAGTTTGATGGAAACGCAAAAGATAACTTGAATTTCTTAGATGCATACGGGGTATCATCTGGCCCATCGATAGTCGCGGTCCAGGAAAGAAGATTGCCATCTGCGGAGGGGAACGCGGAGATACCAGGGGCGGCCGAGGTCATGAGTTGCATTAATTCGGTTTGAAGACTGGAAGGATAGAATGAGGGATTAGTATTGGATTTCTGGAATGTAGATTGGGAAATGGGAAGAGGTCAAGGTATGCAAGGGAGAGAACAAACCGTTTAGTAGTACTCTGAGCATCGGGACCTTTACGAGGAGCAAGTTTGGCAGCTTGAGCGGGTGGCACGTCGCCTGGGGAAGTGTTCTGTGTATCCTCCATAGCGTAATTCATGACGATAATCTTTTTTGGAGGAAGAATAGGAATGCAATCCAATTAAGTAGGTGAAGTATTTGTAACTGAGAAATTGATCAGTAAGGAGTACTAGTGTAGAAGAGAGACAGAAACGGACAAAGGTGGTTTAGTGGATGAGGAATGTATAAAAAGAAATGCCAATCTGAAAGCAATTGGCAATTGTGTGGAAAGAAGCAAACGGAGGGTTATTTCTAGAAGAAGAAGAAGAAGAAGAAGAAGAAAAAGAGAAGAGAAACAAAGAAATTCTTTTGGGAACCTTTTGGGAGTTTTTTATCGATTTGAATTTTTGATGTATATGTGTGGTGAATGTAATCTTACAAAAGTGTTGTGATGTGAAGTGATGTGATGTGATGTGATGTGATGTGATGTGATGTGATGTGAAGTGAAGGAAGATGTAAGAAAGTGTGTTTATTGTGTAGGAAAGAAAGGGTTGATGTTTAAAGTAATAAAGAAGGATTGGAGGTTGGAGGTTGGAGGTTGGACTTTGTTTATTTCGACCTTCTCTTTTTTTTAGGCAGGGTAGCCATAGAAACGCGAACGGACGGCATTAGGTCTTTAGTACGCGTTCCCTACGTAGTAATAAGCAGTCACCAGTCACCAGTCACCAGTCACCAGTCACCAGTCACCAGTCACCAGTCATCAGTCATCAGTCACCAATTTTCGTGATTCGCGACTTAAAGTGTTAATTGAAACCAAGACGCATCAAGACGCGCTTCATACATTCAATTACTGTCTGTAATAATAATTTAATTGGTTTATAAGAAAACAATCAATAGTTTGGGGTTCACAATAATTCACAATAACTCACAATAACTCACAACAATTCCCACTTCTTGGATAGTTAATTGGTTAAGTTTCTACTCTAGTACCTATTCTCCCAAGGTTCTTCCATTGGCACCCACGTAGCTTCGTTCGTTTTCTTTCTACCATATACGTTTTGAATCAAGTGGTGGGGTTTGGAAAGACATCCATCCCGCGTTCGTCCATTTTTAACGTCGTTCTTCTCAATCTAAAAGTTATGGCAATGCAGATGTCACAGATGGACCCGCTGCCCCGCGACCTACCTTTTCGAATCATTTCGAAAACCATAGGTCGCGGTGCTTATGCATCGTAAGTCGAAAATACTACAATACCAGCTTGGTGCTCTTTGCTATACTCGGAATTACAATATATGTATACATGTATGTGTGTATGCTAATAATTGCGTAGAATCAAGAAAGCCATCCCTCCAACTGATTCCACTCCAGTATTCGCAGTCAAATTCATACACAAAGCTTATGCAGTCAAGCATGGCCGGATTTCGTCGAAGCAAATTGCCATGGAGGTTTCACTGCATTCCCATATTGGACGACATCCAAATATTATAGAGTGGTTTGCGACGGGCGAGGATGCTGTGTGGAAGTGGATTGCTATGGAGTATGCAGAGGGGGGAGACTTATTCGACAAAATTGAAGCAGATGTTGGAGTCAAAGAAGATATTGCACATTTCTACTTTACACAACTGATTGGGGGAGTAAATTATATGCATCAGAAAGGCGTGGGTCATCGAGATATCAAGCCTGAGAATATATTACTATCGAGTAGTGGCGATTTGAAGATTGCGGATTTTGGATTGGCAACACTATTTGAATATAATGGAGCGAGAAAACTCAGTACCACTATGTGTGGTAGCCCTCCATACATTGCACCGGAAGTCATCTCTTGCTCTAGGAGTACTCAAACCAAGGTGAAGGGTGCAGGATACGCTGCAAATATGGTGGATATTTGGTCATGCGGGGTCGTCTTATTTGTGCTCTTGGTGGGAAATACACCTTGGGATCAACCTACTTCTGAAAGCTGGGAATTCGATGAATACGTAAAATCCAATGGACGCAGTTCAGATGAATTATGGCGAAGATTGCCGACTTCGGTTCTATCATTACTAAGAGGCATGATGAATGTCGATGTATCCAAACGCTTTAACTTTGAACACATCAAACGACATCCATGGTACACACGCAAGAATCCACTTCTCACCACCGATGGTAAGATGAGCGATCCATTAGGTCTTGCTACTCAAATGTTAGCAAATCTTCGTATCGACTTCAAGCAAAAGCCAAGTGCATCACAGCTTAGTCAAGATGCAATGCAACTCGATAGTCATAACTTTGCATTCACGCAACCAGAAGCTCCCGTCATGGATATGCAATTTGACTGGGAACGACCACCTCGTGTATTACCCACATCTCAACCCGCCGAGACTACATGTAATTTCCAACTTCCATCACCAGTGGCATCGAACCATGGAGATGCCACACTCGCAGATGAACCTTCCATGTCTCAATTTTCATCCAATCCTACTGTCGCTCTTCGTCTCACACAACATGCTCGTCAATTTCAAGACATTCTCCCGAATTACTCGCTTACGCGATTCTTTTCCCATCTTCCCGTTCCTCAATTGCTGACTCTTCTTTCTGAATCTTTGCATGCGATGAACATACCAGTGCCACCCTTGGCACAATTGCAAAATAGTCAATTGCATGCAGCGTGGATCAAGGTACGAGCGGTAGATAGTAGAAGATGTGGGATGAATGGGGAAATCGTTTTGGATTCTTATGAGACGGAAGAGATTGAATTGGTGGAGGTGAGATTTGTGAAGGTTAAGGGAGATCCATTAGAGTGGAGACGATTCTTTAAGAGAGTGGTGGTGGCATGTAAGGAGGGAGTCTACATACCGGATATTGATGATGTATAGAGGTATGAAGTCGAAGGTGGAGAGTCGAAGGTGGAGAGGGGGTTTGGAGTATGGTTGAATGAATTATGGCTGGATGGGTTGGATAGGAAATGGAGGGACTCAAGAGCTATCATATGATATCTGGATTATAGGATTGCAGAAGCTGATTAAGGTAGGGATTTGGATAACCTGATAGTAGGTTAGGAAAGGAAAGGAACACAGACCACCCATGATATCCCCTTCGAAGCGAAACGAAACGAAACGATGATGATGACTTTACGTAGTTACTTAGATAGATTCTTCGTCCATATTCTATTTCTAGAAAGCAATTAATGTTAATTTGACTTTTCTTTTTTTGATACACCTGCCTTTTGTTTGGTTCGAAAATTGATGTTACAGAAGATTATCTGAGATCGGAAGGGAGTATTGGGAGAGGGGGGGGATAGGAGGGGGTAAAACCTTGGGCATTTGGTTTGATTTCAAGGATTGAAGGAGAGATATCAACAGGCAACAATCCAAACAATCAAATAACGATTCTGCCAATTTCAACCCTCAACATTTCTTCAAACAAGCCGTACTTGTTGCGTTTAGCTAACAAGCACTCATAAGTCCATTCGACAACTCTACAGTACTTTCATATCGCGTTGCTCTCACGGATAGCTATCTAGAAGTCGCATCTATTGAGTATTGTTGAATATGAATATCTAGCTTGCTCTTGAGATATCTCAGGGAGGGATCTTGATAATATGTATGTATCTGGCGTTAGTTAGTTGGTTAGTTAGTTAGTGAGTGAGTGAGTGAGTGAGTGAGTGAGTGAGTGAGTGAGTGAGTGAGTGAGTGAGTGAGTGAGTGAGTGATTTTTCCAGCGAGTAATGCATTGTATTCTTATTGTTCTTTTTATGGTGTTGTAGTTGTACTGTCTTTGTTTGTATGTTGTGTATAGGTAGGTGGGTGTATGTATTGACTACTGAGGAGTGACTACTGAGGAGTGAGGAGTGAGCGTGAGGAATCTTCTGTAATAATTATCTTTTTCTATATCGCGTTTCGGTTAAAGTTATGATGGATGGAGTGAGTTGCGCATTTTGTTGGTTTGTGGTAGGTAGGTAGGTGTCTAAGGACTATATGTATCGATGGTTTGCTTTGGGTATTTTCTTGCGTGGTGCGTGTTTGGGTATATTTTAACTGGGTGGTTTGTGTATTTGTAGTTTTTGTGTATTCTTTTTTGTGCGATGGTATGTATGATGGGATGTATGATGGGATGTGTAAGTAAGTCTTGAGATTTGAAAAGAGGAGATGAGATGGTATCTATCTATCTATCTATCGATCTATCTGTCTATCTATCTGTCTGTCCTGAGTTCGGAGTAGAAATTTTACAGTGATGAGTGATGCAATGCAATGCAATGTTCCAAAGCGAGGGAATGTTAGATTGCTAAGGCATATGATGAAAAGGCTCTCTTAACTAACATATAACATATAAAGTAGATAAGTTTTGTCTTTCCCAACGCGTGAGTGTGTGAATTCCCTTTACACGATCTTTCTTTTTCTTTTCGAGATAGATAGCTGGTGAATCGTTATATAGATCAAATCTGGGTTCACCAATCCTGTCCTGAAACTTGGACTTGGAGATTATACATATGGTACGTATGTTGCAACATACTTCAAAAATCCAAGCTTTTGGAAGTAGGTATACAAACATATTTACGCTTTTATTTTCATAATGTTCATCTAGCGATTTCAATGCGTAGGTAACCGATATATATCACTCCGTGTGATGGTATTGCTCCCGTGATATAGGTATCAAAAAGGAAGTCTTCATCTGAACTTGCAGTTCGTGTGCTTATATATAGATAGGCTAGCTTCATTCATAACTTGATACTGCAACCGCGTTGAAGTGCTACACTACTCACACACACACTATATATCTAGCAATCTGAAGCTCTCGCACAAGTTACAACTATATCTGTACTGTTGGACAACAATGATAATCATGATAATCGTGATCAAACAAAGCGAACCGTGTCCGAACTCCCAGTACAGCAGCAACGTCTGTATGTACAAGACCCGAACAACGCCAAACAAACACTGCATAAATCCACTTTCTCACCACCAAAATTACATTCTTCATCTCTCCAGCACTCTATTCCTGCTTCCCCAAAGCAAGAAGAACCAACCACACACAAAAAACCACGAACATGCCCGACACCCCCCGCATCAACGAGTACCTAAACCAGATCTTCGATCTCGCAAGCGCGCTCACGGCAAGCGAAATGCGCATCGCGCAACTCTCCGGCCGCGAGCGCGAAGCCCAACGCATCTACGCCCGCGGATCCCAGGAATTGCTCGAGCTAGCCGAGCGCGTGCAGGAGAACAATTCGCGGCATCTTCGTCTGCAGCAGGAGATGGAGCGCAAGCGAGCCATGCTGTGCGCGTGCGCCGTCGTGGGCTCTGTGTTTGCTTCAGTTTTGCTGGCGCAGGTTTGTGAGATTTTGTGATTTTTTTGAGAAGGGGGGAGGGGAGGAGTCGGATTTAGGGTTGGGTTTCTTGAGGTCGGTTCCATTTACTTACTGACTTACTCCTTCGATCGCACAATCTCCTGGTTAGTTTAGTGATTCCAAAATCAAGATTTCTCATTGCTATTTAATTCTTAAGTAAGAGATAACCCACAAAAATATAAAACAAAAAATATAAATATAAATAAATCATCAGCCCACTCACTCTCCCTCCCTCCATCAAATCAAGTATCACCCAACCAACCGAATTTGAAAATCCATACCTAATAACTCAATTTCAACTTCCAAGCACCTCATTAAACACACTTTTAGTCCAGATGATAGCTCGCTAGAGATAAGTTTTCATAACATGTATATATGCATTGACATTGATATCAAAAATCCAAATAATATAAATCTAACCGCATCCCCTTCCACAACCCTGTGTATGTTACACAGATGTATCAGAATTATTTTTGTGGTAAGATTGATGCTTGAGTAGGTATGCATGATTGATGACTCACCACTTGAATCGACTTTTGCCTGAAAAATCATGTGGTCACGCGCCGCAAACGCGTCTTGACTCACACATGGATATATGTATATCGAGACTTACCTAGGTAGGTGGCGCATATGGCCAATCATTCAGTCTCAAACTATGCAGTCTGCCTAAATCAAGATAGGCAGACAGGCAGACATGGTAAAGTATAAGTGAAGCTTGGAGTTTGTATTTCTCCTTCTAAAACATTCTTCTCCCTTTAATGTTTTCTTCTTCTTCATCAACAAGAAGATAAAAAGAAAGGAAGACTGCTCATTTTACGATCTCTTCAAAAACCTGGACAGGGCTCGCTGAAGAAGAGCTTCTCCATGAATTGGTAAAAGCTGTGGATATATCTGAGAGTGCAAATTATTGCTGCGGTGGTAGCATTCCTATCACAGCCCCTGACGATTCGTCTTCCAACCAGAAAGAGCCCACAGAAGGCAAGTAATATCTTTTCAGTCCAGGCCTTACTCTCTTACTCTCAAGACAAAGTTAACCTAGTTCTTGATCAGATTTCGACCAATCTTTTCAGCAGCAGGTGCCCCCGATCGCGCTTCGCTGGGACTCCAAGCCAGGAAATTTATGTGAGAAGATAGTATTCTCTGTTCCCACGACTTCCAAGTCAATGGAAGCGCTTCTTCAGACCTGTGTCCCGGCGTCGTTCGGTCTCGGAGGAAAAAATGTGCTTGATGAAACATATTGTAAAGCCGGCAAGCTCGATAGAAGCCAGTTTTCCATCGACTTCCACCCGCACGACTATGGAATCCTTGATGTCATTGCTCAAACATTGCTACAGGATGTTTCTCAAACAGACTTTTTACGGAACAGGGGAGATCATCGAGGTGTGCTTGCCGAATTATACAAGCTCAATGTAAGTGCCGTTCGTCGGGGATATTGTAAAGCTTTGTGGAGAAAGCCCGACTGACACAATGCAATGTGGTTCAGATCTATTCTGGCCCCAGCGGGAAATTCAAAGCACATGTGGACACGCCACGTGGCACGAGACAGTTTGGTTCTCTAGTCGTCTGTCTTCCATATTCTCATCAAGGTCAGTATATCCATTTCTCTCCCCTACTCGTTGCTCTCTTCACCTTCTGCAATCAATATAGATCTAATTTCATGCAGGTGGACAATTGCGCATCACCCACAGAGACTCTAACACTTTCTTTGACTGGGGCAATAAATCGGACAGCATCCAATGGGCTGCGTTCTATAGTGACTGCGAGCACGAGGTACTCGAGGTCACCAGTGGTCATCGTGTGACGTTGACCTATAATCTCTATATCTCGCAGAAAATTGGTATCCCCTTGCAAAAAAAACCTGGTAGCAGATCCGACCTTGTCGCCGTTATACGAAGTTGCGAGAAACATTTTGGTTCAGCCTGATTTCATGAAGAGAGGTATGTGCATTATTGTTCTGCCATATCGGAAGGCATCATTGACGTGTTGCTAGGTGGTGTGATTGGATTTTATTGTGACCATCTATATGCCCATACTCAAGAAGACACAGATGACATCATGCCATATACATTGAAGGGTATTGATATGACCATCTTTAATACGTTTCAATCGCTTGGTCTAGTGGTCAAAGCCTGTCCTGTGCTGGGCATGGATGATGACCTTGAGGATGAGGAACATATAACTCGAGCAGGAACTCAATTCCATGGAGTCGAGGAGAGTACCTTCAACGAACAATATAAAGATGATGTTCGATGGGTAAGCACTTAGCATCCCCGAATCCGTCGGCACGATTCCAATCCACTTACCAAGTAATGTAGTATCTCAAGTCGAAATGGCCGCATAAGAAGTATAAGAATGTAGCTTGGCTTAATGGTTGGGGAAGTAACAATTTGCCTGCATTCTATGGATTAGCATATGGGAATGAATCAACCATCATGTGCTTCCACTCCAAGGCTGCCATTCTAATTGAGGTACCAGCCTACGATGAAAGAATGGCAAAGGAACTGGCATGAAGGATTAATGCTATGGCTTCCAGATACATTGAAATCTTGAAAGGATGTGTGGCCTTCAACATAAAATTGTGTAGCTTGCAAAGTTTATGAGCTCAGAGATAGGAATTTTAAAGTTTAGTGCGCATCTATATGACTTCATATGATGAACATGGCCGTGCAAAAACAATGAGCTCAATCAAATTGAAGCTGTATTCAAGATTTTGATATGTAATATTTTGGGTCGCCTTTTTATATTGATGTTGATACCACTGGTGTACCCATCTCGTGGACAAAGAAGATGGATGTCCGTGAATGTTCGATGTTGAAGAGTTTATCACGTGATGGAGAAGAGCCCACCGAGCCACCCAATGAAAAAAAAGCCACCGGCCTCGGAGGGTTAATGATTTCCTACCGACAAATCATTCGAAAATATTCATTTGGTGGGGCACGTGGGGTTGAAGAGACTCCAGAGAGAGAGAAGCCCAAGAGGTCTATGAGGTCTATTTCGTGCACAGATCATTCACCGACCCTTGCATAATCGGTCTTATCGGATCGGCTAGAAGCTCAAGGTTGATTGATCATTGATTGATCATTGATTATGATCTCGATGTCAAGGTCAAGGTCAGTCTTTCAATGTTTAACATTCTTAACATTCCTTCTTCCAGTACAAGTATATAACTACTTATTCTTATTAATTATTTAAAAAATGCCCAGAATGGATGACCTCCCTTCAGAGATAGTTCTGAATATTACTTCATGTGAATTTCTCTCACATCTTCTAAATGAGAATCGAATGCTAACATGATTCATTTTTATAGACCTAGAGCCTTCGGACATCGTCAAACTGCAATTTGTTTCCAAACGATACCTGGAATTAGGTCGCGATGATACACTGTGGCGAGAACAATGTTTTACCCATTCTTTCTTTCTCGAAAGACTTCGCAGACGTCAAGAATTAATATCTACAGAGTCAGAGGACGAGTCAGGTATGCGGGATTTAGCCATAGCTCTTGCTACGAACAATGGAACAGGCGATTCGAGACTACACAAACCTCGTCATGAAGCTCGCGACCTCAAAGCTCAATCCAATGAGCGAGTGAGGATATTGGCGAATTGGGATCCGAGTTATCCGACTGAGAAGGTTAAATGGTATGATGAGTACATAGCGAGAAATGCGCCAATTTCAACAAGCTGGGTGCAACAGCCTCGACATCGCGAAAGTGCTAGTCATGAACACTTGGAGGTACGAGGAATGGCGTTATATACACCCATGGGAGAAACTAAAACCACGATGGTGGTTGCGTAAGTTACTTGGTTTCTCATTGGCATATACTAGGAGATAAGAATTGTACTAAATGCCATGCCATAGACCTCTTGATGATGGTTCCATTTGTATCTGGGATATCAGTACTGATGCTCCCAAAAAGGGTAGCATTATTGCAAGAAGCAAGTCAGGGATTTTGTCGGTGGATGAGAATCCAAAAGATCTAAAGTCAAGATCAAAGATGATAAGTACCGGTGTCACAGAATGTATTAGTGTTGACAGTACTTTAAAGAGAGCCTATGTTGCTGTTCAAAGTGGTAAGTAAAAACTTTCTCTTAAAAAGCTACAGCACTTTGGAGCAACATTTCGATTACTTGAAATGATGATTTGATGACAAGGGTTCTCGACCATTCAATCTCATGTTGAGTCTATTCTGGAAGATGAAGTCCATTACCCGTCTTCCAATAGCTGCTGACATTACTACAGGTCTTGTCGAAGTTGATCTTGAGACCTTACAGACAGTCAATCATGAAAGATATCCGTTTTCTATCACTGCTCTTTCCGAGGCAAAACATCCAACACCTCTCACTGTAGGAACCAATCTATCTCTCTACCTTCATGATTCTCGTCAAAGAACAAATGTTGGATCGCCCAGCCAGGCTGAGCAACTTGATTCTTTTAGCGGCACATCTGGCTCTGCTAGCGATCATTTTAGTTTCAAAAGCTTGCTAGATCCAGAACCAAGCGCCGAGTACGCCCATCTGTACCAGCCGGGCCCACTCAGTATTGTCCATCTACCCAGTGCAGGAAGTGAATGGAATGGTAATGGAGATATATACGTTGCTGGTCGATTTCCTAGCATTCTCAACTATGATCGTAGAAATTTTCCTAAGCTCCGCGGGACGATCCATTCTGGCGCACGCTTATCTCAAATTGCTAGTCTTCCATATCCTTTTGCTTCAATGGAGAAAGACCTCGCCCGCCGGGGTGAATTGTCTGTCGAGCAAGTATGGCAAGCAAAGACTAGACCAGGGAAAACGTTGATTGCTTGCGGTGAGTATAACAGCAAAGGCTCTTTGGAGATGTACGGTCTATCACCTGACCCGAATCTCTCCAACATATCTTCCCAAATTTCTGCCGGGCGCCTGCAAGATTCTACCATGAAGAATCGTCAAACATCATCCAGCTCAAAACTCTTATCTGTTGCCAATCATGGTACCCGCATTGTTGTTTCTGACGGCGGGGGCAATCTAAAATGGTTTGAGAGGGATGGATTTACCGAGTCACGAAGATGGAATATTTCTCACGGTTCTGTTGCAGCCCCGAGAGGCATATTTGGCACATTGGGCGATTCTTACATGGATTCTGGATCTGGAGACATTGCGCTCAAGATTTTGACAACTGACTCTGGGCTCCATGATCGATCGGTCAACGAAAATGATCTTGTTTTGTGGACGGGAGACAAAATAGGGCTATTGAATTTCTCTAACAAACCTGGGTTCACGGCCGACTCTTTTGAAGAAACCCCTAAGACTGCTGAGGAGGCTCTGCGAGAAAAGGAAGAGCATACCCATTCGGAAACTATGAGAAGAGCATTGGAGATGCAGGCGAACGAGGTCAGGTACGTGAAAGGTTTAGGAATGGGATTTGTGTAACTTCTTTAGCTGGTTACTCTCCCCAAGTATTTTCCCAATGCATGTTCACACCCAAGCCGGACATTTGAGACGTAGTCAGGGTCAATGGTCTGTACATTCTTGCTGCACAACAATGGAATAGCCATTGTACATACAGATTATCCTCGATTTTTAGACCATTTGATATGGTCAGCCGATATTCTGCCAGCACAACAGGGAATCCGCGATACCCCCTGTGACACAGGCTAAGTTCCCAGGACCACATTTTTGTGAAATGTTGACCACAGAAGGCTCTATTTACTACAAGGTAAAAGATTGACAGTATTTGTATGCCGATCGGAGAATAAGGCTGTACGATTCCACGCATCCTCGTTCAACGAAACTTAATCTCATTCAAATTGGTGAGATGAAGGTACATTTATACTAATCGAGTAACGCTGGGGCCGCTGGGGTAGTCCTTGATGAATTTTTAATGGAATCGGATATCAAGCATCCCCGTCTTGGTATTCCATGTAGCAATCGAAGATTCTGGACCAGTTGAGACATTTTGGGACGAAGATCATGTACCTTACAACCTTAAGATCTTTCGGGTCATTTTTGTAGGAATTTGAGTGGTAGCCTTGTTACTTCAGATATGCGGTAGAAAGGTTATACATTTGTATACGTTAAACTTATTGGACTGTTGTGACTAGCTTCTCACTTCGTACTCACATATCAATTTTCACAGGGCGGTACAACTTGATCATCCATTCTAAGAGGATTGATCTGAAATGTGCGGCAATCTCGCAATTAAATGGATATTCTGTCTAGCATTGGCATGTAAAGTTTGTGGTCTGTAAAAGATGGATTCGAAGATTTAAGGAAATGTCAGATTAATTTTCGACCTATCATTTCAAACAAGGCGAACGAAATGCGGCAACCAAGATCAGATTAAAGTTACATTAGCGTCAGGGAAATTGCTTGATACTGTGATATATTTTGAATACGACAGAGTATATGTTGAGACCCTAAAGAGTACCAAGCTTGGGATTTAATTATACAATATCGATTTACTAGCTTACCAACTTACTAAGTAGTAAGTCATAGTATTATATTTCTTAATACGAAGTCCTTTTTGATACAATTAGACTATCAGACAATTAGACGAATTAGACACCTGTATTGCAAATCAAGCTTGAAAGTTGATGAGGAACATGTGGATCCAAGCAAAATGGCCACGATGATGCTAAGAACCCAGATACATACATCCTTTGTACATACATGTCCACACATGTGTTGATACTTGGATTTAGTTGACCTTGTGGGCCCGGTTCTAAGTTTCAACTTCTTACCTTACATTTGATTGACCTTGTTCAAGCCGTTAACGGTACGAAACGTATCTTTTCTTTTTCCCTTCTTGAATCTCACACATGAGGCGAGGCGGTGTGTAACTTTCCAATTGCTCTGCTTGGGGGTTTCGGATCGCCCGCTGTCACTGCACACACAGCACACGCACACTTAGGAACCTTAGAAACCCTAGAAACCCCAACTAAATTTACAACCTTGGTAAAAATTTCCGCATAATCCGTTCAATCCGTTCATCAAAGATCCACGATTCGCAAGTGAGAGAGTCATTGAGATTTAAAAAGGATTATGGTTGTTAAAACCTTTCTCCGCATCTGACGTTTCCTCCCACTTATCAATTGAGATATATGTGGTAAATGGTCAACTTTTATCAAGGAAAGTCCTAGATACTTGTAAAAGATATTCTTTTCAGCCTCATGCTATTGTTTTTGGAATAACAAAATCACGAAAAAACAAATCCATATTGTCATTCCCTTTTCCTTATGTACTTCGACAGCTCTGCATCTCAGAAGCGGTGACAGGGCTAATTCAATATTAACCCGAGTAAGCCTCACTGCACTGTGCATGCGTTGTGTGGCATATGCAGCTCCTCATAGTAGTGCGAGCTTTTGTCCGAAAACGATATACACCAGCTTACCTTCCACTCCTAAGGTCACCAATTTTGTATTCCATCCGTCGTTTTTCTTTATTTCTCATGGCTACTGCTTCGATCAAAAGAAGTGCAAGTACGGATGGTAAAAGGCCAAACTCGCGGCATCGTTATGAGAAGGTCAAGGCGAAACTCGAAAGGGAACCTCGTTTACAACGCGAAAGATCTAGTCCAAATGCCTCGCAATATCGGCCTCCTCCACGACAAACTTTGCAATACCATCAACGAATACTCACTCCAATGAAAACACCTTCTCCATGTTTAACATCCCCCTCACCGCCTCTTAATGTTTACGCTGCTCCGGTTATGGAACGAACTCTCTCCGGTGATTCGATTGTCTCTGATCACAACATCTCTATCCCTTCTCCTGGTCTACACGACCATACAGTATTGAGCGATGACCAAGCAGCCAATATCGTTGAACACCACTTCCTCTACACCCGGCCTCCTGACCATCACTATCTCGAAGTCGAACTTCAAAATCTTCTCCTCAAAGCTCACCTGTCTGATCCCGCTATAGACCGCATCATCTACCTCATCGATACGATATTCTTCCACAACTCCCTGCACAACCGCGTTCGGCTTTCCTGGTCCTCGCCGTCCCAGCCTCGCTATTCGTCAGAACTCATCGGTACTACTGCTCTTCGTCCTTCTTCTCTAGGGGGCTTCGAAACTCTAATAGTTTTATCTGAACCCATTCTTAGAGATCCAAAATATGATCGGAGATTATTGTTAAGTGCGCTGTTGCATGAGTCGGTGCATTGCTATCTCTTTGTGAAATGTGGGTGGGGCGCAAGGGAGATGGGGGGACACACGGATGGCTTTCATAGGGTGGTCGGTGTTATTGATGGGTGGGTGGAGAGGTGGATTGGAAGGGATTGGCTGAGGTTGTGTAGCATGAGGGCGAACTTGGAGCTTTTTAAAGTGAGGCGGGAAGCGTATGGACCGGGGTGGCAGGGGGGTGGAGAGTGGAGGGTAGACGAGCATGCGGAGAGAGAGATGAGACATCGGGAACGGATTCGGGGAGTACATCATCATGGACGTTACCCCCACGACGGATGCGGACAGAGTCTCGGCCCAGAAATGGATAGGGGATTGGCCTATACACGCCATGATCTTCCCTTTCTCCCTAACGCTGGAGATGACGGATTTCGATAATCTATCTCGCTTCTGTGCGTGATGGGACGACCTGCGGCTTACGTTATTCCACACTTTGGATTTTTTTTTTCTTCTCTTCTTTTTTCGTTTTTTCGTCTTTCGAAGCATTTTCTTCCGTATGGATCACATCACTTTAGCGCGGCGAACGATAGGATCCGGAGCGTTTGACTTTCACAACCAGCATCAACGGGTGCATTTAGAGGCGTTGGATTATCATCACGGGGGGGTTTTCTTCTCATGGGAAACTTTTAGGAGGTTATGATATGATGGGTTTTTTTGTACACGCTAAAAGTTCACGATACATGGATGGATGGATGGACGGAAAGAGGGGGATGGGATTTGCATGAGGGATTGGACATTATATTGGGTTAGATACTTGAGGGGACTGGAATTGGATTAGCATCAGGATTTGAATTTAGAGATGGAGATGCTTGTGTAGTTTGTATATAATAAACACGTTTTACTCTAGAGATTTCTGTGGAGTGTTTTGTTGTTAGTGGTGAGGAAGTACAATTGGAAAGTCTACAATGTGGAATATGTATATACAATTATATTTCTGTTAATTTGATTGGGTACAATACGCGGTTTCTTTTCTAGTGAACTTGGTTTGAAAGAAAGTGATTCGAGCAGAATATCTCTTTCACGTTTCTTGCATTTTTGTGTTCTATTTTTAGGGCTTATTGACAACAAACAGTTTCTTGAGGATTCTCTGAGCGCCCGATGGGAAAATGAGGAGAGCAAGTAGTGTCTCTTTCAATAGGTGCTCTAGTGTTGGTATTAGCCCCGTACTTCTTCGCTCCAAAAGATAAAATATGTGTGGAGGGAGGAGGCAGTATCATATGTGAGTGTCATCATAGAACATACTTATTATTTTCTCTCAACCAGAGTAGTACATTGAGAAGCACAACTCGAGATCGAAAAGGGCTAGACAGCCTTCTTTCTTCAGATATCCACTTCACGTGTCATTTCCACACATCAGAACAATCCCCACTCCGCACATTCAAAATCCAAATCGAACAAGTAAATTTTTATATATACTTACCTACATCTCTATATATCCCAGCTACCCTAAGAAAACCATCCAAGAAAAGAAAATTAAAAAAAGATCTAATAATACCGCACCCTATAAACCTCCTCCGCACACTCATGCAAATTCCAAAAATTCTCCAGATCTAGAATCTTCACAGGAGCCATTCCGCTTCTCTCCATTTTCTTTGTGTTCCTTTCTCTGTTCTCGTAAGTAGGTTTGCTTACCTCCATCCCTATCTTATATTTTGCATTTATACTAGGAATATTAGGATTGACCGTTTTCTGTATGTACGGATATGCATGTCTTGATTTCAGGTTCTGGAGGTATTTATTAGTAGCTGGGCTGATTCTTACATTTTCAGTCGCGAAATGCGTTCTTCGGGCGAGTAAAAAATTAGGAAGAGAGGATTGTGAAGACGCAGTCGCATCTTCACCATCTAGTCGACTCGTCGAAGTAGCAAGGTGTTTGCGCACGGGATTCGTGATCCTCTTGAAGATCTTCCCATTCGCTCTGCTGCTCATTCCTCGTAAACTCTCATGAATACGTGCTCTATGATTCTTTAGCAATTGTCTTTCCTTCGCTTCGCGTTCAGGTCTTTCTCTTTCCCATTCTTCCTTTGCGAGTTCTTCCTCCTCTTCTCTTTCCACTCTTTCAAGTTCTAATTTCTCCAATCGATCTTCCTTTTCCTTCTCAATCATCTTCCTTTCCTCCAACTCCTCCATAAATACATGCGCAAACCAATCCATCTCCCGATCCACAACCTCCCTATCCATCCCCATCTTCTCCAAATCCACATACCAAATTTCTTTATCCGCAATCACCAATTCCAATCCCAATGCTTCCTCCCTCCCTAACCGAACATCCAATCTCAACCCCTGTCTAGCAAAACTTTCAACACTCCTCGCCGCTCGTTGCCATTGCATCCCATGTCCCGTCATCCCCGATTCTTCAAATTCCAGAACCTTTCTCCTACAGCTCGTATTGCATTTACACACATAGATGCTAAAAAAAGCATGAACCATTTCATGCAACATAGTGCCCAGATAATTCTCCAACAAGATCTTACTCTCCTCTTCATTTTCAGGAGGCGGAGACCTTACAAATACACTAATATAACAACGAACATTATGTCTCGTGGTAGTCTTTTCTCCTCTCTTATCAACCGTCGTGCCCAACACATTTCTCGCCTTTTGTTCCGCATTCGGCTCTTCGAGCTTCATCACACATCTCATGGTATTAAGCGCGCCTCCAAAAATCATAGCGTTGAAATAGGAAAAATAGAGATCGAGAAGATCTTGTTCTTTCTTACCTTTTAACCAGGGGTTTTTGATGACGGCCGCGAGATCAGAGAGGTTGGAGCGTCTCCAGTTTTCCTTGATTTTGTAGAAGGGGTCGTGGAGCGGCTGGCCAGTGGGGCCATGCAGAGCATTGGCTATGTTGTCGGCGATGAGATCGGCGGCTTGTGAATAGGTACAGCAGAGAGGTTGGAGGGGGATATGGGCGCGATCACCAGCCCAGAGTATGCGCCGGGCAGCGTAGGGATTGAGATGGCACTCGTGGATTGTCATTGTGAGAATCAGAATGGAAATTTAACTTACTGATTTTTAAATGGACGGATAATGACTTTGGGCCTGCCCAATATTGAATGTGACAACAGGAAATGTGTTACTGACTTGATAACTGGATTTGTAAGAGGGTTATGTGTCTCCCTGAAGTTTTCGCTTGTAATAATGACGACCAGCGTCTTGAATGTGAAATGTTTCTGCTGAGAATGAATGCAAAGATATAACATTAAGAGAGAGCAGAAAAGGTAAAAATTGGCAAGCAGAAGATGTTTGTGAAAATAGGTAGGAAAAGGGAAGACAATGGGATTGTCGATGGATATATGTCGAAAAGAACAAAGAGATCGAACAGATGAAAGGGTGAGCACCGCGGTTAGTGAAAGTTCAAAGAATAAAATGTCACTATGTTTAAAATTCTTTGTGAAGGATATCTTGACAAAGCGAATCATTGTTCTTTGACACGTCGAGAGACAAAGAATTAGTGAGAACATGAGAGTCAAGTGTCCCAATCAGCGATCTTGGCATCCATCTGTTGTTGAATTTGTGTTGAGGCAGCCAGATAGTAACCTGATGGTCCTTGATCTATTTTTCTGTTATTGAGCGAATGGAGTTCTCAAACATAAGTATTGAAACCTTGCTCTGTAAATACTTGCATTGTAGATACTGATAGTGGAAGAATCCAAAGTCGAAAATACACAAGTAGACTACCCAGTATCATCTTAGACTTAAGTGGTGCGCAGATAGTCGAAGATAATTCGTAATAACAACCTAGGCAAGTCATTGCAGGTGTCCAGTTCACATGTCACCAACCATACACATGTTGTCTTGGACAACCACACACAAAAAATGGATTCCGAAAGCTTATCTCATTTTCGCACTCTGCTCCGTTTATTTTCAAAGAACGGAAGTAGGATATCACATTGCAGTTTTGCAAACGCCGACCATGCTCAAAATATCTTGACTGTGCAATCAATGTTTGTATTGTCTCATCCACTGCTCGAATCCATAATCTAATCCCAATATTCAGCCGTTTATGCGATTCTCTTTCCCTTTTGGTTCTTCTTTGGGGTATCGGCGATGGTGAGGTCTAACGGTTATGTTAGTATTTTTGGACCTCAAGCGGAGGAAGTGAGGAGATCATACTAGGTGGAAGACTTTGCTTCAACTTCTCGGCCTTCTCCAAATCCTTAAGGACAAGGGTGTACAAGTACTTTTGGCATCTGACCTTGATCTTGATGGCACTGGTCTTTCCGACATTCTTCTTTATGCGGGCAGCTATTGTGTATTATGTTAGCCTTTCCGTAGCTTTGTAGTTTGCGCCATTCTATCCCGCAGAATCTTCCTTCCTCCAACAGCCCAATTTTAAATGCCGACAAAACTCTCCCGTATTAGAAATCCAATGTGAACTGTGCAAGGCGATAACAGAATAGGAATAAACACATACAGGAAGCATCCTTGCGTCTGCAAATCTCCAAGAACTATTTAATTCAATATTAGCATCTGTCCAAACTTGTCCTCAAAACTTTTTCCCGATCTCCATTCCTACCAGCCGCCTCAAAAGGATATAACTTACGGATTTGATGTCGGTGATTTCGCGAGGCATTTTGACGGATTGATTAGTCGAAAATTGGTGAGAATATCGGGAATTGATGACAGGAATCGGGACTTCGTGATAATGAGGTTGTTGATGTGGAAAATCGGGATTGTGTGCTGATTAGTAAGCAAGCTCGGTTACGATTGTACGGAAGGGTTTTGGTTGATAAGATCCATGAGCATGGATGAGCCAATTAATGTGGCGTTAGTTGTCGCACAGTTTTGTGGCTTGTGAGGAGGACAGGTTTCTGATCATTTATTAGGCAAGCACTTCTCTATGAATGATTATCTATTTAAAGTCTTTAAAATTCCATAATTGAAATTCGATACTTACATTTGTTTTGCCCGTACATTTGGTAAAAGATTTGTGTTGAAGAAAGAAAGACTTCTGAAAGTACAACGTTGTCCATACTTAAGAGACAAGCAACGCCACCCCCTCCGTCAATAATGCCTACTCCTTTGGATAGAGCTCTTAGCTCCAAAGTAGGTTTCTCCCCCATCACTTCGCAAGCAAGTTATTAACAGATTTGTAGAATGCAGTATTAGCTTTCACTGGCATCGTAACTGCAGCGGCAGCTTGGTCCATTTGGGGTACTGATATGTTCCCAAAGGAAGAAGATCCTACCGGTGGTGTGTATGACCCCATTGTCAGCTGACAAACCGATATTAAGTTGCAATAGATCCAGCAACGTGGTCAAAAGAGGAATTACGGAGATGGTTGGCGGCTGTTAGTACTCTCGGAGCTCTTCTTTTCATTTCCTTCAAATATATCACCCATCGAAATTAACCACATTCTCTACAGAGAGATCTTCATCCACAACCCAGGGATACCAAAGAGCAGTTGCTGGAGCGAGTAAAAGCAAACTTACGAGTGCCAAGAAAATCATGAACACCATGATACCTAGTGATTATGGGTCTTTTGAGGCAGGGGAATAGGGCGTTGGAGTCAGTACTCCGGATTTCACGATTACGATTAGGGGAGGCGTCAGGTCACTTATGTTCAGTTCAGTTCAGCATGCATTGATATTGATAAAATTTCATAAACTAACAACTTTCTCCGGGTTATTTGATGGTTCCCATTGGACCTCATGACCTTCTTGTCATGCAAATTCGCCTTTTTGTTCTTGATCTATCATCGTTTGTTTGATATCCTAATGCTACCACCATGAAGAAAGGTATCAAATTCCGCAAAAATCTACGCCCATAAATTGATGTATGCTGTGCTTGCTGCAGCCCACATAGAGATCAAAAGGAAAAATAAAGAGTAGCAATAAAACACTCTCAGTAAGCTTGTGGCCCAGCATAAGTATGCTAGATATTCTGCTATTTGCTCGAAGTTGTTGAAGACAGCCAACCATATCAAATGTTGATTGTCAACTTCAACCTGCAAAAAGATTCTAGCTATTTTGGTGTTGCCTTTAGATAAGAGAGTTTCAGTATGAGTAGGGAATGATCATGCAACAATAAACTCCTTCGAAATCCGCATAATAACCAATAAAGCAAATGTGCGAAAAAATATAAGAAGGTTTTGTAACTGGGAGTTGGCGCATGATAACGAGCTATTCCCGGATTTGGAATATGGTTATTGTAAAAGATGTTGAAGTTGGCTTTGCATCACAAGGGCGCCAGTTCGGTAACTTATTTTAAATCGATGGAGTAAGCTCATTCGTCATCCATTTGTTCCATCGCAATCTTCTTCTGTCACATTGTGAATTAGCACACGTTGATCAAACTGGGGAGTGTAAAGCTTACCTCTAATTCAGCGACTTCATCCTCAAAAGCCTGTGCCTCTTTGTTGATTCTATCAGCCTGTCGATAGGTCAGTCAGTTGTCAAAAAATCGAAGCATGGCAAACTTACCTCCCTCTCCGCCTTCGCTACTTGAATTGCCTTTAACTTTTCTTCCAAAGCTTGCTTCTTCTCGATAGCTGCTTGCTTTCTTGCTTCTGCTATGGCAATCGCACCCTCAACGGTAGATGTTTGCTTCAAAGCGGGAGATATATTCGTCTTGTTCGGTCCCGAATTGCTGCTAGCGGAGGTCATTTGATCAGCCTTGCGCTTATCATTCACTCCAGCCTTAGCCCTGCTTTTGCCCTTGGGTTTGGCTACGGGCTCTTCAGGAACAACAGCTGTTGGTACCTTTGAAGCCTTTGGGGTACTTGCGGCTTTGGTAGTCTTTGGAGAGGGCTTCTTTGGCTTGGCTTGAGATTGCTCAGGTTGTGCTGATGCAGCCGAAGAGCTTTCAACTTTTGAAGTCGACTTTCTTGGCTTAGCTTGAGAATTTTCCGGTTGAGCGGAGACATTTGAATGTTTTTCAACCTTCACAGCTGGTGGCTTTTGGACAGCGGCTGTCTTAGAGACCGACGAAGGCTGTGTCTTTGGAGCAGAGGAGGGTTTGGAAGCAGCTGGGGCTCTTGTATTTGATTGCGTGGCTGGCTTGGTGGTACCGACTGTTATCGTAGACTCATCAGCTTCAGAAGGAGAGTCTTTTCGACCATCTTGTTGGTTTCCAATGTCAGAAGGTGCATCATTGAGTCTGCTATTAGGATCCGTGGCTGTGGAAGGCAATTTATTGTTTTCAGAATTGGTCATCTCAGTGTCTGATGAGACTCCAGCTTGATGAAACTCGAAAGCTGCTTCAGTTTCTACTTCAGGAATAGCACTTGATGGGAATCGTTTGGCCCTCTGAAGTCTTTGACCTTCCGCGATCCCTTCAAGAATGCTCTCAGGTATTTCTTGTGTTGATTTCTCAGAGTCATTTTGACCATCTTGTGACGCATTCAACTCTTTAGATTCAGAGGGTTCGGTTTTATTCACAGCATCTTGATCTTGGTCTGTGGTTGTAGATTGAGGACCAAGCTTAGGAGATGGCGATCGTGATGCTGTTAACTGTGCTTCAGGTTCGGCTTCGACGGCGTCGACCATTTCTGTATCTTCAGGCTGAGGTGATGTGTGAATGAACTCGTTAAAATTTGTTTCCATGTGATTGGCGTTTGAAGACTGGCCAGGTTTCTCAATATTTGAAGCTTTTGTTTTCAAGGTGAATTCTAGGCCGTGTTGGCTTAATTCTCCAGCTTTGTTTTCTGGAACTGTCTGGTCGTGTTTGACTGAGGGACTTGCTTCGCGGCTATCATTGTCACTATAATTATCTTCAGTGATAATAGCACGAGCTGCTGATTCAATTTGGATTGTGCCATCAGAATCTCCAAATAAAACACGTCTTTCGGTTCCAAAGTGGTTTAAGTAATTTGAACCTGACTTCTTTGACGATACTGGCGGGGTTAAAGGCTCCCAGGATAGACCATACCCCTGAGTACCAAGTGGCTTAAAGTGAGTGACAGTCTGTTTCTCGGCTGCTTCTCCAACTATACATGGCACAGAGGGCTGTTTCAAGCTGTCTGAGTTATCCAAAGATGTAATTCTGGATTTTTCCGATGAGGTAAGATCTCCCTCAGCTTGGGATTGATCAGTGTTGAGCGTGAGGAAATCGTCTACATTTTTGCTTAAGCTTCTGTGTTGATACCATAAAGAACGATGAGGATCATTCCAGGCTTCGCTTGCCGGAGCTCCTTCCATCCCGGGCATAGAAAGTGGCTTTCTCTTGCGGTTTGTTCGGGTTCCATTGCTTTGATCGACGCCATTGCCTGTCAACTCATCCCTCTCGACCTTAATAGTTGGTGTAAAGACTGCGGTATCTGTAGGTTCGCTAGCATCTTCACCACTAAGATCAATAACCTGAGATACTTTTGAAAGACGGCCAGGCTTTAAGACAGTTCTGTTTGCTTCAGCAGAGCTCTCATCGAGGGTTTCTGAGTACTGAGAATCTTCGATGACCCTAGTATGTTTCCCCACTGATTTCATCGACTTGGTTGCTTGAAAAGGAACTTCGATTTCTACAGAAACACTGCTCTTAATGATATTACTACTAACTTCTTTGCCTTTGTTAGTTTTTCTTGACTCGTCCAATTTAGTCTTTGTCTCAGGTGTAGGCTTATCGACATTTTCAACAGTATCAACATCATCATCATGATCGCTGCCGACATCGTCGGGGTCAATGACCGAAGATACCTTTGATGCTCGTGAAACATCCTTTGCAGTCGGCTTTTTTGACGATGCCCTTGTTCCATTCCACGGTGTTCCAATGTATTCTGGGGTATCCAGGAAGCCCAACTTATGGAACTCGGCGGTAGAGAAGAGGAGAAATTTGAATGAAGCCCAAATCTTGTAATCACCGGGCCATTTCTTCACAACGAGGCTTTTTGCGTTCCCCTGAAACTTCCTATAGCCAACGCCGCCAACTTCGAAGGGGGGAGAAGGAACAGTGTCTTCGTCAATACAAGGATTAAGAGTCCACCATTCAGTATGGTCTTCGAACGTCGGTGCACGTTCTGCATAGCCGAGATCTGGAGTTCTTTCTTTTGATAATGAGGAATCATCAGAATCAGAATCAGTCGCGTGGTTCTTATGAGCGTTGGGATCTTTGCGGAATATTTGTATTACGATGCTACCGACAGAATGAGGTGCGCCACCTTTGACATTTCGTGCTGTTTCACAGTCAGTATAAGTTATTAATTAGAGAGAACAACTAACTCTTTTCAATGTTCCTCTTTGCTACTTGTAGCTGATAAATTCTGTCGACATATCTGTTCCTCGATTTGGTTTGACCAACAACCCATTCAAACTTCTTGCTGAAGTTCCTGGTGCCAGCCTCGTTGCTATGAGAAGCTCGTAAGATACCATCGACGACAACGTCAGTGAACTCGACAACACCTGAATTGATGTTGAAGCACGGTACGATAGCATCGTCTTCTGCGGTCAGAGCGTAGCAGGTGAAGTGATTGCCTTCGCGCTTCACGCCCTCTTCAAGTAGCTTCGTCCGGTTACCTGGAGGACCTGAGTTACCACTTGTCAAGTAGACTTCTCCCTTGAGAGCCTTCCCATCAAAGCCAGTCAAGCCAGGTGGGATTTTCATGTTTGTGGATATCGAGAAAGCCTTTTGAATTTACTTCTATGCTTTGACGTGTTGAAAACCCTTGGTGAGAAGGGCAATATTGATTTTGTTAGTGGGATCGGATCGAAAGTCGCATCTGAAGGGAGTTGATGAGATCGAAGGATGTTGAAGGAGAACTGAATAAGCCTTGACAGGTAGATAAATCGTGAGAGGGTGAGCTGAATAGTAAATAAGTACCAATATGTGCAAATTTGCAAGAGACAATTATAGTTGAAGTGACTTGAAGATATTTGAAATCATAAATTTCGATAGGAATCTGGATGAAAAGCGATCAACAGGTGTTGAAGAGGGAAGTGGTTGTTGTGGGGACGAAGGTTACTGAGGATGGATAACAGAGTTTATTGAGGATTGAAAACTGAAGTTAGAAGTGAATATGGAGACATGGGAATGCAACTCGAATGGTTTGAAGAGCTTAATTTTGCGGGTGCTCTAAATGTATGAATTGACATAAGATACTTGGTATGAAGAACGTTCTTCATACCCTCTCATAATTCAACAAAATTTCATTATTTTCTTAAGAAGAATATTCGGGAAGGACCTTGGGAATCGAAGATGTTTTGTATGCACCCACATATCACTGTTGTTCAAAGTAGTATTATGCATTAAGATAAATAGCAGCTTTTATTATATAAATAAATACCATATTGCTTTTATACTCTCAACATCGACGGCGCGTCAGCTTGTAGATTTGCAACTCTTTTCAAGGTGCTACCTGCGTCTTTACCAAGATGTCAACCTATTATCTTGCCCGAGGACCTAAGTCTGTCCACCGCCGAATTTTTGTAACTCTTCTAGTCTCGTCATCTGACCAGAATTGATGTCAAATTTGAGACGTTTGAGGGGTGCCCCCAAATGAATCGACCATAGGTTGACCGACCAAGATTGCTTTCCGTAGGGTAGCATTACATCGATCCGCGGAGCAATGCTGCTTCCTGTGGAGAGAGCCTTCTAACCTGCTGTCAAGAATAAGGTTCTCCATATCATCTTCCATATTTCCTTCATAATATCTAGATTTCAAGACCTCAAAGAACCAATCTAAATATCTGACTCTGAATCAACCATTTCTTAATCCCCTTCGGCGCCTTTGGATTTCTAGCCTCCACATTGGGCACCAAGACAAAATTCTCCATGAAACCTCGCTCTTCCCCCTCATCCCCATTCTTCGACGTATATTTCACTTGCCCGCTAACCATAACGGCAATACTAATTTTCCTCCCGTCCTTATCCGGCCCAAGCTTACTTTCCTCAACTCCTATGTTGTAGTTTGGGTTTATGACATGAGCATCGTATGCTTGCGCTTCATATGAAGTTTTGCCTATTTTGTTCTCGAACGTTTCTTGGAAGGCGGAGGGTGTTGGCACGATGTTTCCATTAATGGTTATGGATGCTTCAGCCGGGGCCAGAGCGGAAGGCTTAATATAGAAGGATGTAATTGTTGAGCGAAGATTTGGCTTGTTCAAAGCTTCGTAGAAACTTTCAACAAAAATATCGGCCGCTGGAGTGTATTAGCATAATGTTTCATAGTTTCATTAAAGAATAATTACACGATTACCTTTGGTAGCCAATTCGGCTTGGACATCGTTTGTAGGGTCAGACATGATAAGTCGCACAGATAGTATGTAATTATGAATATCCAAGAAAAGAGGATAGATTACAGTATATCAAACAAGAGAAGTTTACTTAAATAACAATTCGATAATTCTCTAGGATGTCTTTGCCCTTCTCAGAAAGAATGACGCACGAAGTGAAATTTGAATTTATAGTTTTGACAAAATGCGGGGGCGGAGAAGCGGCCGCATCGCCGCATTCCCGCAATCTTACTATTTGTCTTGGATCATGCTCAATCGAGTCTCAGTCAGCGCATTTCGTTCAAATGTATGGCCTCAATCCTCTACTGCGGGGCTCTTTGCAGTCCAGGACCAGATCAATATTGAGGGCTGGCTGGGTTTGTAGCTCATGCAGGGCAAGACCCATACCGAAAGCTAGCTATTCTGTCGATACAAAATCGAAAAAGCCATACTATGTGACCACACCAATTTTCTACGTGAATGCTGGTAAGTCTGAATGACTTTGCGCCGGCGCAGCATTCTGAGCTAATTGGTTCATCTTCAGCGCCTCATGTTGGCCACTTATATACTATGGTCCTCGCGGACGTCTTCAAACGATGGCAGGTTTTAAAGGGCGATACGGCAATCCTATGTACAGGAACGGATGAACATGGCATGAAAATCCAACGAGCTGCTGCGCAAGCAGGAGCATTGCCCAAAGAATTTTGTGATATTGGCGCTGAGACGTTTAAGGAATTGGCACAGCGAGCAGGACTTTCAAACGATCATTTTGTGCGCACGACTGATCCAGATCACAAGGAGACAGTTGAATATATCTGGTATATGCTGAGGGAACGGGAATATATATACGAGTCGAAACACGAAGGATGGTATTGCGTCAGTGACGAAACTTTCTATCCTGAATCGGCTATTGAGAAGAGGCTGGATCCCTTTACTGGAAGAACATTCATTGCTTCTCAAGAGACTGGTAAGGAGGTTGAATGGACATCGGAGAAGAATTACCATTTTCGATTATCTGCTTTCAAGGACCAACTGCTTGAGTTTTACGGGAAGAATCCCGATTTTGTTGTCCCAATGACTCGAATGAAGGATGTTGTCAACCAAGTATCTAGGGGCTTAGAAGACCTTTCAATATCCCGTCCCTATGATCGGTTAAGCTGGGGTATTCGAGTTCCAGACGATGAGACTCAGACTATATACGTATGGCTCGATGCGCTGGTCAACTATATTACAAAAGCCGGCTATCCATGGGCGCCAGGGAAGGAAGCTGCAGGAGGATGGCCTGCAGATGTACAAGTTATTGGAAAGGATATTGTTCGATTTCATTGCATATATTGGCCAGCATTCCTTCTCGCTCTGAATCTACCACCACCAAAGCAAATATTGACCCACGCCCACTGGACAATGGACAATCAAAAGATGTCCAAGTCAATCGGAAATGTCGTCAACCCACTTTTTGCAATGGATCGATTTGGGGTCGATGTGATGCGATACTATCTTATTCACGACGGTGGAATCAAGGAAGACTCCGACTACGGGAATGAATATATTGTTGAAAGATACAAGAAAGGACTGCAGCAAGGTCTAGGTAATCTTGTCAGTCGATTAACCAGACCAAAAGTATGGAATGTTCGTTCTTGCGTGGAAGCCACACACTTTAAAGGCTCGAGCAATCCGAACACTACAACTAGTCGACAGATTGACTTCCTGAACAGCGTTCGCGATAAGGCCAATGAGAAAATGCAAGAGCTAAATGCAGGAGCAGCTTTGCATGTTATTATGGATACCGTATACGAAGTAAGCACATCATCTACATATTTCTACAAACCACAATACTAACCACAAACCATAAGACCAACAAATACATCCAAAACGAAGCACCCTGGAGTCTCGCCAAATCCGAAGATCCAGATGCGAAAGAAAAACTCGTAAGCGCTGTATATCATTCCGCAGAGGCAATTCGCATCGTTGGTATTCTCCTCCAGCCATACATGCCGGCAAAAGCATCGCTATTACTCGATATGATTGGTGTAATACCAGAGCGTCGAACATATGAATATGCGATACTGGGTGCCGATCCTTCTTATGGTGATGCGCAGGCTCCGTTAGGCAAGGGTGCGTGGGATGGGCTATTCCCTCCTTTGGCTATTGAGAAATGAGTTACGTAGCTTGGAATTTTTGTTGTGTATCATATGTGAAAATACCCGTATGGCTTTGAATAAATGTTCCCACTCTACTTCCAGGTGAACTGTCGGGTCGGGATCTGTTTTTTGGGCGTTACTTTCAGCAAGGTCTGTTGTATTGATCTGAACCGAACGAACCCAAGCGTGGAATATATTCATGTGTACGTGAAGCCTTTTCATTTATTCCGAAGGAAATCACCAAATAAATTCCAAGCTTCACGATCGAAAAGATTACGTCCATCAATGGAGTTACATTCCCAAGCTCGAAGATTATAGGATTTCAGAAGCTACAATGCAAACCAAAAATCGAAGGATAAAACGATCTTCTTATTTCCCATCTCCCAATACCTTCCTAAAATATATCTCACAGATTAAAGCTATATACAAAGAACATACATCCTCCTCCTTTTTATATACAACATCCCTTTCTTTCGATTCTTCTTTCACATATCCAATGTCCAATCACCACTTTCCACCCTTATATACATATTCATCTAACCATACATTCTTCCACCCTTATGCAGCAATACACTGTGAATACCAATCATTTTGCTTAACACACTTTGCGCCAGACGCACAAACGGTACTTCCGGTCCAAGTCGCGCCGCCACACTGTCCATAAAGCGCGACCGCGGCGCCGGTTCCCGAAGCTGCGGCTGTAGAGGTGGTTTTTGTGCTGGAGATGATGGTGGAGGAGGGAGCGGAGGTGGAAGAGGTCTTTGTGCATTTTTTTAGTGTGCTGCTTGAGGGAAGGGGAGATGAGGAAATAGGAAGTGAGGAAACAGCGGAAGAAACGGCTACAGAAGAACTGGCAATTTGTACAACTGAAGAGACGGAAGATACAACCGCAGAAGCGGAAACGGAATCAGGACTAGCGCTCAAAACGACCGGCGCAGATTTACTAGTAGAAACCGCACTGGAGATACTTACTTTTGCTGTAGAAACAGTGGTGGAAGTAACGGGGGAAGCGGTGCCTGCTGCGGCGGCAAGAGCAGCAACCACGTTGTTGTAGGCGGGATGAACGGTGTAGTTAGCGTACCAGAGACAAGCGTCGCCTTGGCCGGAGAAGGTCGATGGGATCCACGAGTATGCATCTGTGAAATCCCAGATGGTGATACCGACGCAGCCGTCGACGCTGAGACAGGCGTTGACGGTGTTAGCGTAGTCGACACCTTGTTGGGCGAGCCCGGCAGCGGTGGGAGGGAGGGTGCTGAAGCGGACGTCGAGTTCGGTGTAGGCGACTTCAACGTCGAGAGCAGTGAAGGATTTGAGGGTGGTGGCGAGGGCGGATTCGCTGGGGGTAGAGCCGACGATGAAGTGAGCTTGGAGACCGACACCGTCGATCTTGATACCGCGAGCTTGGAGAGATTTGACAAGGTTGAGGGCAGAGGTTGCCTTGGCACCGGAAGACTCGATGTTGTAGTCGTTGTAATAGAGCTTGACATCTGGATCGTAGAGAGCGGCAGTTTCGAATGCGATTGGGATGTATTCGGGACCAATGGTGTCATAGAACTTGGATGAGTTAGTTTCTGTACTGGGGTATTCGAAAGTTACAAGAAGTGTGATCAAAACTTACGATGAATGATCGCCAAGTACCATCATCGTTGAATGCCTCATTGACGACATCCCAGGCGTAGCATTTGCCTTTGTAGTAAGTTACTTCATTTTTGATGCTGCGTTATGGTTAGCTTTCAATGTCCATAAAGAGCTGCGCGAAACCACTCACTGATTCTTCAAGACCGCAATCAAAGTCTCATTTGTCCATGTGCCTGAAGTAACCCATGATGGCAATTGATTATACCAAACCAAGTTATGACATCTCAGAATTTGATCATTCTTCTCCGCGAAGTCAACGATAACATCTCCCTGAGTGTAGCTGAACGTGTTTTGGGTGGGTTCGATGTATTGCCATTTTTGTGTGTTTCCAGGTGTGATTTGTCCGAACTGACTGTTATTTGACAAGATAGCAGTATATTGAGCATCAGTAAGTTCACCGTTATCTGTAGCGGAACCAAAGTATTTGAGACCAGCAGCCTTGGCAAGCGTGTTAAGCTGACCATGAGCTAAAGGCAAGATAGCAAGAGGTATAAGATTTGAGATATGCATTTTGAACAGAAAGGTATGATAAGGAAGGAATAACAAAGAGTGTAATTTTCGAGTAACCTGACTCGGGAATGGTGATGAGAAATGGACTTGGGGGGGAACAGAGCGGTTATATATATATATATATTCGCTTGCCCTGGAAGTTACGACGAGTACATAAACGCCCCGTCAAACAAACTAACTCATTGTACGGATCGCTTTAGAGAAATACGGCAAAACGAAATTTGCCTGTTTCGGATAAATGACCCAAGGGGCATGGTATTTTTCCATACTGGGTGAACATCTAATATATCCGGAGCGCTTATGCGAAGAATAGTGGAGAACCGGACATGAATTGGGTAGTGTGGAATAAAATTAAAGGACTTCAAATACGCTCGATATACGATGAGAGCCCCTGACCTAGCATTGATCTCGTCTATCTGACCGGTTGTGGGGAACAAATTGACCTATTACAGGGATGACTCTAACCCAAACTCGGATTCCACGTGTTGGACGAAACAAACTTTTTCTCCATATTCAAAACAACTTGACGGCCCGCAACCTCTAAATAAAAGTTCAATAACAACGTACTAATTGCGGCAAAATGCAATATAATAACCGTCCAGTTTGGATAAATTCAAACCCCTGTTACCCCGCATTTCGTCTTGTGAAGATATCTCCCCTCAGTTGTAGATCTCGGGGTCGTAGATTCCGGTATCAAATGGGGTATCTGTGGCTATTACTCCACTTGAAGTTTGATGCTTCAATGCTTTGATAAGTGATGCCTCATGTGATCTATCGAGGACATGAACATCGATAGAGGACTGCAATCACTCGGGTCCGTTGCCTAGCATCCTATAAATAATCGAGCAAGTATCGAAATCCACCTTCATCACTCTCAAGCAGATACTCTTTTAAATTTAAGAGGGTCTGGTAACTTTGAGAACAGCAGCGGAATGATTTGTCCGTCTTGAGGCGATGACGCGTCAGAAGATCAGGTGAATTCTATGATAATTAGCAACCGATTTGAGGCTGAATGACGGTAATTGTACATTACAATAACGTATGACAAGATATTGCATCAGCCTTGTCTTTATTTGATTCTCTTGGAGAAGAGCCGTCTAGCCTTTATTCATCTTTCCATCAAAATCCTTGATGGCATTTTTCGCACTGCTAATACGATCAGCGACCGGGATTGGCTTCCGGAAAGCCAATGGAGGTGTCCCGTTGACATGTTTGAATTGGCTAAGGTTGTACGATGGCGAATGTGAGAGTCGTTGTTGCTTGATGGAAGCAGGAACATGTGACTTGAGTTCATCGATAATTCTATGAAGATCATTAGACAAAATTCGGCTAAATGATGATCCATCGTACAACGGGGAACTCAAGACTTACTTCTCCGATCCATAGTAGCCTTGCATAGAAGATGACAAGGATTGAGGCATGGTGATCAAGTGATAAGAAGGTTTGATTCAGTAAGACCGATGGGAATTGCGATTGAAAGTCAAAAAGTGTTAAGTGTGATGCAAGTCAAGTCAGACGAGTGAGTATCTGGAGAAGAGAACACAAAATAAAGATATTTGGATGTAGCTTTTCTTGATTGTTTTAACAATGATGTTGTTGGAAAGGCGTGGGGGAGGCCTACCGATATATAAACATTTCGCAAGTCGGCGGAATGAATAACTTGGCTGGTGACAGACATCATTTTAATCACCCTGACTTTGTTCAGTACTGATGAAAGATTGTCAAAGAAAATGAACCGTTTTCCATTGGCCGGCAAGGAAGGCAACGGATCGTTCCTTTACATTTCGTCTCCGCTCCATCGTCTCGATACAGCATTTGAGATGAAGCGCCAAGGAATAGCAAGGCTTTAGACGAATGAGTGAACATTTGAGCAAACTGCAACCAATCACCAAAAAACACCTTAGTATTCGGGGCATTTTTTACGACCAAGCAAAAAACCCTCGTTCGTCGGCCCGGGTACTTCTGAATTTGGATCGGTCTGTTGCGCGTTTGCCGGGTATGTTACACTTTGATTCGCAGAATCTGCGAGTACTTGAGATATAAACAAGGCTGAGCAATTTGATGCATTTTGATTCGCACGACGAATGCCCTAATGCAGCAAGTTCATGCGTAGATCTTCCGTGGAGAGCGTGATCTGTACATCCAAGTGCGCGAATAGATGACAATTAAAAGGGTCACTTGTACAACATCTGTAGGCAACTTCGGAGCAATCCAAAGCTCTGGTTCGATTGAGAGCCACCTCGGCGTCTAGTCCTTGCTATGAAGAAACAATATTGGTGTCGATGAGAGATCAAATCGAGTGTTCATCTGATTAGACGCATTGATGTGCGTCAGGTTTAAACAAGGTTAAACATAAAGATAATATCGCAAAGTCGGTTGCTTATTCGTCCCAGCCAAAACTCATTATCCAACCACCAAGGCGTTCACCATGGGCGTATGGCCAGAACATTCGAATTGTTGAATCGATTTATAAAATTCGGTATTGCATCCAAAGTTTCAGGGTCTGCAGCAAACTGGATGAACTTGGGTGCACGGACGTAGTTATGGTTGACTCAAAGAGGCTTAGTCTTAGATTTACATGCACTACCTAGTAGGTAAGCTACTACCTTACTAGGTTATCTGCACGTAGCCATCATGCTCTTCTTCCCATTCTTCCCATTCTTCCCATTCTTCCCTCATACATCCTTTCATCGACGCATCTCCGGTGCCCTATTCTTCTGACTGTCCAATCATGTCAATTCTCTCAACTTTTCAGATCTGAGGAGCAGCGCAGTATATTGAGGGAACGTTCTAGACCTCTGCAGCCATCCGTTTCGTTGATAGGTGTTGATTAATCCCTCGTAGGAAGCTGGGTGGTAAGCTCAAGGTTCCTGTAGAATTCTGCAAAGGTCTAGACTCATTTCTTCATCACTGGGTGGAAAGTTCATCATTCAATCTACCGCCGGCTTGGAGTTTGAAACAATCTTCATGAAAGATGCCTTAGAAGTCTGCCCTTGGTGACCCATTCAGGTAATTCCAAAGGCATCGCGTTGTGGATTTCAACCATCCGGACTACTATCTAGAACTCGGTCGCCTGATTAGATTCTATGCCAAGTAGATTGATTCAGCTCAGCATATGGATTCAATGATAGATAATCTCTCATGGTTGAACCGCAGACTGCGAGACCGAGTACTACAGTCTAGACTCATCGAACCCCCACTCTGCAGATTAATACACACGCCCTACCTTCTCCGTCTTATCCATCTTCTCTACCTTCCCTTTCTTGTCTCTTCTTCCCTCCTATTTCCTTCTATTCCCGATCACTTCTATTGTTGCCAGATCCGACGGCAAAGAGGAAGGGAGGTATCTAGACATTCAGGAGAATATATTTGCCGGGTATGACCAATGAGCGCCAAGAAACAACTCAGAGAAACAACAAGCACAACAAGTACAAACTTCATCAAGAATCACCTCAAAGTGACCTCCTTGTGGAAATTGATTCGAGACTCGAGCTTCGCCATTCTCGTCTGAAAATGTACCGAGTGTTTGCTGGATCTAACAAGCATCGATGTCCCTCGGTACTAGGTAGTACTCTCATACCTTTTGTATCTTCGTACCTTTTATTTTGGTTCCTGCAGCCGAAAAAAGTAACCATCGGCACTCTTCTTCGCACTATCCCACAGTACTTGTTCTCTGTGACATGCCAAGATCCATCGTCGAAAACTATCTTGATTAGTTTAGTACAGTCTCAAGACAGTGCACACGCGATAAAATAAACGGTCGGTTGATAGTTTCCATAGCTAATAACTACATAACTACTCTCAACTATACTAGTTTGTTACGTCAAGAAAAGTCGAGTGCGAAGTAAATACCCAGGGAGCCAGGTATCGCTACATCTTTCACCAGTTTTTTCAAATAACAAATTAAATACATCAAATCAAGCCATGAATGCAACAGAACCTGAATCATGATCGCGAACGACGTGTCAGCTGACACGTGATCATGACTTCACATTATGACGTCAAATCCCTCGTCATCCTGTTTTTGAATTCGAGAAAAACCAACATACGATTTTGATTTTATTATCATATATCCGGATCCAAATAATCCTGTTGCCTTTGAGTTTTCTACTAATCTCTTCCTCAAAACTTACACAAAGATAACAAGCAAAGCTCATTGAAAGATTATCGCAAAATGCCCTTGACATTAAACACCTCGGCATCTTTTGCCCTTACCTCCTCTACAGCATCGGGAGATGATTGGGGTCGCGCATATCAAACAAAAACAACCATCAATAAAGACGGTACTACACGTACAAAACGTACTCAACGTCTTGGAGAACCCATTATTGAAGAAACACGACGATGGGATGGAAAGGGACGGAGAGTCCTGGAGGATGGAAGTATCTATGAGAAGAATGGAAAGGGGAAAGGATGGGTACAAGTCCAGGGACCTACTGTGAAACCAATTCAGAATACGAACAAAGGGGGAAGTAGGAGAAAGGGAACGATTCTGGGGATGACGTGTGAGCCGAGTAAGAATGTGGTGGGGAATGGAAATGGGTTGGGGAATAATTTTGGGAAAGGAGGGGTGGGAAAGGGAACGGAAAATTGGTTGAACGGAATTATGGCAAGGGTTGCAAATGACGCGTTGGAGAGTAGAGGGAGGGGAAGGATTGTGCAAGAAGTGGAGAGTGAGGAAAGTGAAGAGGAGAGCGAGGAGGATAGTGAGGAAGAATATACTGATAGTGAGGAGTACACTAGTGGAGATTATACGAGCACTGAGGGAGAAGAAGAGGAGGAGGAAGAGGAGGAAGAAGAAGATATAGAAGAAAACCCGAAACCCAAGAAGAGCGCTACGACGACGAAGAGTAAGAGTAAAGTCTCGACGCCAAAACAACAAACCGCAAAGAAAGAGGTGGGAAAAAAGCAAAAGCCAACGAAAAAGAAACTTGTACAGGAGGAAGAGTCTAGTAGCGAGGAGGAATCTGATGACGACGAGGATGATGATGGCTATGTAATTGAAGAGATAACTTCATCTGATGGAAGAGAATCATCTTCTGAGGAAGAGGAAGAAGAGGAAGAAGAAGATGATGATGAAGAAGATGATGACGATGACGATGAGGGGGAGGAGGAGGAGGAGGAGGAGGAAGAAGAAGAAGTGAAAAAGCCAGAACCTAAGAAGCCAGAGCCTAAGAAGCCAGAACCCAAGCAGCCAGAACTCAAGAAGCCTGCAGAGAAGAAAACTGCCGAGAAGCCAAAAGGAATGCCGAAAGGAAAGTTTTCCAAGAAGAGCGTCGCGATTCCATAAGATCGTAATCCTTGTTTTATATACTGCATTACAATATCTGATTATCCAAGTTGGAGTTTCGGTACAAAGATAATGAAATTTGATTACGAATAAATATGAAGCATATGCTGTGATCGGCTTCCCTTGACTATCTCATACCGTATGTGCATTGATCTCTAACCTCACTCTCACTCTCAACTTTCAGATCTCAGCATGAGTACCTAGGTATTATCAGCACCTCAATATCCTCCCCATCCTCATCATCATCCTCGCCCCCATTTCTCACCCCCACGCATCCGAGTATCCGCTCACTCATCCGCTCACTTCATCTGGTGATCCACAAGTAAGTAAGTAAGTAAGTAAGAAAGAAAGAAAGATACCCAGTAAACGATCCAACACAATACAATACTCCCGACGTGCAAACCGTACCTGCATACACGCATCAAAGCAGTGTACACATACATACATGATTCTCACTCTCCACTACACCTCTACACTTCCGAAACAAGATGGGGTCCAAAGTTCTCCTCGCCTGTGATTTTATAGACCTATGACCTAATTTCACTCGACCCAAATAATTATTCCAAACAAAACAATTACATTACATTACATTCTGACCAACAACCCCAAACCCCAAGACAAGAAACAAAGAAAAATTCTCCACTCTCGTACGCGTATCCCCTTTCCCCTTTTCTCGTATCTCAGAATGAATACATACACATACACATACACATACACATACACACAGCACATCACCGATCGCAGGGCCCAAGATCTCACAATCGCGAAATGCCATGCCGTTTCTACGGTACGGTCCGCAAGTGGTGTATATTTATATTTCTTATTTTTACTACTATTTGCTTACTAGGTATTTTCTCCCCCCCCCACCCCCCAAATAAAAGGGGGGAGAAGAAGAAGAAGAAAAGAAGGGATTCGGGACCGAGAATTGCTTATTTTAGCGATGGGAGGGATTTTGATGGGTGGATGGATTGATTATGAGAGCGTGCAGTTTGCAGTTTGCAGGTTGTGTCTGAGGTTAGGTGGTAGGGAAGTGAGAATATGGGGTTGATGTATGTATGTATGTATGTATGTATGTGTGAGTATATCGATTAAAGATAAGATGTTTCAAAAAATGACAGATGACGAGATAAGAAATGAAAAAAGATGAGATGAGATAGATGACACTGACAGGTTATTTTTAGAACATTGAGTATGTCATGTCTTGTCTTGTCTTGTATGTTCCATCCAATAACGTCACATAACAAACAATAAGTCTTATAATCGGAATATGAGGGTAAATTACCGATTGGCTGGATGAAAGCTACCGCACCTAGTATTTTCCACCGATCAGAGATTACTGAAGGTTCCAAAATTATTCGAGAAGGTGATGAATGAGATATGTATGCCATATGCACGATACAGCAGAGTTCGCCGCTACCTGCAAGGCTGAAACGTGTATGTAACGTTCACTTCGGATACTAACTGTAGTTAGTAATTTCCTCTTCGCACGAGGCTATCGCTGATGTCCGTCTCTTTGCTTGGGGTTTGGAATCGAGAGTTGGGGTTTGCTGTGGACTGGTGAAGGACATGTCTCGTGGAGGAGTCATCAGTTTTGATATCGACGATGAAGGATATATTAAGATATGATTGTTGAGCCTGGGAGGATATATGCGATGAACTATAGATAGGAGCTGAAAAGTAACGATGCAAGTAGATACAATCGGGAAGTCGTAAACGAGAAACCGAGTTCGAACCCGAGGCTCATGGGAGAATCGGCAAGGCAAGCGAAGGATCTTGGCGACGAAGGTTGGACTCGGGAATGCCGTTAATATTGAGAGGTTTATGTATCATTAGCGTTGGCGTTGGCATTGTGAATAGATGCATGGATGGATTTAACTTGATTTGCTCTGTAATCGTGCATGAGAGCCTCGTGGTTGCGGAGATATTGCCGTGGTACAACATGAGAAAGTCGCATGGCTAAGGAGTAATGTGACGAGTCGTTATAATTCTGGAAGGCCTTGTTTCCTTGGGAGATCTGCAAGTAGAGTCGCCCGTTACTTGAAGGATTATGAGGCTCAAAAGTTGTGCGATGTTAGGCTGTAATCCATGCCAATCCTAGGTTGTTGAGTCGTTGGGAGAGGTAGCTAGATATATCTCTTGATTTGGAAAACATTCCATGGAGAAACCTGTATAAACTTTCAAGACGAGAGATAGCAATTGAACTAATCTCAGGAGTTACCCGGCGCTGAAATCATGAAGTCTAAAAAGTAGTTGTGTATTCTGTGTGATTTATTTTCTCACAAGGTTATGTTAACCCCCCTTTCTTGAGTAGAGTTAAGTTGACAAAGCCTAAATCCTCTATAATTTCATACATGTTATTAACATAGGAGTATTGCAACCACTCGGATTGCGACCTGAAGGGTAAAGACCAGTAACAAAGCAATAGCCTTCCAGGGACCAGGAAGCACGTATAAATGTAGATACAGCCATGCCAACACACATAGCTAACTTATCTTAGCCATTAGGTGAACAGAAAATCACGACTGAATGCTCAAACAACGTATGCATTATCCATATCTGCCTATCAAAAAATAGATAGGTAGCAAGAAATGCAAAAACCAACAGGGATGAAAGTTACCTTGGGTAACTTTCCCATCAGTTGACTACGAATAACCTACGTCAAAGGTGTCAAAATAGCGCATCAACGTTTGTGCATGGAAGCTACCTGGTAGGGATGGCGATTAGAAATTAAACAAAAAGAACACTACCCCAGTCGCATATCTATGCACATGCATATGCAGGAGTCGGCTTTCGTTTGCTGTAGGTACGTACGATTTGAGGACGGATGATGGCCAGGGTTGGATGCTGCAGTTGGTATCCTTTGACGATGCAGAGTTCGTATAGACTTGGTGTTCATACTCGGAACGCTGGTAAATTTTGGCTTTTCCCAAAGAAATGTGAACTCGGTTTCATTGTAGAAGTCAAACTCAATGCGTGTGGAAACACCAACCATGCCGAGTATCGCGATCGTTCGATATTGGAATTGCTATCCTCTGGCAAGGAAATTTACTAAAAAGATCTTGATGACATGTATCCTAGTGGGTGGTGCACCCAGACATAAAGCATGGAAGGCTTGTAGAAGAAACTGCGGTACCTGGCATACATTGGTAGAGACATCGTAATAGCATGGATCGATAGATACGCCATTCATACAAGGGTTGCTTTTGAGTTGATTGGTTGAATGATATGCATCAGTACATTATAAGATCTGACCCTTGTAAAGAACATTGGAAAACCACCTTTCGCAATATCAAAGAAGGAAGTCTTTCCCGAAAGGATCTGGCGAGCGCTGAATCTTCTGAAGCTTTCTGGAATCTGTCCTCGGAGACTACTACTGCAAGTGATGTCAAGGTCAGGGGAATTTCAATCCCCGGTCTCTATTTAGACCTTGCCTAGCTGATGAGTGCGAGGAACCTTCAACGGTCGATTTGAGTAAAAGGGCTCATCATCTCGACTCTCCATTACTCACTTGAGGGCTGTTAACATGCCGACCCCACAACAATCCTTGAGCTCAGTACTGGTTTCATCATTAATCTACCATGCATGCTTAACTTGGGGTTCAAAATGAGTTCTTGTGAGTGAGGTACCAACTATCTTGTTTCTGCTTACAGATGCTCAATGCACGACTCAGTCTGGTCTGGTCTGGTCGTATGGAGTTTTTGCAAGCCATGAAAGGTATTAATTTGTTCTTGCTATGAGGCTCTCGAGTGCATAAATTCTGATCGTTTCCCACTTCGTTGAATTGCTTTTTCTTGCCATCCATACTTGTTTCACAGCCAGTCTCTGAAGAATACACAAACATTTCGACTATCAAAGTCTGGTCTTTATTCGCGTGCTTGAACCCATAAGCTCTGTTAAACTTTCCATCCAGTACAATGGCTCACTCCGATACTTGGTCCACAAAAACCAATCATCCATCTGTCAAAAGGTTCGTTCCTTCAAATTAGTTGAGCCAGATATTAGGAGAGTTACTCACTAACAATCTTTATTTCTCAAAGCGGCTCTCATTCCAAGAACTCTGAGGAGAAAGTGGAATCGCAATCGAGAACGAAACCCAGTTCGCCTGACAACGAAACACAAGATACTTCCCCATCGCAACCCATTGATGAAGGATACTACTCATTTCAAAGAGCGTCAAGATACGCCGCAGACCCTATAAATCCTAACCCGGGATACGAACATTGGTCAGCAAAGAAAAGCATGGATGCCCATAAAGCCGACATGAGACAGTATCTCGAACACTACGATGATACCTGGAGCCACGTCTCGCAATAAATCGGGCATAGCACTAAAATCCAGGCGCGGGAAAGAGGCGTTGAAAGTTGGGATGAATGTATGTTATGACCCCAGGAAAATAAACGGTGCTGATGTCTCTAAAAGAAGGACCGAATACTCAGCCTATCGGAAACTGGTTGATTCTTGTATAGTGCTTTCGGATATACAACCACGCCTTCAATCCACATGGCTGCCATGTTTATTTCATGGTTGCAGAAGATCATCGGATACGACTGCGACTGCACCACGTTTTACCCCTTCATTACCCCAAGCAGCACGATTACCACACACATGAAACTTCGGCCAAGAACACCCAACGAATGACAGCTTTTGGTCCCTCCATACCGTCAATTATGCATATAGCTATGGTTAGCAATAAGGCTGAGTACACTCAGGACATCGGGGGGTTGCCTCCACGGATCCGGGATTACTGCCTTCAGCTGGCACGAACTTTCGCGGGGAACAAGAAGTACCCCTAATCCCACGTGTTCCCAAGGCAGCACAACATTGTCCTTCCGCCTCCATAGCGAAACTTCTCCTCCAACAAAAGTTTCCTATTTTATTTCACATTAACGTGGCTTTGTTTGTAAGCTTCGTCGTGCATGCGCAAAGCAAGGCCGTCGAACATCATAGCTGCGGATTATCTAAACACGACCAGCCCCTAAAGCCAGATCGACAGAAAATAATGGTTGCATGAGTGCTTCTGAGGCTGAAATACATCTTGAAATAGATTCGACTAAACTCATACTCGGTGATCTAACGGTCACAAGGCACATCAAGCAATCGTTCGCATCTCTGGCAATGATGTTCTGCATTTAATCGCCATTTGCTCAAGAGTCTTTTGATCGAAATCGGAGATGAGTAGTGATTGGCCATGATACCCTCCTCATATCCCGCGAGAATCTAGCGTCTATGAGGGAGAAATTGCAGGCTTTCTACTGTGAGGATCAGATTGAGGAAGACGTTGGTATAGGCGGAAACAGATTGGAGAGTTCGCATGGGGTGATTCAGTAATTGTACATTATCATTGAAAATTAGAGGAATATATCTAGACGTTTCCCATGCCTATGTAGACCATTTGTTCTAGCCCGTACTCCAACGCTAATAACGATTCAAAAAAAGATAAGGAAAAGGCGACCGATATATCAGCGCACCCGGGGTATATTTAACTCATAAGGTAATGACTCTCCAGTCTGAACTTTGCTCAGCTTGATCACGCTTGTTTGGCTTATAGATCTCATACTCGAACTGGAACTTGAGCTGCTGCTAGTATAAAAGCCCCTGGTCCGTCTTTGCGATCCAGGTAGTTTAGGCCTTGTGCTTCGGGGAGCAACAAAAGCTGTACCGACATGTGACCGATTCGGCATTGTATGATCCGTACCATGTCTATGAGAACGTGCTGTTCGAATGGTTCCTTCACTGCCACTACGTATACTAACACTCCTCAAGGATGATGCGAGGGAACGACTTTGTGGTGTGGTGGGAGTGGGACTAGATGACGCATCGCCGTCAATGTCGCTCTCCTGGTCGTCGATGGCTAGACTCATCATTATCGCAGGACTGAGTGGTTCCATACAGCGAAGAAGTTCTGCGAAATGTTTCATCAGATCGCGGAATTCGACTTCGCTGATAGCATTAGAGGAAAATCGAGCGTATTCGTACGCTGACAGAAAAGATGTGGCGATGGAGGAATCGTTGACCACGCCAAATCCAGATAGATGACCGATGTAGTCGCGCAAACACATCGCCGCAGGTCGTTGAAGTACATCCACTGCTCTGAGATCAGGCATGAGCGGTCGAGACGTCGATTGTGGGTCAGGGGGTGCTAAAGATACGGCCTTTGCTTCGATCAAGTGAGGTAACTCGAGAATCACAGTGATATACTGTAAATTTGGCAGAACCGCGGCGGTTGGAGAAGACCATCCATCGTGGGAAATTTGGCCCCAGACGGGTTCTTTTGTAGATATACCAGTTGTAGATCCATGAGACCCTTTCTCGTCCATTTCCCTCTCAGAGCGACTGTTCTCAGCAGCGATTGTCGCTTCACCTAGTGTGTCTTGCGTCGATACTAGTGTAGTCGCATGTTGATCTATTCGTGGTCGTGAATCCCATGCTAGTGTCGCACTTCTCGCCAGGCTCGCCACAATCATTTTTCGAACTTTTTTCTCGACATCGCCTTCTTCGATAGGTATCCATGTTTTCGGTATCGCTTTTATGATTTCCTTGTTTGTGTAGATCCGCGTCGCGAAGAGCACGAAGGCCGAAACTAGAGTGACACCGTAGCATATAAGGATTACAAAGGTATTGTATAATTGATGATTTGCTTGGGCTTGGACGACGGTATCGAGAGGAGTAACGAAGAGTAGACCTCCAATTACAACGTAGAGGATGACAAAAGTCGAAACATAGGCGACAGAGCCCAGTGTCCAAGTACCCGGCTTCCAAGTACCCAGCTTCAGAGAATGCAGCTTCATATTGACGACATTGTCTGTTTGGGCATTAAGCTCCCTGCAGGTCTTAACAGAAGAGGGGCTTATCCACCTTAAGTATGCTATGCAACTATATGTATGGAGCTATCATGTATGGTGTAATGAATACTCTCCTCCTTGCAAGAAAAGGGAATAACTGTGAGATAAGTCGAATGGATAATATCGATCTCAAAAGGTAAGCAGTTTGTTGATATGTATTTTGGTGGTAGGACTGAATGATGATGTTGATGTCGAATGTAATAAGATTACCGGTACAGTGTATTGATAAAATTGCGACGAAAGGGAAATTGGAAGTGGGCCTGGTTAAGGGACATGGACAAGGACAAAGTACGTACCTGGCGAACCTGGCACTCTAATAATAAGTAGCCTTTTGAGCCTTTCTGCTTTGTATGCTCGAGGCAGGTACTGAGATTAGCGAGTTCCTCTTTTTTTTATTTTAGCTACATATTACTTATCATTGTTATTATGTATGGAGGAGGTCTAAAGCAAGAGCTTTATTACTACCTAAATGTTTAAAAGCTTTCGCATCTTGTACGGGATCCTGCTATTTTAAGAGTTGGAAGTTGATCACGACTACTCCAAGTCGAACCATGACTATGGTATATGCTACCATATACCTACTTAAAGTTCGACAGCAACACAAACTCAAGAACTTTTGGGTTTGTAAGTGAGAAAATAACCGTCATCACGAGAGGCTAACTGGCATTCTACATTCGGTCATACTGTCGATTATTTGCTCTTACCTCTTGCAGTCCATTGCTGTACATGCAGCCTACAACTTTAGTCCTGCATACTCCTGTGCGTTGACAATCGCAGTGTAGTGTATGTTAGTACAATGTATACTTCAAAGAGCTTTATAGATATCTTTGGTCCGCCATTTGCTTTAAACGCTTCGCTTTTCATCTGTGCACGAGCGTGCATCGTATCACGCGCATTACTCTCATGGAACTTTTTGGCATTCGTCATTATGCTGATAGGCTTTGGTGGTAAAGGGACTCTTATTCTTGATATAACAGTTTACCCAACCCCCACCCCCCTCCAGCAAGAAGCAATGAGTCTTGGGCATGACATGTCATTTGCCTGCAACATTTGGGACTTGGGTCAAGCAAGCTGTGGCTGGTTTCCTAGCATGGGACTCAATGTGTATCTAGTCTTCAGCGACTCCAGCCTCGAATCACTCCGATTGCCTTTCCAGCTTTTACGTCGGCTCGTGAAATCGAATTACTTAGCGGGTGGAATTTATACTCACAACAACAATAACGAGGGATGGGCATACGTTATATATACTACAAGGTTGGCTCCAGAAAACGCCTGAATATCTACTCGGAAAGAAAACCATGTCCCATTACTAATGCATTTCAAAAGAGGGCTTTGGGATACCATCGCTGATGCTCAATAATGATTGAAATGCTTGACACATATGGCACTATTGGACCCGTACACAGAAGCAATAAGCTGTCGATCTTCGAATTGACCATACAATTTAAAGGACTATCTGCAACCAACAAGATTGCTTTATCAACGTGAATACCTTGCTTACCATGGACACTGATAGTTCTGGCGTATCCCCTTTCCGCGGCAAATCATCGATTACTTATTCACAAATACACTGTGGCCATCGGTGCTCTGATCACTAGTAAATTCTGTACCATTGCTCTGTCATTCATCCACCGTTGATCGAATTCTCGCAACGTTTTTCTTTGCTTGCACGCAGGTCTAATCTGTGCCTTTTGGAAAATGGGTGTAGGGATAAGATACATATGCGTAGATAACGACGATTATGACAAGAACGGTAATGATAATAGTAGAGATTATGGCATAGAAAGAATTGTCTTATTGGTTTAAAACAAAACGACTTTCTTATTGTCTATAAGCCCGGGGAATTTATCTTTTCTTCCAAAAGGAATCTTAAGTAGATATCATAGTTGTATCGAGAGACTTGACTAGATGTTTTTATCCGCAGTCCAGATCATGAAAAGGTTAGAGAATATGTTGGAATGCGAATTGGAAGGATGCGAATTGTCACGTGATATACTAGCTCAGGACAAAGTCGGGCGCTAGGTATCCAAGCTTGAAATCGTTAATGATGTGCTTGCATCTTCCAACATTTACAACCTCCAAATCAATCCTACAAACCCACCTCAACTTGCTTGGGAGGCTTTACATAATTGCCAAAATAGAATCTAGGGATCATTCCCAAGCTTCTCATTATGGCACCGTCGCAGGACACCATGTTCCGCTCAGCGGACATGAGTTTGGTCCAACTCTACATCGCCAACGAAATTGGACGCGAGATCGTAAACGCATTAGGAGAGCTTGGGCAAATTCAATTTCGCGACGTATGTCTCAGGTCTATCAGATTATGATGAGTTACTAATGGATTGCGCAGCTCAACTCCGACGTCACTGCTTTTCAACGGACTTTCACTCAGGAGATAAGACGACTCGACAATGTCGAAAGACAGCTTCGTATGTGCCAGCCTCCATCTCTTGTTTCATCGATACTAATTGATAATTAGGATACTTCCACACCCAAATGGATAAAGCAGGAATCCCTCTTAGAAAGCTAGATCTGGACATCGAAACTCTAGCCACTCCTTCCGCCACCGAAATCGACGAGCTTTCCGATCGCAGCCAGAGCCTCGAGCAACGAATTGCATCATTGAATGATAGCTATGAAACTTTGAAGAAGAGGGAGGTAGAGCTTACTGAATGGAGATGGGTTTTAAGAGAGGCTGGGTCTTTCTTCGATCGAGCTCACGGAAATGTGGATGAAATTAGAGCTTCCACCGACAACGACGATGCTCCTCTCCTGCAAGATATAGAACAATCACACCAAAATGGGGACGCCGAGCGGTCGTTTTCCGGTATGAATATTGGGTTCGTGTCCGGAGTCATTCCTCGGGATCGTATTGCAGCATTCGAGCGTATCTTATGGAGAACCCTTCGAGGTAATCTTTACATGAATCAATCGGAGATTTCAGAGCCCATTGTTGATCCCACGAATAACGAGGCCATCAACAAAAACGTGTTTGTCATTTTCGCACATGGAAAGGAGCTTATTGCTAAGATTAGAAAGATCTCGGAGTCTCTTGGTGCGGATCTTTACAGTGTGGATGAGAATAGCGATCTTCGTAGGGACCAGATTCATGAAGTCAATACTCGTTTGGGCGATCTTGGTAGCGTTCTTCGTAACACAAAGCAAACACTTGACGCTGAACTTACTCAAATTGCACGGAGCTTGGCTGCCTGGATGGTCATTATCAAGAAAGAGAAGGCTGTCTACCAAACACTGAACCTTTTCTCGTACGATCATGCGAGGAAGACTTTAATTGCTGAGGCTTGGTGCCCCTCCAACTCTCTGCCTTTGATCAAATCAACTCTTCACGATGTCAACAACAGAGCAGGCCTTTCTGTACCCTCGATTATCAATGAGATTAGGACGAACAAAACGCCTCCAACCTACCAGAAGACTAACAAATTCACGGAAGGCTTCCAAACGATTATCAATGCTTATGGTACGGCAAAGTACCAGGAAGTCAATCCTGGTCTCCCAACCATCGTTACTTTCCCATTCCTCTTCGCCGTCATGTTCGGTGATTTTGGACACGGTGTTATCATGGTTTGCGCAGCTTCGGCTATGATCTATTGGGAGAAATCATTGAAGAAAGTTCGCGATGAACTTTTTTCAATGGCTTTCTATGGTCGATACATCATGTTGATGATGGGTATCTTCTCTATGTACACTGGTCTCATCTATAATGATGTATTCTCCAAGTCGTTTTCATTCTTTCCAAGTGCTTGGGCTTGGTCAGAAAATTACCCTGACTCTATTGAGGCTCATCTTAGAGAGCCAACCGGATATCGATATCCTTTCGGCCTCGACTGGATGTGGCATGATACGGAAAACGACCTTCTGTTTACCAACAGTTACAAGATGAAGTTGAGTATCTTGATGGGTTGGTGCCACATGACCTACTCACTGTGCTTGTCCTATATCAATGCCCGTCACTTCAAGACTCCTATTGATATTTGGGGTGTGTTCGTCCCAGGCATGATTTTCTTCCAAGCTATTTTTGGTTACCTTGTTTTTGCCATTGTCTACAAATGGTCAATAGACTGGCAGGCCATTGGCGAATCGCCTCCAGGTCTATTGAATATGTTGATCTACATGTTCTTGTCGCCCGGAACTATTGAAGAGCCGCTTTACTCTGGCCAAGGATTTGTTCAAATCTGCCTTGTTCTCATTGCCGTCGTCCAAGTGCCAATTTTACTACTACTCAAGCCATTCTATCTTCGATGGGAGCACAACAAAGCACGAGGAAGAGGTTACAGAGGCATTGGCGAAACATCCCGAGTTAGCGCACTTGATGGCGACGATGATGATGACCACACTTTGGACGGTAGAATAAGTATGAACAGCGAAGGTGAAGGTGTCGCTATGATTACACAAGATATTGGAGATGAAGAACATGAAGAATTTGAGTTTTCTGAGGTCATGATTCATCAGGTTATTCATACAATTGGTATGTTTTCTTACCCTCATAGTTTTATCGTTACTAACATTGCCCAGAATTCTGCTTGAATTGTGTTTCTCACACCGCCTCATACCTTCGTCTATGGGCCTTGTCCCTTGCACATCAACAACTTTCCGTTGTGTTGTGGGATATGACCCTTTCCATCGGTCTTCATATGACCGGTGTTGCAGGTGTCTTCATGGTCGTGGTAACATTCACCGCATGGTTTTTCCTCACAATTGCCGTATTGGTTGTCATGGAAGGTACTAGTGCAATGTTGCACAGTCTTCGTTTGCATTGGGTCGAAGCTATGAGCAAGCATTTCATGGGAGATGGCATACCATTCGAACCGTTCTCCTTCAAGCAAATGCTAGAGGATGATGCTTCAGCAGCTGATATTTCTTAAGAGTCGAATAGTTCCTTGTCTTTATTAGTTTCTTTTTCATCCTCGTAGATCCACCTGTAGAATCAAAATGTACTTTACCATACCTGTTTCAATATCCGTTTTTGATGGCTCTAAATATATCAGAAAATTGATGAAGGAGCAGCTTTTTGCCTTCCTCTAACGGTGACGATCAAATCAACTTTGCACGCGATATTTACACTAAGCGATTCGCTACGCTTTGCAGGACGTGACTAGCCTTTGGGTCGTATCCAGAGTCCAGATACCAGATACCAAACAATCCCGGGCTCGTGATGCAGCATCGGAGTGGATATATTTGTTGGTGGCACCAATCATCCTAAATATTTTAGTCTCGTGGGGGGCTTCGGGGGCTTTAACAGTGGAGTAATGCTGTAGAGGCTCGAGAGAGGGTACCTGGCCTGGATTGAAGACGGCAGATTTTATATTAAATTCGTATGACATAAGTGAGACATCCATTGCATTGTTACATGTTGCAATGCTTTATATCGTATATGAAGAACGGTGTATGGGGGAAATCGCTCCCTAGACACGTTATCTACACCGATATTCCAGAGAAATGGCTCATTCTCATCTTTTCTCGGGTTGTGCTGCGTAATCGATAAGGCGGAAGAAAACAAGCTTTTCCCTTGTATCCCCTGTTCATCGCCCCGCGACCACTAATTTTTTGGTCAGAGTTACACATAACGGCAGAATTGAGAACCCAATCAACCCAATTTTTATTACTCTGATCCTTTTTTTATTATATACTTGCTCCATTTTCTCTCCAACTGAACTGCTCACCCCACTTCCCTTCTCCTTTCTCCGCTCTTGTTCTTAAGAGCTTGTTTTCCTCCATTTTACTGAAAGAGAAAGAAGAACGGTGCCGTTCAGTCATTCTTGATCATTCACTTCACCTCAGCCTTGTACTAACTTGTAGATACAAATACCACCTCGTTGTTTAGAAGATTGCAGAAGAGCTTTCGACCTTTGATTAATATATCACACACAACACCAAATTAGAGAAAGAAGAAACGATAGACAATATGGCGTTCAACAACAGAAAGTTTTCTATGAATAGGTCCACTGGAGCTCCAAGATTGTCGTCCAAACCAAACAGAAGATTCTCTACACATGATCCTTCTGCCAATGGTAAGTTCTTCGCTTTATCTCTCAACTTTTCTTGCAGAAACCGTCTATAATTCCAGAGAGCCCTCTGAGATATAGCCATCATCCTCTTGAGCAGTAGCTCTTTTGGAACGGCTCAATTTCGGGGGAGATTCAAAAATCCCGGGGATTGCGGGGCAGGGATTGCAAAAGACGTCTATGTACTATCATATTCAGGTCCCTCTATGCATGTAGAGGAGGTCGTACTGTTTATTCACTTGCTTCTTAGAGCTTAGCTGACCATGGACGAAGAAATGGACTCCAAGATTCACAAGCAATTCCGCAATGCCCACGAAGGCCACAAAACTCACGCAGGACTCGATCCAACCCGTGCCTCTACTGGTGTAGTCTGGTGTACCGAAAGAGCCTATGAGCATGGATTTGCTGAGGAGCCTGAGAAATGGGCGAACCTTGGACAGGGAGCTCCTGAAGTCGATGACGAAATCGCTGGCAGTTTCAAGCGTCCCGAGACCATCGATATTACAATGGCAGGCAGAGAGTACGGACCTACAGCTGGTATCAAGAGTTTGAGAGCTGCTGTTGCAAACTTGTATAATGTTCATCACAGAGAGGGCAAAGAAAGTCAATATACTTGGGAGAATGTGTGCATTGTTCCAGGTGGTCGTGCTGGATTGATCAGAATTGCTGCAGTATTGAATAATGCATACTTGGGCTTCTTCATTCCTGATTATACTGCATACAACGAGATGTTGTCATTATTCAAGAATGTAAGTCGCCCCCCTCTCTGCACTTAGTGGGAAGAACACTTGAAAGCTTACCTCGATTAGTTTGCGGCAATTCCATCCCCTCTCTCTGGAGAAGATGGGTACCACATCCACCCTAACAAAATTGAGGAGGAGATTTCTCGTGGTACCTCAGTCATCTTGACTTCAAATCCTAGAAATCCTACCGGAAAGGTTGTCAAGAACCCTGAACTTGCTGAAATTCAAGATATCTGCAGAGACAGAGCCACTCTCATTATGGATGAGTTCTATGGAGGCTATAACTACACCAGTGATTGCGATGGTACCACAATCAGTGCCGCTGAGAATGTTGGAAATGTTGATGAAGATGATGTTTTGATCATTGATGGTCTCACCAAGCGCTTCAGATTACCTGGATGGAGAATTGCGTGGATTGTTGGACCAAAGGTTTGTTTTACTCTCTATCTCTCAAACATCGCTAGCCTGACTAATGTTCAAATAGGAATTTATCAAAGCCATTGGCTCATGTGGTTCATACCTTGACGGTGGTGCCAATGTTCCTTTCCAAGAGGCTGCTATTCCTATGCTTGAGCCTAACAAGGTTAGGGAGGAAATGAAGGCTCTGCAAAGTCATTTCCGTGACAAGCGTGATTATGTTATCAGCCGTCTTCGTGAAATGGGTTTCAAGGTCAAGGAAGTACCTGACAGTACCTTCTACTTGTGGTTGGGTGAGTCAACAAACGACAATATATTTTGGACACAAAAATGCTAATCTAATGGAATTATAGATCTCGAAGGACTCCCGGCTGCAATTTCCGATGGCCTTAACTTCTTCCAAGCATGTCTCGAGGAGCGTGTCATTGTCGTCCCAGGTATCTTTTTCGACTTGAACCCAAGTAAGAGAAGAGATCTGTTTGATAGTCCTTGTCACCACTTTGTTAGATTCTCCTACGGTCCAACGATGGAAACTTTGAAAATGGGATTGGATGGCATTGAGAGAGTAGTTAATAAGTAAGTTTCTCACCAATATCTCATAAGGCCATTCAGGAAAGTATACTAATAATCAGGTAGATTTACAAAGCCAGGAGAACCATTAGAGCAGGCGATAGAAGATGATGAAGAATAGAGAATTATGAAAGCTTTTACATACGAAGAGATGATAGACAGCAAGTTATAGCGGCATGCCTGACTTTAAGCACGATGGATGGTTTCGTTGAAACGATAGCATTTGGAAATACAGAATATATATGATAAATAGAACACACAATGTACTTGAACAAAGATATTCACAACTATTGCACTCTCAACTATCTCTTGCGTCAGGACTAGAAATAGGGGTTGTATTATAACAGTCAAGTTTCTGCTTATGCAGAACACATCTGAATGGTTTTCCTTCGCCTGATCGATCTCAATACTAGGTTATTTCCTTGGCATTCACTTCTAATTTACTCTCCTGTTCCTTCATCATTGGTAGTTTGGTAACTCCGTTTTTCGGTATCGAATGCTGGATTTCTGAGTACTGCTATGATGTGTAGAGAGGTATCAATAGATGTGCAAGTTCCTCTTCTAGGAGTTTTTAATGCACATTCCTAATGGGTTGATTACACCCTTTAATAATTTATGGGACATCTTAATATGTGCATTATGAAGAAAGATTTATGGTAATAAATATATACATGAAACTAAGGCTTTGCTTAGACGTGTAAGATACACAGATTTAGAATAAGAGTGAACCCTAACGCCCTTACTCCACCAACCTACATTCCACCACCACAATCACCAAACCACACGCTAATTAATCCCCATTCCTTATCCCCGCCGCAATCTTCTCCGCGAGCGCATACACGGTACTCTGCGGATGACCGGGTGGCAAAAGCGCAAAGGCGCTCGCATCCACGACTCTCAAGCCCTTGGTGCCGAACACCCTTGCCTTGCTATCCACCACGGCCATGGGATCGCTCTGAACCCCCATTTTACAGGTGCACGAGGCGTGCCACACCGTATGCAGCGTTTTCTGAATCGTCTCGAGGATCTGCGCATCGCTGGCGACGGAGGGACCGGGGAAGTACTCCTGTCCGATGAGCACGGGGGCCATGAATTTCGAGGCGAAGGCGGCGCGCGTGCGTTTGTAGGCGGCGACGGCGACGGCTTGGTCGGTGGGGGAGGTGAGCCATGAGGGGTTGATGAGGGGGAGGTCCGAGGCGGAGGTGGAGGCGAGGGTGACGGTGCCGCGGGACAGGGGCGCCACGAGCGCGGTGAGGATGGTGGCGTATTGGTAGCCGTCGCGGGGTTGGGTGGTGGGGAGACTGGCGAAGTCGCCGACGTAGCCGGCGCCGGAGAGATATTCGATTTCCGGCCAATCGGGAGGGAATTGAGAGAGATCGTTGAGGGTGGAGGAGGAGAAAGTGTTGCGGAGGGAACTGGGGAGTTTTTCCCAGCCGAGGTAATCGCAGATGGGGTTGGTTAAGGGGCCGATTTTTTGGATGAGATAGGGACCTATGAATTGTGCGGCGGTGTAGATGAGATCGTTGGCAAGTCTGGTCAATGTTTGCACTTTGACGCGATAAGTTGGGCCGAAGAAAACATGATCCCACATATTTTGGCCCACGCCCTCGAGGATGGAAATCGCTGGGATATTCCATTTCGCTAGTGTATCTTTGGGGCCGATTCCCGAGAGCATGAGAAGTTGAGGACTTTGAAAGGCACCCGCTGACATGATGACTTCTTTTCTGGCATTGATTGTGTATGGGATGAAACCGAGTGATGTGACTTTGACACCAGTCGCTTTCTTGTCGTTATCAAAGAGAATTTTTTGCGCCGTGGTGAGTGAATAGACTTTGAGATTTGAGCGTTTCTGCACTGTGGAGTCATAATAGGCTGTTTGAGATGACTCTCGTTTTTGGCTGGAAGGATCGATGGTAGAACTGCAATACTGTTTGCCCATGAGAGAACCAGTGTTGAAATCTTGGATATCATTGATTCCGATTTCCCCTAGGGATCCCTCCATATAACTCGAAAAAGGTTGTGCATAGTTAGCATACGAAACCTCCAGCGGTCCTCCCGAAGACGAATATGCAGACTAGAGATGTCAATCAGTATTCTCCAGGAAGAGAACGATGAATCAGATATACTTACAGCGCTAAATTCCGCCGATGCATTCGATGCGCGACTCGATCCCGGAGGAGTGAACCGAACACTCTTTTGAAAGAAGGGAAAGAGCCCATCAAAAGTATACGATTGATCATCCACTGCATCAGCCCATTTCTGATACGACTGCGTGGTACCACGCTGATAGATCATGAAATTCCTGGCTGAACTTCCACCGAGACATTTTCCCCGGGCATACGAAATCGAGCGACCCGCTGCACCAGCTTGGGGTGTCGTCACGAATTTCCAATCCACGAGCGGGTTGGTATCAGCTGGACTAGAGCCCGCCCAGAAAGAGTCTCCAGCTGGCGTTGAGCTGAGCGCGGGATTGGTGATCTAAGTTTGTTTAGCAATGCATGGTCTCGTGACGAAGATGTTTGTTTGTACCTACCTGGTAGAAAGTTCCGGCTTCAATGACTGCCACTGTGGTCCCCGAATCTTCGGATAACCGTGAGGCTATTGTCAGCCCTGCGGTTCCGCCGCCAACAACTACATAGTCGAATGTAGTGTCTTCTCTCTTTATTGGACCATCGCCTGTGGGGGCAGCAATACTCAGAGGGATTGCAGCGGCAACATATAAGAAAGACTTGAAATGCATCTTTGTGATCACCGAGAGGAGCATGTACAGTTTTCGAGATAAATGCACATCAAAGGAGAAATGATCTTTAAGTTATAAACATATTTCTATGTCCAAGACAACTTCCAGGCATCAGATCATACGATTGAACTACCCATAACCAAGGAGCACGAAAAACCCCTCACAGCCGAATCCCCATACTAAGCCTCTCCACACGAGATTAAGGCTAGAAATAGATTGCGCCAACCTACCAATAAGCGATATAGCTTTCCGACGGCGAGCAAACCATCATCAAAGTGAGCAGCATCAACCGAGACAGTACAGCGATAGTAATAATTAGCACCAATCCCAAGACTCTCCAAAATATCCACTCTAGTTCCAAGACGTCCCTGCGAACAGCGCTAAGCCCCATTTAGAAGAGACGAAGCCAAGCTCATATTATTAGATTCCGTGTTGCCTAGCTAGGAAACGGGACGATGTTGCTACCGTAGCATTGCCAAAAAAAAAGTAAGCTATTTGGTGATTATCAAAATGTTCCTGGGACCATGTGCCCAGAAACTTAAAGCGGCTATACTAGAAGTAGCACTCAAGCTATAATGATCTGCCGTTTTTGGTGGTAGACTAAGAAGTGGAAAAGCATTTGGGGGGTTCGGGTGTGCGGACGGACGGGCCCTTGCATCGTGGTGTTGAGTCGTGTTGTGAAAGACATTGGATAAACATGTCATAAGATCTGGAACCCCCATACCATCAAGAACAACGGCATTCAATATTTCCAAGTTGCACGTTCTCTTCGAGGCGAAGTTTCCACATTTGTGAAGATTTGGAGACACAATTAACTTTCGGAAATATACTTAATTGAAACAACTCACAGCAGAAGCCAAATTTACTAGTTTCTGCAGGAACGAGATGATGCATACGAGGGCGTGTCTTTGATGATTGCCGGGCAAAATAACCGAACTCACTAATATTTATTATATGATTTTTATAATGAATATAACTCTATGAATATTAATAAGTTTATTTTATCAAATTTATATATAAGTCTTGATATAAAAAATTATTCGAATTTGAAAAGATTTTTCAAATATTATTTTTACTTCAATTGCTATTGAATTCCAAAATAGATGAGTTTGTGCTTATTTTAATAAGGAAATGTTATTGTGCACGGACCCGGCATTCATCAAAGACACGCTCTCGTATAGTGCGGGAAATTCCCGCGTAATAATTGCCAATGAAGCAAATTTATTTGACTACATCTACAGCCATCCAAACCTTATCCTATGCGGATTGACTTTGCGTTAGTATCCAAGAGGAATGATCTCTATCAAAGCTCAAGTATCGCTCCTTAACGAAGCCATTTCCTCATGCAAGGCCAGGTATGGTAAATGTGACGATGCCATCCCATACCCTCACAGCTGCTACATCAGGCTCGTTCCCAGAACCTCGAGTTCTCGCCAATTGTGATATTTGTAGTGCTGTGGCTGTGAGATGTAGAGGGTACCTGAGACGGCTTGCTTCCTCGATTGCTGTATTCTATTTGATTGTGAGCACCATATACTCACAGGGCATGATTTTGAAGGGATCTTGGAAATTACTTACTAGACGAGCAATAACATCATTAATGGAGGATTTCGAGGCACACTTTCCACTTAGCAAAGCTGGCACTCTATCCACGAACATGGCGCTTGCTCCAGCCGCCCCTTTTACTACATCGTAAAGCATCCCGGTATCTAGACCAATAGCTTGACCAAAAGCCATTGCTTCTACTGCTGCGACTAAATGTACACCTGCTAGTATATCTTCAACTAGCTTCAATCTCGGGTCATCCGCACTTGTAGTAAAGGCTGCAGTCTGTTCGGAGACAAGACTTGGCCGGGTGGGCATATAAACTCTGATAAGCCCAGAATCATCGTCTAGACCAAACCCAGAACGTACGCCGGACGCCAATACTTGCTCGGCTGCAGAGCAAAGGAACAGTGGACATTTGACTCGACGGCCATCGGCTGTCACTATACCCATATCTTTGACAAAAATATTCAAAGCCGAAAATGGATGAAGATTATTCTCCAACATATGTGGTACCCTATTTCCTAACATCCAGCTCTCTCCAGATGACTTAACAAGATAGTCAAGAGCCTGCTTGGTATTAAGTCCCAGGAATGCAGCAAATCCCATTGCTTCTGATGCCATAATCATGTGTATACCCGCGAGAGCTTGGTGTACCATTTTAACCTTGGTACCCGCCCCCAACCCACCAGGGATTAGATGTAATGGATCTGCCATGGCGTCCAATACCGGATTCGCGGCTCTCAACGATTTTTCCGGCCCCGAAGCGAGAACCACAAGCGTACCAAGAGCTGCTCGACCGGTTCCTCCGGACACAGGTGCATCTACCAATTCCACATCTCTCCTGTTATATTTATTGTCGAGCAATTCTCTAACTTCCGGTACGTGTTCGGGGAAAGCGGTGGAGCTTAATATTATCGTAGCATTCGGCTGCAATTCGTCAATAGCTCCAGTGACATCGTCAAAAAGAACCGAAAGCGTTTGCGCAGCTGTCGCTACCATGATCACGATGTATTTTGCATTGGCGACGGCAGATCGAGGCGTGGTAGCCGTGTTTCCGCCCGCAGATCTGAATCTCTCGAGGGTGGGTTCGTGGACATCGAAGCCAGTAACAGCGAATGTTTTGAGGAGATTCGTAGCCATGCCCATCCCCATAGCTCCAAGACCGATGAAGGCCACGACTGGTTCATCAAATGAAGGCATGTTGTCAATGTGGAATGAACGATAGAAGAAGAACGGGAACAACAAGAATTGAGCAAATGCTACTTAAACTTGAAGAGGGGTAATCTGAAGTTCTCCATCATGAATCTTCCCCTACCAAACTCAGCATTGAAGGAACCATATAAATGGTTCCATCCAGTATCGGTACCCCTCATAATTCATCCCAACGGCAGAACAAACATGACGTTCATGTCCACGTACATAAATAATACAGCGGTACGGATCACTTACCATTTTTGTTTCTGTTTCGTGGGGGTTGTCGGATAAATCAACCCCCATAAACTTCCCCCGCTCCAATCAAACCAATCAAAAAAGCGATGTACTGAAGAAATATTTATGCTTTTTGAATATACGATATCAAATCAAATAATTAACTTTCCTATTTGTAGGGTAAAGTATAATGACAAGTAATCAGGATATTTCAAATCATTTCTTTCTCATTTTTGCTCTTTACATTCAAGTGCATATTATTAATGTTTCTTTCCGATATCAAGATATCAACCCTGGGATCTTCAATGTATAGGCTATTTTGAAGAGTGGCTCCCCTTTTTTCATCATAAAATCCCAGTAGATGGACAAATACACTTTACTTGCTCAGAATAAAGTCTCGGAATATTAATATCCTCTTCATACTCACAATATGAGGTATTGAATCTTTCTATTTCATTTTCTACTTTTCTATACGAACCAATTTTCCAAATTCCAAGAATACCCATTAAAATATTACCATGCCATCCCATTTCAACGCCATTCATATCTCATCCATGTATACCTCGCGGCATATCATCTATCATCTAAACAGTACTACTGTTTTTTCTTCTCTTAGTTCTCCAACCTTGAATTCTAATCTCCTTCTTCCCTCTATTTCTATGACCCATCCCGATCATCTCTAAAAGGACTTTCTCCTCACGAGCAAGTTCCAAATCCACTTTGACACCCAGTTCCACAGTACGTACTCGTACTACCACACCATCCATACTGCGAGCAGCAATTTCCAAACGAGCTTCCCTGGCACGTATACCCATTACCACACGACGCATCAGATGAGACTTTCAACGACACTGTTGCAGTTGCTCTTGGCGTCGTAGATGTAGGTGTTGATGCAGATGCAGATGTAGACGTAGCTGAGCTTGTAGTTCCACTACTACCATTATTTCCGATGTTATCATCAGCAGCGCCAATACTCTGCGGATTCCAGAACACTTCGTTGGGATCAATGGTTTGTTTAATGGCCAACAATTTGTTATAGGCAGTTTGTCCGTATCCGAGCATCGCGGCATCGTTTGCGCTTAGTTCTGGATCTACATAGTTGAGATATACCCCAAAATCGCTAGATGCACCAGCTGAAAGGGCGCTATTGAGAGAGTCGACGAAGGGTGTTATAGCGTCATCATATGGTGGCAAAGAGTTGGATGTAAAGCCGTAGTTCTGTCAAGTGTTAGTTAGGTGTGCAAATACTCGAATTGTCAAGAAAAGGTGTCTTACCTGGAAAACCCAATGAGCATCACGATCAGAGTATGCCGAAGAGTCAGAAGAAGGCACATTTATCTGACTATCGGCACCTCCATACAAATCAATAATAGTATACCAAGGGGAAGGAGCACTTCTTCCTTGATTCAGAATATAGGTGAAGTAGCTAGTCAGCTGAGCGGAAGTCAACGGCTCTGCGTTCTTCGTAACCACAGACTTGGCATAAAATGTATCGTGAGCAGCATATCCAGTCAATGGCTCTTGAAGCTGCCCTCCATTGTTTGCACTGACCAAAGCATCTGTCCATCCTAGAGATTTAACACTGCTACTATCAGCGGTGGGAAAAGCGGACAAAATTTCTGGAAAAGTGACGCTCTCGAATTGGTTCTGATCACAGCTCATGCACCAGCCACTAAGACTGAATGATCCATAGCTGTCGGTGTAAATACCCAATGTGATATTTTTGTTGATCTTGGTAGCATCGAGGGTAAGTTCTTGGAGTTTGGTGAAGGACGAGACAGCAGTGCTGACACTATCTAGTGTTGCGGGAATACTCGCTGCGAAGGTAAGAACGGACGATGGAGCGGCAAAAGTCTGGAGGTAGAAGGCTATTGCGATAGCAAATGAATCGGCAGCTCCTCTCATTGCGTAAAAGATATCAGGATAAGCTGTGGCTGTCGTGTGGAGTTGTGTTCCATTGGCAAGAACTACATCGAGACCAACGATGGTATCAAGAGCCAGACCCCAAAATCTAGATGCGTATCCATAACCTCCATGAGTGAAATGTCCACCTATTCCAACCCCTGGGCATGTTCCATGTGGAACAGCTCGTTTACCCTGACTGTAGAGTCCAAGAGCGAGATTTCCTAAACGTACACCTCCTCCAACGGTAGCAATATTGGTTTCTAGAACATTTTTGATTAGACGTCGTTCAGAACGCAGATTCAAGATACAGTTCGAACTTACGAGCATCAACGCTTATAGAATTGAAGTTCTCGAGACTGACGATAAGACTTCCATCTTTACCACCAGTTGAATAGCTAGCATATGAATGCCCGCCTGATTTAGCCTGTACTTTAAGTCCGGCAGCGGCGGCACAAGTGATTGCGTCACTGACATGTTGTGAGGTGGTAGGTAAAGTGACAACAGCAGGGGTATATGGTAACCGAAGATTATAAGGGGAAATGGTTGTAGCCCATGAAGATGAGGAACTATCTTGATATGGAACAGAGTGCTGAGTCAAGCAGTCTTGAATGCTTGAAGCGCGGGTTTCGACTCCACCAAACGGGTATGAAGAAGCCAGCGGGATAACTAACAAGCCAAATATGAATCGGGCCATGATGATTCGATAGCCATGCTAGAAATCGTGTTAGCAACATGATCTTTTGACAGTAGTACTTCACGTGATTGTGGCAACGAGTCTAAGAGCTTTGAAGACTGTTAAGTACGATTTTATTTGTGCGTGCTTACAATTTGTGGATTCGTCCGATACATTGTGTATTTGCGATTTCTGGTGGGGGGCGATGGCTAGTCAGGTAAGAAAAAACCAAAAGGAAAGAAATACGAATGAAGAATGATGTCGAACTTGAACAATGAAGAGAAATATGAGCTTTTAAGAACACCACATCATGGCTCTCCTGAGAGGTCATGATTCAAGTCACTTTGATGCCGAACCATGGTACTCCGTACCGTTGGAATAGGAGAAATTGTGGATGGCTTCAATATTTGGTTGACATTTTTGCTGATCACCAACTGCCAAGGCCCCGCCGACAGGGACTGAGCACTTGCAGCAGACGCCAAAAAATAAAAATAGGCATAAATATGTAAGGAGTTGGGTGTGTTTGCGGGTTCCATTGTGTTGCTCTCAGAACAATTTGGCCAAAGCTGCGGTGAATCACTATTGATGACAGGCATTGACACATGCGGATATCCACAAAATATCTTGTACCATAAAGTAAATACGAACTGCAGCCTACTAAGCTGCTCTCAGCTGTGTACGCCACCCATTCATGCCATTTCCATATAATTTGACAAGTTCCATTCAGAACTCTTCCAAACGCCTTGTCCAAACGATATTATCGTTGTCATACGCATTCCGTGTCTCCTGTCATGTCGTACACATTCGTAAAGCTTCATTGATCGAAGCCTAGGGTCAATCAATTACCTTCCCCCGGGTTTGGGATCCCATCCCCACTTCTGCTATGATATTGCTTTCTCAAAAATTGTTCAATTGGCACATCGTGTTGTGGCCGAACTGGGGGTGCTTCATTGCCCTTCACCGTTGTATCCTCCGGTCCTTGTTCCAAAGTTGATTTTTGTAATGCGCTTATGCCTGGTATCCACGAAAATGCTTTCATCATTAGCAGTCTGCTGTTGGGATTTTATGGTTCAGCCTGATCAGCAATGCTGAATTATTTGCCTACCTTTCTCTGTCAGGCTTTCTTCTTCCTTTTCTGGTTGTCCTCCACAGGCAGCTTGATTCAATTTATCTTTAAAATCGCCCTTCCTAAACTTGTTCCCGTGTGCATCTTTTCCCACCATGTTCTTGTCTTGGTCAGGATCATAAACACCATCTTTAGAAATCGCAGATACACTGTTGGCCACAGTCTCGTATGCGGAAGAAGCTGTATTCTTCAATTGATCGATGGTCGAGGGTTGAGATGACATGTTGAAGAAGTCTGTGGTCAGTCAGTCAGTCAGCCTCCAACAAGATATAATACCAAACAGAGGATTGCTGGGTGGAAGGAGTGCCAACCGAGTCAATTGAAGGCTGGCAATGCTGTGAGAACTAGCCAACACGCGTAGATGTGAGGATTGAAGATAAAAGGTATATAATGGATTTAAAGAAACGAACGAGCCTGGAATCGAAAATAATCTGTTATCGATGTGATTGTATGGTTATCGCTTGTAACGTAACATACAACATAATGCCCTTTGTCCTCGTCCCTGACAGAGAATATCACCAAGTTATCCGCTTGACGTCAGTGAGGGAGAAACAGCCAAGCAATTGCTTTAAGGTGTCATCTTCCGATTACCCGTTGGAGGCATATGAAATCTTGAGAAAGTTGGATAGATAATCGAATCAATTAATCATAATAACCAAGCTGCCGCAACGAAGCTCAAAATAGTATCAATCAATTCTTATATTGTCAGCCCTATAGGTTATTCTTCCATATGGCCCACCTACTGACAATAAGTACCGGTACAGCCCCCTTTCGGTCTCTACCCGGATCAAGTTAATCGCCGCTATTTGGATGCTCCGTTCTTTTGTACTGTAATTTGTGAAAATCATAACAAGACAAGAATAAGATTCTATGAAGATCAGGAACAACCTTGATCCAGGAACAGGTATTGCACATCAGTCTGAAGCCTTTTACTCCATACATAGATAGGTACATAGGTACTTATTAGTAACCTTAAATACGGGTAGGTGATTGGTATTTCCAGTCTTAGACCGACCCCGCTTGATTATGTGCGACACGATGCCACTCTTACTCGCGTAATAACTAATCTTTTATAAGTCGATGTTGATTGAACGAGATAAAGTAGAGTGAGTGAGTGAGTGACTATGTATGCTAGCTGCTCCATTCAAGCTTCATATGGCATTGGATATATAGGATTTCTTTATCCATTATTCTCAATCAACCAATGATCAGTAAGCAGCTATCTATTAAGGTTAACATCTCAAATAAACCTAAATAGATCACCACCTGGAAGAGGAACATTAAAGCATTGTTGAATTGTTCTTCGGACTTTACTACTTCTGCCGAAATCCCCGATTTGGTTTTAGCTACTCGTTTTTCATCAACGACTACATTCTGGATATATTTATATTAATACCAGGTGCTGGACTCATCTTGTGACATACATACATATATATACATAAGAGCTTATTGGAGATTCGCAAGGAAACAGAGCAGAGTGATATATACTCGGGGATCTACATCGCACCCACGCCGAGGTTCCCCATTAACGTCAAGCATTAATTCCAGATTCCAGACTCGAGTGTGGACTGACTATAATTCTGTAACCATAACGATGGATAATGATGTCACAAGACCCGATAAAATGTTCAGTTCCTCTCGTCGCTCTCACCGGAAAACGAGGACGGGGTGCAATAATTGTAAGAGGAGAAAGATTAAGGTTAGTTGAAGCTGTCGTTTGACTGATCCGTTGTACATCCTTCTCCTACCCAAGCCGGCAACAGTACACACACAGGTGAGTTCCAGATCTTCATTTCACATTCTACAAAACATTCCATTTGACATTGTGTATTCTTAGTGCCAATTTCTTGTTACCCTCACTTGAGTGTTGATAGGCCTCAGTTCAACAGTGGCTAATTCATCGATTAGTGTGGCGAAGGAAGACCTAGCTGCTTGAATTGTATCAAGCATTCAGTACCATGTGATTATTCAAAAGCAGATGCAGCAACTTCAGCAAAGAATATACCACTCTCCTCTCCCGGATCATCAACTTCAGTTTCAGCTCCAAATAATGTGCTGGGTCGAATTGTCGAGGGCCAAGACCCATATCTGAATCTTATGGATTTGGAGGTCTTCAACAACTTCTGCATATCGACAAGCAACTCGCTGAACTCCAATCCTGTGGTGAGAAAGATATATCAAACCACAATTGTCCAGATTGCGTTTCAGCACGAATTCGTCATGCGTGCGCTGCTCGCTCTATCAGCCCTCCACATGGCTCGCAATAGGCCTGATCGGAGTCAACAACTTCATGAGTATTCAAAGCAGCAACATGAGGCGGCACTCCGTCAAGGCACTGCGTTCATTCCTCAAATTACCACTGAGACCTGTGCAGCGCTTCATGTCTTCTCGATATTCACCGGCATGCACACATTAGGTCGACCTCGCTGCGTGGATGAATTTGTCATTGTCGGCGAAAATGGCATTACATCATGGCTTGTGCTATTTCGAGGCGTAGCCGCAATCATCGAGCAATTCAAAGATGCACTTTTAACAGGGCCTTTGGCCACCTTGTTCAAAGCCAGAGAAGAAAGAGTCATGTTGCGTCAAACATACGCAGATGATGAGGTTGAACATCTAAGTCACCTAAGAATCGCAATTGAAACCACAGTACCCGATGAGCATGAAGTACAAATATATACCGAGGCTATCCGCGGCTTGGAAATATCCTATAAATTCATGTACAAGTGTCCAGCTGAGCAATATGAGACGGGAGACATTTTCATCTGGCTTTTTCGTGTGCCTGATGAGTACTTGAGTCGTCTGAATGACGGCACTCAAGAAGCATTAGCCATTCTCGCATATTCGGTTGTGTGCTTTAAGAAGTTGGAAAGTCTCTGGTGGATAGAAGGATGGAGCAATCATTTGATGGCCAATATCTATCAATTTTTAGATGAAGAACATAGACTATGGGTCCAGGCACCTATTGATGAGATTGGTTGGGTCCCATATCAATGATCAGAAACTGTTAGAATCGCAAAATCCAAGGATTTCTTGGGCTCAGTTGGGATGAGAACAAATCAAAGTTGAGAGTCATCTTTATTCATATTTCTTTCTTAATTGTGTCACTTTTGTTTGTTCAAGAAAAATTTAAACATCGCTCTCATCTATATTCTCCATTATGGATTGTACCTTCATAAATTCATTATATTCACTTCAGCCTTTAAATATGTACAATAGAATCATCAAACCTCTCGATTATGCCCATGCAAATCTTCAAAATGTTAACCTCCCGTTCAATCATTTCTCCTTCTCTTTGCTCTGCCTAGTAAATATCATTACTGGTATAGTTTTCCCTAGCAGCGAATTGCAACATGCCAGCCCCAATATCGAAAACGGTAACGACGTTCTTCTGGAAGGTGTCGCCCAAAATGTACAAATCATCGGCGGTATCACTTCCACCATCATTGATACCGCTAATGCAAACATCTTTTCCATCAACAGTACCGGTGTAGAGAATCATATCGAGAGGATTAGTATAGAAAACTGTACCACCAATCTTGATACTGAAAACAGGTGGAACAGCAGTACAAGACACGACATACGAGCCCTGATCGCTACTGTACACGGCAGCCGGCACGAAAGCCTTATTAATAGCATTAGCCATCGCGGTAGGAAGGTAATTAAGCGTGGTTCCCGAATCGATAATGTATTGAGGAGTTGCAGCGCCGGAGATGGCTTTTCCATTTAGATACGCGGCATCGATTTTGATGGTGTAGAAATCGTATGCTTTGGGGTATCCGGTGGCGGATGTAACAAGGATAGGGGTGCTTGCGAAATCTTGCACGAAGTTGACGGGGGGGACACCGCCGAGAGCGAGGTAGCCGGCGGGGCCGGAGACGTCGCGCTCAATGACAAGACTGAAGAGGGAGTCGACGAGTCCTTCTTTGTACATAGTGGTGAAGATGGGGTCGTAGACTACTTTGGTGGAACCTTTGTAGGCGGATGTGCTGATGGGGTGTTAGTATGAGTTTTTTTCTTTATATTGTTTGATGTTTGTGGGGAAAACTTACATTGCGGGATAAGCCATACCGACCAAACCACTGGTGGTTCCGTCACCGTTCCATGCAGCAGATGTGACTAAAGCGACAGTGGTGGTTACATTGATACCAGCGAAAGTCACGGGCTGCGATCCAAGAACACCAGTGAGATACTCTCCATCGCCATATTTAATGGAAAATTCTTCGCCCGAGATGGCTTTGAAGGTCGAATCTTTGGTGTAGGCAGGGCCAAATGCACAGGTGGCTTCCGAGGCACTCTTTCCGGTATCGAGATCAACACAAGAATACCCAGTCTCGGCTAACCAAGTATCACTAGATCCGGTATCGACACTAGATGAGAGGAAAAAAAGTAAGTCTATAATATCTTCCAATCATCGGGTTAACTATTTCCAGGAAAGCACTTACATAACCTCAAAAGTCTGCGTTCCAAATGTGATATCCGTAGTAAATTCTTGTCCTTCAAACAAACTGATAAGAGCAGTTGAACTTCCATTAACGATATCCAAATTCTTCAAGAATTTAGCTGCGCTTCTGACTTCGGAGCCTCCGGTAGATTTCTTGGTAAGTTCCAAGACATTGTCTGTGACGACTGGAATACTTCTAGGTCTAGAAGGAACGACACTACGAACAGAAATCTTTGAGTTTGGGGCGCGGGGAAGTGAGCGAGCGGAAGTGAGGGAGAGGAGAGAAAGAGTGGTAAGGGTGGAGAGGACGGAGAAATACATCTTGAAGGACGTCCTATTGGGGAAAATCCGGGAGAGTAGAAAAGAAGCTGGCACTTAAAAGAATGCTACAGGAGAAAGAGAAGAGGCAATAAGCCAAGAGAGGCAGAGGCTTCTTCATATACTCTTTCCTCATAACGCGCGCAAATCTGCAAATGATAGCATCATACATTCACCACTCTTTCGCTATCAGATTAATATCACATTCCCTTGCAAAATTCTCTTCACCTGCACGGTGCCGATCCAAAAAGGCAGTTGAAGAACGATATCCGCAATGAGTAGATAGAGTAGTTTCCTATCAGAGATACCATGATCCGCTGCAAGGCACACTAGCACCGACGCCCCTCTATCAAATCCCGATATCTAGATTCTTCGGCATTGAGACGACACATCTCACCAATGATTGGTGGATAAAGAGCCAAGAGAAAGAATCACAAATCCAGGAACAGAGTAGTATTGCGGAGAAAGACAGTTCGTATGTACAGCAAGACTGGAGGTGTGCAAGACGAATAGAAATCCAGATAAGCATTTCTAATCCCCGCAGCAATCATGAGCACGATTATTGGCGCAGATAAGTGGGAGTGGATGGCGAGGATGGCGAGGATGGGATCATCCGAAATCCGTCCTTATCACACGCAAAAGGGAAGGAGATATCGTAAGCGGCCTGTAGTTTGACAGGGGGCTGGTGCTTTCAAGCTTTTGTGGAGAGTTTTGCGACCCGGGCCGTCGTATTATGCACTAGGGAGGGGGGAAAGATGGTTGTCAATTACCGAAAGAGCTCGAATTATGTGATATTGTAGGGGGTTGAATAGGGTCTTGAGGGATAATGTGTAGTTGTGATATGGTTTTTACTGGTCAATTTGGCAGATGATTAGTATTTTATGCTCTGATACACGGTATACCCGATATTTAATCTGTTATGTGATCTGACGATACGACTAGAGCTAAAATACCTGGCTTGTAGTTAACCTTATTGTTATGTAGTCAATGATGAACAAGTCTCTTGTAGAACTATCTTTTACTAGGTATAACAGTCAATGTCATGTTATCTCATATCTGCTGATATGTTATTGTTTGTATTAATCAATTCATGATTACCGAAGTCACATCATCAATTAAGGGGAAACTTGCCATTTGGGGTTTTTGTAAGATTTATTGCTTTGGGGCTCTGAATGGGAAAAAGAATATCAATGACCTCCACTGGAGACACCAAGGCAATCAAATTGGTCCTGTTTTCTGTTAATAAAACTTCGGTCTCATCTTCACTTACCTTATCACTAATGCTCATCTGAACACTATATAGCACACCGAAAACGAAGGAAAAGAAGGAAAATTGGAATCACAAAGGAAATGGAAAGGGGAATATTAAAAAAGAAAAATAGTTGATTTTTTGGTGGGTTTTCTCGAAAAGGAAATACAAAATCAAATGCAAAACTTCTATCGCATCCCAGATTGTACTACAAATGAAGGATGGAAGATGTTACCATTGTGTTGGATCTATGGATCTTGATACTGTGACTCTCGAAGTAGGAAACTGTGTTACAAAGGAAATATGGAAGAAATTACCATTGTGTTATACTGACCGGCGGTGGGGTATGGAATCGGGGTTCTCAAGGAGAACCGGCGAGGTTGGCTCGGAACCAACCATTCAATCTGCGCTCCATTCTCGATCCAACTGTGATCTGTGCGACTTCCTGAGATCCGACCTTGCTAAACAATTTCCATTGTTTGAAGCTGAGGCGGTAGAAGTGGCAAGCGTTGGTGAGCTGCGTGAAGTTTTCGTTCGGCATGCGAAAGACGACTTCGCAGCGGGCGAGGCGAGAGAACTGGTTGATGGCTGTGACGAGATTGAAGAAGACGTGGCTGTGGTTAGACTTCTCGACGTCGGAGCGGTATCCGGGAAGTGTTACTGAGACCAAGCAGGTTTTAGTGAAAACCGAGTAGAGTGCGACGATGCGGTGGAAGTCTTGAACCTGGGTGTCTGTGGGAAACTTCTTCTGGGCAAGGTTGATGGAGAGTGCGAGAGTTTCACCTCCGAAGGTGACCCAAGGGTGGTTGGGGATTTGTCCGGGGGCGAGTGTCGCGGTGGAAACAGGAGCTGGAGCGACTCTATCCTCTCGGATGAGAAGCGTTCTAAGTGCTGGTGTGGCTGGCATCTTGCCTGTTGAGTGGTTGCGAGTAGGATCTGGTTGATAATTCTGATTGTTGCTTAAAAGTCTTGCTTGAAAGTCTTGATCGAATTGTCTGTAGATGAAGCTCGAGTAGCGGATGAGTGGACGGGGAATTGAATGATAGGGAAAGAGACAAGCTCTTAAATAGTGGAACAGGAGGTGCTATTTCAATACTGTTTCGATACCTAAACAAGAAGCTCAATGCGAGAACAACCTCACTGCTTAATCCAGCATTGTTTCGCGCATTCTTAACACGAACGATGCTGCGAACTTCTTGAGATTCATGTAACGCAATTTTTCAGACATTGAACAGAGGAACTGTGACCATAACCAGAGGCTAGCCCGCCAGTTCATCCCATCCATCGGACCAAGTAACAAATTGGAGACTTCTTTCAGATTGACAATGTAAGCCTCTCTTTGTGCACTGTGAACAACCACCTACTGTTAGTAGAGGTCGTTAGGCTCCGATCTCAGGTGCGGGTGATGCGAATAAATTCTCATATTCAGAGACGTAGCATTTCGTTGAGTGAGACTTCTCACAGCTCCAACAGCATTTATATAAACTAAAAACGTCAATCATAACCAGCCAGTTGGACTACTTAACTTTGCGGCAATTGTTTTAGGGGTTTGTAAAGCATAGAGACTTAAGTGCAGGTTCCTCTGTCGGTCTATAATCTATTTTAGTACGGCAAAAAAGCTTGTGGGTTATATGAAAGAGTTTGTTATCAGGTTTCGGGAGGAATGATCTTCAATATGACGAGGAATGGAACAAGGACGAGTTTTCTTGTGCACTTGAGTAAGAATAATGAAGTTTGTTTTCCGTCACAAAGGGACGTGGAGATAGTATTGACAAAATTGACAGGTCACAATTTCAACCAGATCGCTCAATGTTAATTGTTCCTGTGCGCTAGCGATGTTGACTATTTAGTTGTTCTTCTGCTAGTACATATACATATGTGTGAAGAAGATCTTCCAGTTTCAATGGCTGATTAGTTGCAAAAGAAGTACTTTACTAGTTTATTTGCACATAAAAAGACAACCACGCGTCGCGAAATGGATGTCAAGACCGTAATACAAAATTGTGTAACAGACGGGCCTCGCTACTGTTCTCAGTGTACGCCATTCGCAGCCGCCATTCCATTCAAGGCCGGAGGAGGTGGTGGTACAGGTCCAAAGGGTCTTGGAGGCACTGGGTGAACATCTTCCTCTGTATCGTCGTCATATTCTCCCTCACTTCCTTCCTCACCCTCTTCGTACTCGTACTCGCTCTCCGTGCCTTCTAAATCTCCTTCGGCATACTCTCCTTCCACGGCTCCTGCCATGCCTTGGGTAAGACCTCGTCCTTGCCTCTGCATCTGATCAATGATATCTCTCAACTTTTCATTCCTCGTCTTTAATGCCTCGATTTCATGGGAACTCTTGGTACGCTCCTCGGCCATCGTAAGTATGTTCTTATTGGTAGCTTCGTGCTTTCGAGTCAAAGCCATGTTTTCCTTTTCGAGACGTTTCGTCTTTTTCGACATTTCTTCCATTTCCTTGCGAAACGTTAGAAATAAGTCATTGCTGTTGTTGAGCGTATCTTCCACCTGGCGGGCAATTAGCTCTAGGCATCCAATAGCAGCAAAAAACCGACTATCGCATGTAGAAAAGTAGGTCCTACCTGCTTGAACTTCTCCACATAAATGTTCAACTGATTTCGCAACTCGGTTTCGGTTTTGGAAAAAGTTAGAACCTGCTGATTCAACTGTTTTGCCCGATTTACCTCCTGCTCAGCAGCTCTTCGTTCACGCTCGAACCTAGCAAGATTATACTGAACTTCGAGCTCCTTTGTACGCAGCAGAGAATGGAAATGGAGCTCTCGTAATTCGTACTGATCAATCAATGACTTGAACTTTGCTTTGAAACTGCAAGGGCATTAGTGCTTGGACTAGCGTTAACATGAAGGAACTTACAGTTCGTCAAGCTCAGGATTGATAACCACAGTTTTCGGATTATCCTTCGTATGCTGATAGTCCTGGAATTGCCACAGAATTTCACTACACTTCTGATCCCATTCTTCTTTGGCGATCTTTTCATTATCTTGTAGAGTTTTGTTTTCACCCTAACCCCGCTTAGCATCTGTAAAATCGCATGCACCCAACAGAATGCGCACCTTGAGTCTATTGTTCTCTTTCTGTAATTCCCTGCAGAGCTTCTCCAACTTCTCTCGGAGGACGACGGCTTTGCCAAGGTCGGTTCTCGCGACGTCTTTTTCCTTCTGCAGTACATCACCACGCTTCTTGTTTTTCTGATTATCTCGCTCCAGTCGTTTCATGTCCGCAAGGTGTTCGGTGACCCTCTTCTGGAGTGTCTCGATTTTTTGAAGATCGTCCATTTTGGATATTGAGGAATTCAGTTCTCGATTCGCTTTTTTGACTTCGCGTTCTTGATAGCACAATACGTTAGCAATTTTTTCAAGCAGAACTCAATCTCGCATTGCCCCTCCATCTGCACTCGCGGGGGACTTCAGAAAGAGCATATCAGCCCTGTGGTATCTACAAATTGAAGAAATAGAGCAGGGGCATTTCGATCGATCGTGGAACCCCCTCCAAAAAGGACACCCCTCATTCTTGAATCGACCACACTCAATAATTCAGTTCTGAAGCGAAGCGCTTACCCCTCTCCTTCCACCGCGACGCACTTCGAGCAGACAACGCACACGACAGCAAAAATTTGGTGCAGCATGCAAATCGGTAATAGGGAGGGAGTTTCTAGAACGGACAAAACGAACCAATCTCTGCCTCTTGATCCTTCTCTCCAGCTGCATCTAGTTCCAGTTGCGAGATTTTGGCCGCAATAAGTTTTGAGGCTTCACTCGGATCCGTCCCCTTCTTCTGTTTTCCCTTCTTAACTCCAGCATCGTTATGGTGATGATGTCCATTGGGATAATCGGCATGGGTATGGTTCGCATTCATAGAGGTGGTTCTTGAATTCGTAGGGCCAGGTGCGTAAGTGGGATTTGCCCCAGTCGACATTGTTAAAATTCAAGTGTGAGTATCTAGGTACTTATCGTTTATGTGCGACGACTAATTTTGTCGCAATGCGATTTTCTGATTTTTCATGTATTGCCTCTCTGCACGTTGACGTTCTTTCTCAAAATAAGATATTACGAGGTTGACTGTATAACCAAGCTAGTGTGGCCGAGCCGGACACTCGGGCAATCAAAAACACGAAAATTCACTGAAGCGAACCTTCCAATAGTGAAATCAGTAATCATATTCCTTTGCGCCTCACCATATTAATTCACCCTCGTTTCTTCCCTTCCTTCCATCGTCCTTTCATTACCTCTCTCACACTTTTTTTCTGTCTTTGATGACATATTGATACAAGAAATATGTTACGACAAGCTGCAAAGAAAGGTGTGACGGAACTCGCCCAATATCCAAAGCCAGGCGAAAAGCTTCATGGATTTACACTCTTAAGATCAAAACATGTTCAAGAACTTGAGTTGACAGCACTTCATTTGAAGCATGATAAGACGGGCGCAGATTACTTACATGTTGCCAGAGAAGATAAGAATAATGTCTTCTCTATTGGATTCAAAACGAATCCTCCAGATGATACTGGAGTTCCTCATATATTGGAACACACAACATTATGTGGAAGCAAAAAGTAAATTGTCTTCCTTTCTATCATTATCCATATCACATTGGATCGCGCTGAATAGTTTGTAGGTATCCCATTCGTGACCCATTCTTCAAAATGCTACCCAGAACATTGTCAAATTTCATGAATGCATTCACTGCGTCTTCTCACACATTCTATCCTTTCGCCACCACCAATGAGCAAGATTTCAAAAATCTCATGTCTGTTTACCTTGATGCAACGTTGCATCCACTATTGAAACAGAGCGACTTTACACAAGAGGGATGGAGAATAGGGCCCGAGAACCCACGAGTGGCAATCGAGGGAGACACTGCCAAACCTGAAGATAGCAAATTGGTGTTCAAAGGTGTTGTGTACAATGAGATGAAGGGACAAATGTCGGATGCTGGATATCTATACTACATCAGGTTTCAAGACCATATTTTCCCTGCCATCAACAACTCTGGAGGTGATCCCCAAAAGATGACCGAGTTAACATATGAGCAATTAAAGAACTTCCACGCCGAGCATTACCATCCAAGCAATGCTAAAGTTTTTACATACGGCGATATGCCTTTGGCAGATCATCTTGTAGAGGTCAATGCTCAACTGAATGCTTTTGAGCGCATTAATGGAGATATGGAAGTACTAAAACCTATCGATTTATCATCTGGTCCACAGACTATCACAGTTCCAGGGCCTGTCGACCCATTGGTGGATGCAGATATGCAGTTCAAGACCTCAACGTCATGGCTGGTAGGTGATGCTACGGATGTTTTAGAGACTTTCTCTCTTTCAATAATGTTTGCTCTACTCATGGATGGATATGGATCTCCACTCTATAGAAACTTAATTGAAGCTGGCTTGGGAACCGAATGGAGTCCAAATAGTGGCTATGACCCTTCTGGAAAAGTTGGAATATTCTCTGTTGGTTTAACCGGCGTTAAAGAAGCCGACGTACCGAAAGTCAAGGAAGCAATTCACAAGACTTTCCAAGAAGCACATAAAAATGGATTTGAGAAATCGAAAATCGATGGCTACCTACATCAATTGGAGTTGAGCTTGAAGCATAAAACCGCTAAGTTCGGCATGTCATTAATGCAAAGAATTAAACCTAAGTGGTTTGAGGGTGTTGATCCTTTTGAAGCACTGGCTTGGAACGATACTGTTGCCGCATTTCAAAGAAAGTTCGAGAAGGGTGGTTATTTGGAGGGATTATTGGAGAAGTACTTACTAAATGACAATACACTCACTTTTACAATGGCTCCTTCAACAACTTATGGAGATGAGCTTGTAGCCGAAGAAGCCACACGTCTCGCAAAGAAGATTGCAGAGGTTACTGAGAAGGCCGGTGGTGAAGCTGAAGCTCGTGCGCAGTTAGAAAAGAGGGAATTAGAGCTTTTGGAAGAGCAAGGAAAATCCAACACTCAAGATCTCAGTTGTCTCCCAACTGTTCACGTTAAGGACATCCCAAGGCAAGACGAGAAAATAGAGTTAAGGGATTCGAAGGTTGAAAATGTCAATGTACAATGGCGAGAAGCACCCACAAACGGACTGACCTACTTCAGAGCCATCAACACTTTCGAAAATCTACCCGAGGAACTGCGAGCCTATATTCCATTATTTACAGATGCTATAATGCGTCTTGGGACAAAGGACATGACCATGGAGCAGTTAGAAGATTTGATGAAACTTAAGACTGGAGGAATTGGTGTCGGCTATCATGCTTCCTCGTCTCCCACAGATTTCAGGTCAGCATCCGAGGGCTTGAGCTTTTCCGGGACTGCTTTAGATCGAAACGTGCCTGAGATGTTCGGGTTATTACGAAAACTAGTCCTTGAAACTGATTTTGATAGCCCTGATGCCGAAGTCCGCATCCGTCAGCTTTTGCAGGGCTCGGCAGACGGTGCAGTTAACAACATCGCTTCATCTGGGCATGTATTTGCCAGAGGCTATGCTGAAGCTGGCGTAACACAATACGGGCGTTTGAAGGAACAAGTGGGAGGATTATCCCAAGTCAAGCTCACCACCTCACTTGCCTCGAGACCTGAGGCCGAAGGACTGGCCGATGTTATTGATAAACTCAAGACGATTCAGCGACTCGCATTTTCTGGATCTTCCACCTTCAAGACTGCCCTCACCTGTGGTAGTGAAAGTGTCACAAACAACGAAGCCGCGCTCCAGCAATTTCTATCATCAATCCCAAGATCTGAATTGCCATCTCGCCTAGTCCCTCTCCCAGATTTCACAAGAAACACCAAGACGTTCTTTCCTCTGCCATACCAAATATACTATGGTGGCCTTGCTCTTCCGACGGTATCTTATACCTCTCCAGCTGGAGCGCCTCTCCAAATACTCTCTCAGCTCTTGACTCATAAACATCTGCATCATGAGATTAGAGAAAAGGGCGGAGCTTATGGCGGAGGAGCTTACTCGCGGGGACTTGATGGCATCTTTGGATTTTACTCTTATCGTGATCCAAATCCCTTAAACACAATGTCGATCATGCGCAACGCTGGTAAATGGGCAGTCCAAAAGGAATGGACCGAACGCGATCTCGAAGAAGCCAAATTATCTGTATTCCAAAGTGTCGATGCACCTCAATCGGTCAGTCAAGAGGGCATGACCAGGTTCGTATCCGGAGTTTCGGAAGAGATGGTTCAAGAGCGACGTGAGCGTTTATTGGATGTGACCAAGGAGCAAGTCCAAACCGTTGCGCAAAAATACCTCGTTGATGCATTAGAAAATGGCCAAGGTAACATGGTTTTCCTTGGAGAGCAAAAGCCATGGGTAGATGGAACTTGGGAAACAAAGAATTTGGGACTCGCCCAAGAGCAACCTGAGGTCATGGATGAAGAAGATGTGAAGGACGCCGCGTTCGGATCATAGAACCCGCGGTTCTGTAACATATTGTATTCCACTCAACTGCATATACTGGCGTTTGGGATGTACAATATTAATGATTGAATGGTATGTATGATAGGTAAAGACAAAGATCGGCGATGTCCGTGACAGGTATCTGATTAGTATGTAATGAGCAATGACATATAACCTTTCGACAACATGACTCTTTCGAACGAATAAAGTCAATATTTTGAAGATGCACCTTGGTAGGCATGTTATTTCCTCTTTTCTTTGACTTTCAATTCTTTCTTCGCGCTACGAACAGATTATCACGTCTGCAGTCCTATTTTGATGGCTGTTAGATCACAAGTCACGTCTTCCTCTGAGAAGACTAGCGCAATAGCAACATTTAGTGTATAACCAGGCATATATGTCGTGAGTTGTCGCTTTATGGTTCCATCTTATTTCAGAGCTGTGGTCCCGGAGGCATGGGATGGCGGACTAAAGATGCGAGGACATACCGGAGCCATGTACTGTAGAAGGTAAATGAGGGGAAGTTATTGGCTACCTGATAGGATTTGGGCTGTGTGTGTGGTATTGCATGAGGGATATTTGGATATTTGGAAGTCTGTTGGTGGTCCATAAAGGGGTCAAAGAGGGTTTGAGAAATGGCGGAGGTGAACGTTTACAGCCAGTCAGCCATACTACAACCACCGAAGCAAACTAAAGCTTATTGAGTAGGTAAATCTGTTAAGTGTTCGCCATAGAACAGTTTGAACTAATGCGATATTAAATACTGGTGGTTGATCTGGGGCATCTCGGAAGTTTATAGCCGTTTGTATCGTAGATGATCGACTGTATTTTTAGTAACGATAGTCTTCATATTACAGATTACAGATTTACTTTTGAAACACTGGGTAAGTTAACCGGCATGCATATAAAATAACCTAATGTGAGACAAATATTGCTGACCGACTCGAGTCTTTTGTTATCTAAACCTCGCTAACGTAGGTACTCAAATATTTGGTCATTTTATTATTGTTGGAATTGACACCCGCAGCCCGCTCCACGCAGCCCACGAATAAGAAGAGCGAGTCATGAAAAATACTGGGGAATTCATTATTTTATCACCAGGTATTGGAATTTACTTCTTGTACGTCATCCAGTCAAAATATTCAAATTTCCAAGACGTGCCTGAAGATCGCGGTAAAAATTGGAATTTGGGCAGAGTTGTAGAACTTCATCGATACCTGGCCGGCCTCGTCTCCGTACCTAATGCCTCCTTCGTATTCATCCGAAATCAAATTTACACAGGATGGTGAGGAATTAAATGAGATATAAATTAAATTCCATAGACGTGTAGACAGAGATGTAAATGTGTGCATATGTAATAATAAGTTGGGAAACCGAGAGGATCGGGAGAAATCATAATCGAGGCGTGAGGTATTTTTTATTGGGAAAGGAGTGGGTCGGCTAAAACTTTTAGTCTAATACAAATTTTTAAACAGCCAAATCTGAGGTCAAGCGTCAAGCTCACCCGTGAAAAAGCTCCAAAGAAGCCAGTCTAGCCACCAACCTTCATAACCTACTCAGTACATAACACAGAGAGTGGAATATACTGGCCACTTGCTGTGCTGAATCCTATCCATTTGTTTAACTTCATCATCTTCAATCAACCAAAACATCTGCGTGATATAGTCTTTGTCTGGACTATATTGAGAAAATTCTTTCTGGGTACGTACATGAACAATAATCTTTACCCCGCCGATGAAAAATCTGTTCTTTCGCAGAGCAATGCTATTATCGTCGCTCATCGCATCTGTTTTGCCATCTTCCCATGGTGCGAGGATCAGAGCGATTTTTAAACGCCTCACGCATGTTACTTGGACGTAGAGGTGCGGCATTTCAAGACACTGTTGCTAATACCTCACTCGCAGATCTTCTAACCACGAAGAACCTACAATTCCCTCTCGACTGCCTTTGGTCTAATCAAAGGCGAAACATCCAGCACGGCTCCAACGGCCGCGATACTAGTTTCTGATCAAGATTACTCCGAACGTCCTAACCGGCACATCATCAACACCACACCACCTCCTTTTGCTGCACGTTAATCAGCTTGAGCGTTTGTTTTACGAGTTGTTTAACAACACCCCGTCTTCGTCCGAAACTCCTCAGCTGCCGCATAGGACGAGTTTAAAGGGCCTTCCTCTCGCAGAGGAAGAGTCGAGCCGTCCTCGCCAGATCAGCACAGGATCTGATCGTTATAGACCACCTTAACATACCCTTGGGCTTTCAAAGTACAAGTATGTTTGATCACCTACTGGCATTGCTTGGCTACATTTTGACACTTTCTTGGCCATACTGACATCTACTAGTAAACAAATCACAACTATATCAAACAATCCTTGGTTAAATACGAGGATATGTCACCTTCCGCCACTATTACCTACGAAAACAATAACAATCTTGATAGTATCGAATCATACTATCCCAAAGATTCTTATATTGAACTCAATGGCGTGAATACCGCAAAAACTATAATTGGAAATGCTTTAAAGCAAAGGGTGGAAAATATTGATAACGACATCTGCGAGGCAGATGACGAAGATGCGTTCTTCGTCGCTGATCTAGGCGAGGTTTACAGACAGCACATGAGGTGGAAGAAGAATTTACCCAGAGTCAAGCCGTTTTATGGTCAGTCTTCATACCTACTCACGTGTCGGTTTCAATTTTTCTAACTTCAGAACAGCGGTCAAATGCAACCCAGACCCACAAGTCATTCGTCTCTTGGCAGAACTTGGCACAGGATTTGATTGTGCTTCCAAGGGCGAGATAGAGCAAGTCCTCAAGGCTGGCATCGACCCTTCTCGTATTATTTATGCTCAGCCATGCAAGACGAACTCCTATGTTCGATATGCTGAGAAGCAAGGAGTCAAGCAAATGACATTCGACAACAGCGATGAGTTATACAAGATTAAGAAATTGTTCCCAGGGGCTGAACTCTTTCTCCGGATCTCTACCGATGACTCCTCGAGCTTGTGCCGATTGAGCTTGAAATTTGGAGCAGCCATGGATGCAACAAGCAATCTTCTTGCTTTAGCCAGAGAACTTGACCTCAATGTTGTTGGCGTTAGCTTTCATGTAGGATCCGGTGCCTCAGACCCTCTTGCATTCAGGAAGGCAGTTCAGGACGCTCACACCGTCTTCGAACAAGCTCGCACCTATGGCTACTACATGCACACCCTCGATGTCGGTGGGGGTTTCTGCACTGAAACATTTGAAGTAATGGCTTCCGCACTCAGTGATGCTCTCGAGGAATATATGCCAAAACACATCAAAATTATCGGAGAACCTGGACGTTACTATGTCGCTAATGCTTTCACGCTCGCTTGCAACGTCATTGCACGCCGAACCGTCGAAGATCCCGAAACATTGGAAAAGAGCTATATGCTTTACCTCAATGATGGTCTTTATGGCAATTTCTCTAGCATCATGTTTGATCATCAAAACCCAATTGCTCAAGTTCTTCAAACTGGCAACCGCACTTACTTTGACACTCTGGCAAGTCAAGCAATTCTCGGAGGTACCGAGTACTCAATCTGGGGTCCAACTTGCGACGGTATTGATCGTATCTCTGCAAGCATTCGCTTCAATCACAATCTTGACGTTGGAGACTGGCTCTATTTTGAGAGTATGGGTGCATACACCAAGTGTTCTGCAACGAGATTCAATGGCTTCACAGACAGCCATGATGTTATCTATGTTTCTAGTGAGCCAGGAGTCAATGCCCTACTTGAAATGTGAAAAGTTTCAGGTAGTCACTATCTTTTAATACGTGGTTTCTCAATGATGGTTGGTGGTAGAAAAGAAGAAGAAGGGGGATGGTATAGATTAGCGTTGTATGCGTTGTATGTTTCTTGCTTGACTAGATTTCCTTGGATATGAGAGATTCATTGATTATAATACTTTTTTGTATCAAAAAAGCGAAATCGTTGTCTATATCGCTCTTTTCTAAGTTTACATACAAATATAGAGATGTTCATAGAATTTGATCTACTTGTTGCAATGAGTCAATTTGATAGTAGCTTCCTTAAAACTGGTTAGTTACATGATACACCCCTGTGCCGTTCGATTTGATGTGATGAGATGAAATCATGCACGGCCCCTTCTTTATCTTTCAAGGTTATCTTTCACGGTGAACTTCCAGGTTTCGTCAACATTGGGATGACAATAAAATTCTAGCATCAAAATCAGTCTCTATAGTGCTATTTCCCAATTCAGAGAGAGGTAACATATATCGTCGATGGTATCTGCCGGATCCTTTTACTCTGGAACCCCCAATTCAACCAAACCAAATTCTAAACTACACGCAATCTTCATCAAACACCGTAACCCCAATACATTCCGATAAGAGCATATACAACATGGTGTCAGAAAAAGATATGAGGGAATATCTCCTCCCTTTAGACACCCCCTCGAAAAATCAACGACGCCGTTATAGAGATCACCTGACATTCCTTCCACTCCTCGCCTCGGCCCTTTTTCTCGCAATGGTCATCACCTATTTCTCATCCCAATCTATTCATCGCCATCGGGAATTCCAGCTCACATCCGAATCTCTCTACGAATGCGCGTGGTCGCACTTGGAGAAATATGAGCAACTTCTGGATGTAAAACCGATTGCTCGAGAAGAGTTTCTGGAGAGACAGAGGGTGTTGGCGGGGGTGTTGGGGAAGGACGGGGTAGATGCGTTTATTGCGGAGCCGTCGGCTTCGACGGAGTATTTTGGGAATGTTTCGAGCGCGTTTGAACTTTCTGAGAGGCCGTTTTTGATTATTTTGGACAAGGAGGGGGCAGCGACGTTGTTGGTGCCGAAATTTGAGAGGGGGAGGATTGGGGCTTTGGATATGGTTTTTGAGGAGAAGATAAAGAGGATTGTGGAGTGGAGGGAGGAGGAGAATCCTTATGAGGTATTGCGTAGAGAGATGGGATTGAAAAAGGTGGTGTTGGATGAACATGTTCGGTTTATGGTGGCGGCGGGACTGCAGGATGTGGGGGTGGATGTGCAATTGATGAGTTTGGAAATGAAGGAATTGAGGGCTGTGAAGAGCGAGACGGAGTTGGATATCTTGAGGGGCGTAAACGAGTTTACGGTGCAGCTGGTAAGGAGTTTGCAGAAATGTATCAAGGTGGGTATGAGCCAGGAAAGTATCGTGGAAGCTGCCGAAGGACTTTTTACACAAGCGGGTGTTGGGGCTGGGTTTTGGTCAATCGTTCTCTTTGGCGAGCAGGCTGCTAATCCGCATGGGGGTGGTAAGGGACGGGTTCTCAGGGATGGGGAGTTTGTGTTGGTGGATATAGGGACTTCGTTGCATGGGTATGGAAGTGATGTGACTCGTACTATTCTGCCATCCACATCTACGGTTGATCAAGAATTGATGGACATATGGCATTTGGTATACGATGCGCAATCTGCGGCGATCGAGAAGATGAATATTAACGAGACGTGTTCGGTTGTGGATGAAACGGCTAGGAACGTCATTAAAGCTAAGGGGTATGGAGAGTTTTTCACACATCGATTAGGTCATGGATTAGGGTTGGAAATGCACGAACATCCATACCTCAATGGGGTTAATGGAGAGAAATTGAAGAAAGGAGAGGTCGTTACTAATGAACCCGTAAGTTGCCTTATCCTCTCTCTTGCCCTTCTCCCTTCCTCTCACACAAAATACCCCTTCCCCTCTCCCTCCCCTTCAAAACAAACCCACAAAACTAACCCACCAACCCCAAAAGGGAATCTACATAACCTCCTCCCAAGCCACCAGACTCGGCAAAAAAGTTGGCTTCGGCGTTAGAATCGAAGACGCCGTTTTGGTTACTGAGAAGGGGGCTAGAGTGATGACAGGATCGCGCGCCAAATCCCCTTACGAACCTTGAGGTATGGGGATCAGAAGAAAAATATGTAATAGAAAGGTGCGGTTTGGAAAGGAAGGGTTGATGGGTGTGAGAATGGTGGTATATCGAATACCTACCTAGGGTAGACCGTAGATGCGATTCTAGACGAATTAGTACAAATTGTAAAGAATAGAAGGATATTTAGACTTTAGAATCTTTACGTTCTTTCGCTGGTTTGAATAAATGTGAATGGAGATGAAATTCTGAGGAAAAGGAAATTTCTAGTTTGAGTATTTCATTTTTTGATATTTTTTCTAACGGTGGTTTTGTTCATAAGTGACTGCTATACTAACTCAAAGTCGGTCATCTATTCTAGCACATCTTGAAATCATGGGATGCTTGCATACTTGCATGCAGCATTCCCATTTCGATATATTAGGTTAGGTAGACGATCTCAAGTTTCGGGTAGTAGTGAACTCGCTTCTGTAGGTAAACAGGTAGGTAGGTAGGCACTGGATGATGATAGCCATTATCTGTATCATGGTAAGAACGATAGATTAATTTGATTTAATTTTCAACATATACACACATCAGCTATAATTTCAGTACGAGACGAGAATGAGATTATGTTCTCCAGACTTTGAGAGGAACATATTGGCACATTTTTTATTCTAATCCGTGTATCACTATCCGATATGTGTATATCTTTCTAGAAGCATTTCTTCCCTTTCCGCCAGAAGCCACAAAGAAAATTTGGGCATATTTTAGTTTCACCATATGCCAGCCTCTCTCCATTTCGACCCTTTAAACTCCGCCCCCTGCAATACGTAGCCCAGAACGCCATAGTGTGAACGCCGCGACCTGTATACCACCCAGTGTCTATCAGTTAACTCTAGATCCTCTAGATCTAAATTTTCATGACGTGTAGAGTAGAACGGAAGAGGAAAGGAGATTCGTAAGACATAAGTTTATCTCGATCACGGTTGGCGAGGAGACATGAGCTGGTATTGTTGAATTTGGTGAATTGCAGATTGTTCACCGCGTTGCGAGGACTTTCGTTCCATACGTCCACCGGCAGTTTTATCAAGCTTAGGTCTGGAATGTTCAAGCTTGGTTTTAGCAAGTGCGAGTTCAAAAGTCTCAGATTTAACAAACTCAGATTCAGCAGGCGTAGGTTTGGGGACTTCAAGCTCAGGTTGGCCAACCTTAGGCTCAGCATTCTCAGTTGCAGCAAGCCCGGGTTTAGCAAGGGTAAGTGCAAGAAGCTCCGGCTCAATAAACTCAGATTCAACAAGCTTAGGTCTGGGATCTTCAAGCTTGGATTTAGCAAGGGCGGGTGGAATAAGCTCAGGTTGAATAGGCTCAGGTTCAACAAGCCTAGGTCTAGGATCTTCAAGCTCGAGTTGGTCAACATTAGGCTCGGATCCAGCATGCCCGGGCCCAGGAAGTGCAAGTTCAAAAAGCACAGGCCTAGTGAGCCGAGATTGGAAAGGCTTAGGTTCGTTTGGTGGTGCTTTATCTTGTACGACGTCCTGCAGTTCTGATATGGGTTCACGTGCATCGACAACGGCAACTTCTTTTTCAGAACGTTGAGGTTCGGAATTTTGACCTTTGCTTTCCTGAGAAATACTAGCTCGCTTTTTCGGGGTAGTCTTGCTCTCTCCACTAATTTTCCTCTTCCGGTCGGCGGTGACTGCAGCAATATGTGCTTTCGTGGCTTGAAATTCTGCTTCTTTCTTTTCCTCAAGAGCCTTCTTTGCGTCATGCTGTTTTTGCAAATCTCTAGCCATGTTGAACCTTTCGTACTCTTTTAAAAAATCTAGGCCTATTTTCCATTGTTTATCTCTGGCACATTCACTCTCGGTTAGATGTGGTGCCCAATGTAAAGGTCTCTCAGCAGCGCGTCGCCAGAATTCCGCAGATTGAGAGCTAACAACTTGAGAATGTCCATTGTAAACAATGTCTGACAGTGCCTTATAGAATGCGGCTGCTTCTGCTTCTAAGCCCAGAACGCGAAGAGAGCGAAGGATTCTGCTGATTCTCAAATGGTTGTGATCTCTCCTGATAAGCCAATTGGAGCATCTTTCATAGAAATTGGAGGATTTAATTATCTGAGAGAAGATGTTAGACTTTTGCGATCAGTTATGGTTGCCGAATTGATGAAAAACTTACAACAGGCAGACCATTTCCATCCAAATCATCAGCGAACTTGAACCCATAGAAGTCCAACATTTTAATCAAAGAATCCTTGAGATGGCATTGTAATTCGGTGGAGGAATTGAATGCATGGAACGCATTGAAGACATTCTCATCAATCAAAGGTGCACCGGAAAACATAGACTCTTCTGGAAGAGGGAACAGCCATTGGATATAGTCGTGTACATCCTCCAACTTCTCATAATCCCAAGACATAATGTGCGAAAGTAATCGTCCTGCATTGTCCGGGGTCTTGTTTCGATAGAAAGATACAAGACGGCTTTCGATCTCGGGTGGCTCGACAAAATCCCCGAGAATAGACATACTGCTTGATCTATCTCTATCGTTGAGTGATGATGTTGTAGTTCGTGGGGTGTTTTGCGTTGCCTGAGCGTTGAGCGTTGTATTTTATATAAGTATCAGGTAGGAATAGATTTTCTCATTGTATCTGATGATGTAAGACTTACATGCTTCAACAGACTTTTCAAATTATTATGCATTGTTTGAAACATTGCTTAAATTTGAGTGCATGAATTTGAATTTGGATGTTACGGGAAAAATCCATGACGAGTAAGGCTGAGGTAATAAGGCTAACGGTGGGAGTGAGCCATATGGGGTAAGTGAACAGATGTGAACGGATCGTCCCTCTTTTTGGGCCAATCATATATCGTACTTATGATTCGAGCGCCGAGATCACCTGCAAGGCTAATGGATGATTGACCAATCATAAAGTATCCTTGTATCAATTAATTCTCCAACTCAAGAAGTTGAAAATAGACTCATATTAAATCGTATATTATATCATCCCGTAAGATTCATTCTACTGGAGATGGAATGAAGAAAGATACCTAGGTAACCAATGATTTTGAAAGATCTCAATGACAAGCTTCATCGGCATTTTGCGAGGCTACTGATTTGATTACTAATAAGACACACGACACATGAGTGGAGGGGTAAAATCTTCCGTCTACCTCTGTTTTAATTCCCATGTTACATTTATTCTGCATTCTGTATGTAAGCCATAGCCGTTGGAGCATTTCCGGCTTTTCATCTCTATCTTCACTATGATATCCATGACCAATGGATATCGAATCAACCTTCTTTCCACTACCGCCACCACCCTCATATGCCATCACACACAGCAACACCCCAGACATTCCTCATCTCGGCACATGTTGTATTCGTCTTATCAACACCCACACTCTTTCAACAATGTCTAGGGTTTGGGTGATTCGAGTGACCACGAGATGCTCAAACGTCTTATTATCCCCAAAGGTCTCAGATAGCAGTGTGAAGATCAATTGGAACGTTGCAACTTACTGATGATGTTATTGACATGCCTCATCACAACACTTCCTATACCTTCACGAGTACCTGCCAACTATTCTTTATCAGGCAGGTAATGCACATCGTGTTGACTCCTTCCTTTACTGTCTTCCCTCATGCAGGTGGATTGAGATAGAGATATTGCATCTGATCAATGCTGCAAGTTACTTATCATACTAGTCGAATATGAGCAAGAATGGTGTCAATAACCCTGTTGGCCACCCCTGAATACACATGTAGCCTTGCATGCAGCCTTGCAATACGTTACTTGCCAAGTCCTTAGCACTCTAGGAAGAGAGCTCTGTACCGATATTCGCAGTTATTTACCAGACATGGTAGGTGATAAGGAAGCTCCCATAGCTATTTTCATTGTTCCATAAGAACTCGAGCTCTCCCCAAGTGGTTGAGAATTCAAGTGAATTTTCTTTTTGCTCACATCATGCATTTCTCACTTTTCGTTGCATACGGTCTCTTGACTGGAGTGATTGCCGCTCCAGCTCCTCAGAAAAGACATGTTGTTCATGAGCGAAGAGATCAAGCACCTCGCAATTGGCGTAGAGAGAATCCATTGCACCCGGATTCAAGCCTCCCAATGCGATTTGCCATCACCCAAAACAACTTGCACAATGCCGAAGCATACTTGATGGATGTCTCCGACCCATCTTCTCCAAACTTTGGCAATCATTGGAGTGCGAAGAAGGTCGCTGAAACCTTTGCCCCAAGTGCTGAATCGCTTAGAGCAGTAACTCAATGGCTTGCAGAGTATGGAATCAAAAGCGACCGCGTGAAGCAGTCGCAAAGTCTCAATTGGATTCATGCCAATGTTACTGTTGCAGAAGCAGAGTCTCTTCTCAACACCAAGTACTACGTAAGTCCAACTACGTCTTCCATTTGCTTCTACCAGTGTTCGATTATACATGTGTGTATCCATCACAACTCTCTTCGTCCATCCACAGCTCTGGTTTTCGTCTTTTCCCAAAATACTATTCGCCAGACAATTATTGATTCTCTAACTTGTAGTCTTATACACATGCGGAAAGTGGCCAAACCGCCGCTGCTTGTGATGACTACAGCGTTCCTGAAAACGTTCGCAAACACATTGATTTTATTACACCAACACTGCACTTCGATGCAAAGGTTGTACCTCAAAAGGAGAAGCGAGATTTGAGTACTCGTCAGAAAGGTCAGCTTGCCAGAAGAGCAATTGGTGAGGGCCACAGAGTGGGATCACCAAATGATCCATCATTACCCAAGCAAGGCAAAATTGTTTCCACTACATCACACGCTAAACTACAAGCTTCGGCGTTGACAACTTGTAATACACACATCACACCCGATTGTCTTCAAGCTTTGTATGAGCTTCCAAAAGATGCTCCTTTTGCGGAAGGAAGTAAGTATGCCCCTCCGCTGATGACATCAAATTTAACCATTCATAGATTCATATGGTATTGTCGAATATACGCCACAGGCATATCTTCCTCGGGGTAAGTGTTGCTTTCGATTTAGTATTGCATATATTGACATCAAGTATAGATTTGGATCTGTTCTTTGGTAACTTCTCTCCTGCACTTGTCGGGTCTAGACCTGTCTTCGATTCCATAGATGGAGGTGTTCTTCAGACAATTGTTGAGTCCTTCAGCTATAACGGAGAATCAGTAAGTTGATTCTGACATTCACTCATAAATTATCCACCTAATTCAGCCCAGGACTTGGATTTCGAATACGGGATGGCACTTGCATACCCTCAAGAGGTAACATTATATCAAACTGGAGACATTGCGCAGGGAGCTTCATTCAACAACTTCCTTGATGCTATCGATGGCGACTATTGTACAACAGATGGCGGTGATGATCCAGATTACGATGCCGTCTACCCTGATCCATACGGTAACACCAGCTACTATTACCAAGGACCTGCGAACTGTGGTGGATTCGCTGCTACCAACGTTATTTCTACATCCTATGGTTATGACGAGACTGGTCTTTCCCCCGCCTATGAGATTCGTCAATGCAATGAATATCTTAAGCTAGGTCTTCAAGGTGTCACCGTCTTGTATTCTTCTGGTGATTACGGTGTTGCGGGCAATGGAGGCGCATGTGGCGCTGGCAACAGTATGTCATCTCATCTCATATGTTATCGGGAAATCTCATTTTAACAATTGCAACAGCATTCAACCCTTCGTTCCCTGCCTCATGTCCATATGTTACAGCTGTCGGAGCTACCCAAGTCAAGCCAAACGCTACTGTTACTCAACCAGAAGAGGCTGCTGAGTCCGTCAGTATGTACCGTCATTTCTCAATTGGTCTGACAATCCTCTTGATGTTTACTAATCACAATTCTCAGTCTATTCTGGTGGAGGATTCTCCAACGTCTTCTCAACTCCCGACTACCAAACTGATGCCTTAGCAACCTACTGTAAGTACACTCAGTCTTGAATACCACGGCCGTCTTAACCCCATCTACATATACTACCTTTGTACCCCCAAAGCACGCACTAACCTCCCTCAAGTTGCCGAGCATCTCCCACCTTACACATCCGCCCAATACAACAACTCCCAAGTGACCCGCGGCTTCCCAGACATCTCCGCCAACGGCGTAAACTACGTTGTTGCTGTCGACGGCGTGTTCTCTCTCGTCTACGGCACCTCTGCTTCTGCTCCCGTGGTTGGCGCCATCTTTACCTTAATCAACGCTGAGCGTATCAATGCTGGAAAAGCGCCTATTGGCTTCGTCAACCCGGTTTTGTATGCTAATCCAGGTGTATTGAATGATATCACTAGTGGAGGCAACCAAGGTTGCGACACTGCTGGATTCACGGCAGTGGAGGGATGGGATCCCGTTACTGGTGAGTGTTCTTGTCTTGTCTTGCTTTTCTCTATCTTTCTCTGGTGTTTTGTCCACCGTTGGATTGAGAAGAGTATAAGATCTTATGATTCTAGAGTGGTGTACTAACGTCCGTGAAACAGGTCTCGGAACACCCAACTACCCCAAACTTCTTAAACTCTACCTCTCACTTCCTTAGAGGATGTTCATTTGCATACATAGGTATATATATATATCATGGACAAACCAGACGACCTGGACTCGCGGATAGTCAATCATAATTGAGACTTTAGGCCTTGGAATCGTTGAGATGAATATTGTATATAGTTTGAAGAAACACAGGATATCGGAAATGTAGGCTAAAGATGTCTGTTTTATTTATTGGACGATCTTTGAGGACTATGTATGTATCTTATTGAGTAATACATATACTATACAAACGATATATAATGTCGAGAGAGAATTATCAGCATACCATAACATATCATTTGCATCAAAACACTCTGAATATGCGCATTAAAAATATAGCTAATTTAATTCTTATTCATATCGGCTTACATCTGACCGAGTGTTTGGCATATTCAATACCACAACACCCTTGTGTTTCCATGCTTTCTTTTTGAGAGCTTCCCAAAATACCTACCTAAAGGGTGATTACTCACAACCTGAAGTTTTGGAGAACTTACGATTACAAAATAAACCTCGCTTGCCATCAGGAGAACTTTTGAAGCTCACCAGGAGCTAGCTTTCGTATGACTGACTACAATAGTGATTCAATAGGATAAGTGCATTTATGAAGGGGACCACAGGTAATGGATGATGGAGACTCATCCAGCGGATTCTAGGGGTTTAGAGGCGTACTGGTTGGTCGCGGTCGAGGTGAACTACAAGATTGAGTGAAAGGAAATGGCATGGTTTACAAAAGAAACTGCAGGAGGATTATGCACAAATACACTGGATCATGGTCTGAGATCGATGTATTTTTGCAATGCGTTTGATTAGATTTTATGACATGCTCCATTTATTACGACGAAGCTTCGTATCACAGCGAAAATATCAATCCTCTGCAAAGATAATCAAAGATTGTCATGCCACAACCAGAGACTCATTTCATTGAGAGCGGAATAACGATCAAGTCCACTCCTTTTGAACGCACAGGGCTTTCCCTCTCAAACCATGACACATGAACGGTAATCGAGTATCTTTCCCTCATAAGTGCTTTCAAATTTTACCCCCAAGGAATACAGTTCATTGCGGAAACATCTTAATTATTTTTTGTTGGGTAGTGTGACATTTACCATTGCTCGGTACCGGAAGCAGCCCACTCTTGTCCAGCGGCAGCTGGTGCAGCAGCCCAGTCAGATGGCTCAGCAGCATCCCATGAAGCTCCACCAGCGGCAGCAGTGTTGCTAGCAGCAGTGAATGCACCAGCAGTAGCACCAGAGACCTCCCAGTCACCAGCACCTGCGAATCCTTGGTCAACAGCAGCGGCACCGACCTATGAGATCGAGTTAGCAATAGATCTTTCAAAATCGATCTGGAATATATGACATACCTCATCAGCACCTGGAGCCTTGGCCTCCTCAATAGCCTCCTTGTTCTCCTCAGCTTCTGGGTCACGGTAGAAGTACAAATCAACCATGGTATCCCATTCAGCCTCACGGGAAGCGATGGAACCACGGAGACGGAGGACCTCACGGGCCAACATCCACCAAACCAAACCAATGGAGTGACGACCCTTGTTGTTGGTTGGGATAGCTACATCGACGAACTCGGTTGGGGAATCGGTGTCGCAAAGGGCGATAACTGGGATGTTAACGTAGGAAGCTTCCTTGATAGCTTGAGCATCGGTACGTGGGTCGGTAACAATGATGAGGCGGGGTTCTTTGAAGGAGCGGGTAATGTAATTGGTGAAGTTACCAGGGGTGAAACGACCAGCGATGGCAACGGCACCAGTGTGGGCGGCGAACTTCAAGACGGCACGTTGACCGTAAGGACGAGCAGAGATAACACAGATATCAGCTGGGTTGTCGATGGCTGCGATGATACGGGCAGCAAGGACGATCTTCTCCCTGTAAAAAGAAATTTGTTAGATTTAAGATTTTTCAACTGGCGCATTCAAATTTCGTTCTGTTCATACATACCAGGTCTTGCCAATGTTGATAACATTGATTCCATCTGGGCGAGTCTTCCAGAGGTATGGCTCCATGTGAACTTGCAAGTTCTTGGCTCCCAAATGGCATTGAGCGGCCAAAAGCTGCTCAATATCCTGGGAGGTAGGATTGAAAATCGCGGGGAGTTGAGAAGGTGCCATCTTTGCGATTTGATGTGGTTGTCGAATTTGGTCAAACCTTTGGAAGATGGTTGTCGAAAGTTGTCGATTTGCTGAGGACGAAGAATAATTTTGCGATAGTGCGAGATAAAAGTATGCGAAACCCTAATCAAGATTGTCAACTGACCCTTGTAGCTGGTGCCTTAGATACGAGGCGTGACTGTATGATATCAGCTAGTTGAATTTAGGTTAGCGCGGAAATTTATCCAGATGGGACTTTGAGGGGAGCAAAGTACTGGGCTGATGGAATAAATGAGTTGATTTGATTAAACACATTTACGATGCCTCCTCGAATATCCCTAATTTCGCGATTGAGTGCAACTCCTTGTAAGATGAAAACACCGACAAATCCATGAATCAATTTATCTAATCGTAGCAATAGTGTGTTTTCGCCCGATCTCAAGTTCAACAACATGCTCTTTCTCAACCACATCTGCAGCTAATGCGGCTACATTTGCCCAGCGAAGAGCGCATAAAGACCCTTACGCATTAGCACAATCTAGACAGAGAAAGCAGTCCAATTTGGAAAGGCAGGCTGTGTTGAAGAAGGAGCGGGAATCATCATTGGGGGATCCGGTACGGGGTGTGTCGACACCATTTCTAGAGTCTCTTGATGACGTTGGAGGATCCACGGTCAAACTCGATGCGACTATAACTAAAGGTTCTGGAGAGGGCGCAAAAATAAAAAATGTCGACAATGTTCTTTTGAATCACTTCTTGACCCCAACTGAACTTCAAGGCGCCATTCAGCATTCATACTACCTTACAGAGCCTCTGTTGGCCGAGAATCGGGATCTAGCAGATGTTCACGCCGAGGAACAGGCAAAGAAGCATCATGAGGAGGCTCATGCGAATGCAGCCGCAGCATTGGCACGTATCGTAAGCTTAGAAAACGCAAGTTCGAAGGATAAGACCAGAGCGAATATTGTAAGGTGCATAAATACATTTGGACGCCACCAGACGGATGGAGTATTGAGGCCCAGGGCACCCACGCGCGATGCTATCGAAGGAGCTGATCTGCCAGAGAAGACACCAAGAGCTGGTCCTGACACCGGCAGTTCTGAGGTTCAGATTGCGATTTTGACTACAAAAATCAGGGTCTTGGCGAATCAACTGGAATCGAAGCGGGGAAATAAGGATAAAGTTAACAAGAGAAATTTACGTTTGCTGGTCCACAGGAGGCAGAAGCTGCTAAACTATTTAAGGAAAAAGGAGCGGGGAAGTGATAGATGGGAGAATTTGATCGCAACCTTGGGCTTGACAGAGGGTACATGGAAAGGAGAGATCAGTCTGTAAATAATATCAAAATGTATATCACCACGCCCAAAGGATACGTCCTGAAAAGTATAAAAGTTTGTCTTGCAATTTTGAAATCAGTATCCGTAATCTCCCTACGCCAGCTCGCCAACTAGACCTGTACAAAGACCCAACAGCCAACTGTCAGGTTTGAAAGAAAGACTATTAGTAACATATTTATCCCCATCCTAAAATACACTGATGTAGTTGCCGATTCGTTCCTTTTGGTTTTGTGCTATACACTCGGCGATCCAGGTGATGTTGCGGATTTCCTGTGAATGTCAGTGTCCATTCGTTAGCAGTTTACGAAGAATACACATACCTGTTCTCTCAACTTGACCCATGCATAGACAATAGCAAATGTGAATTGTCTTGTGAATGCACCTTTGGAAATTTCCATCTCCTTTTGGTAAAACAGATCTTCTAAACTCTTTTCATTACCACCAGCTCCCCCACTCATGTTGCCTGCTCCCGTGGTGCTCTGTCCCATTCCCGTGGCATCAAAATAACCCTTGTAATCACTAACTCCCTCAACAGCAAGTCTAACACCTTCTATATCCTCTGCTCTCGAAAGCAAAATCGTTCCTGATGGAGAAAGGCGCCCAAAGCTTGGGTATAGCTTTTGGCGGTCTTTCTTTGATAGCTCTGTGCCGAAAGAGTTGAGGGTGATGTTGATAGCTCTTCTATCGGCTTCGAATTCAAGCATCTCAGACATAACTTCGGCTGTCGGAGTGTTGGCCATTTCTGGGTCGGTATTGACAAAGTTGTAGAAGTCCTCTAGGTAGTTTTTATACAACGTATTACGGACAATCTCAATGTTGAGCTCATCCAAATCTTGGTGACTCAAACTCCCCTTAAAGTAGGGCGCCAATGGAGTTTCAATCAAGACACTGTTGTATAACTCTTCTATGTTTGTAGCCACACACAAGACAGGCATAGTTTCGAACCAACCAAGAGGATGGCATCGTTCAAGTAGTTCTCGGGTATCTCTTTCATGGAGAGTACCAGTAATTAAAAGGGCTACATTGTCGATCATGTATCCATACGTGAGGTAGTCCATAAACTTTGCAAGTGAGCCAACCGCGTTTGCGCGTAGGTATCGAAATTCGGAGATGAGTTTGTCGGTCGTTTTGGCAGCGAGGGTAGATGTTGAAGGATTAGGTGGAAGTGATGCTAGGAAATCGCCATACGCTGGTCCAAGTTGAAGCTTGAGATCTAGCCCTTCGTTACTAAATGTATTTGATGTACAGGAGAAAATTATTTACCATCGATGGTCTCGCATTGAATCAAATTATTATAGTTCTGGCCAGTCAAGAGTCCGTTGCGATAACCTCTGACGATACCCTCGATATAGCTACGAAAGTATTAGTTGTTGATGGTGCAAGTCGTGATTTTGTAACCTTACCCATTCTGAACATTGAAAAATAGACCTTCCATTTTGTTTTGTTGTCTGCAAACACAATCTGTTGTCGTTGCTTGAGGTTTGTCTGGACCAGTTGAGTTGCCTTCGTAAGAGCTACTTGCATGGATTGCGAGTGGGTTCAACGAAGTTGGTTATTTATCACCTGACCATACGACTAAGCCACGGTGGGCACCCCTGTTTGGCTCGAGATTCTCATTAGCGTCTGCCACTATTTTTTGCTTGAACAAAAAATTATTCCTTGCGAAAAACCTCAAGCTTCAGAATTTTGGACGCCCATTGAACAACATCACCACGAAGAGACTTGGATTATTTCTTCACAATGGCGCCTTTATTTATTCTTACGGAGACGGCGGCTGGATTGGTCTTATTTAAGGCTGACAAAAAGCTTTTGAAGAAAGACGATGTTGCTTCAGAAATTGAGACCGCAGAGGGTATCAATGGATTGTGAGTGCAATTGATTCAATATCGCACATTTCCAATTGAGATATAGACTTCTAACATATTCAATTACACAAATTAGATTGAAGCTCAAGCAGTTTCAAAAGTTCGACAGTGCCGCGACAGCTTTGGAAGAGGTTGCTTCGTTGGTCGAGGGAAAGGTTTCACCTATGCTTGCATCACTGCTCGATACCTTGAAAGATGAGAAGAAGGCATCTTTGGCAGTCGCCGATCCTAAATTGGGCCAAGCTATCAACAAACTTCCAGGTTTGACTTTGACACCAATTTCCGACTCGAAAACGAATGACATTTTCCGTGGAATTCGCGATCACCTCCCCTCTTTGATTCCAGGTCTCCTTCCCGAACACATCTCCACCATGTCACTCGGTCTGTCGCATTCTTTGTCGCGCCACAAGCTGAAGTTCTCTCCCGATAAGGTTGATACTATGATTGTACAAGCTATTTCGTTGTTGGACGATCTGGACAAGGAGCTAAACACGTACGCCATGAGAGTCAAGGAATGGTACGGATGGCATTTCCCAGAAATGGGCAAGATTGTTAACGACAACTTGGCCTATGCTAGAGTCATTTTGAAGGTTGGTATGCGCGTCAACACTTCCAGTACCGATCTCGCAGATATTCTCCCAGAGGAAATCGAAACTGCCATCAAAGCTGCTGCTGAAGTTAGTATGGGTACTGAAATCACCCAAGAAGATTTGGACAACATCAAGCTCTTGGCTGAGCAAGTTGTTGGCTTTACCGAATATCGCCAACAATTGTCCAGTTACTTGTCTGCTCGTATGCAAGCAATTGCCCCCAACTTGACTGAGTTGGTTGGTGATTTGGTTGGAGCTCGATTGATCGCCCACGCTGGATCTCTCATGAACCTCGCAAAGAGTCCTGCCAGTACCATCCAAATTCTTGGTGCTGAGAAGGCTCTGTTCAGAGCCCTCAAGACCAAACATGACACACCAAAGTACGGTCTTATCTACCATGCTTCATTGGTTGGTCAAGCTACCGGCAAGAACAAGGGAAAGATCGCCCGTATGTTGGCTGCCAAAGCAGCCATTGGTCTCCGCGTCGATGCTTTATCAGACTGGAGTGCACAAGGTGAAGGTAAGGGTGACAATGTTGATGATGAAGAGAGATCTGCATTGGGTGTCACTTCACGTGCGAAGATTGAGCGTCACCTTCGAGGACTTGAAGGAAAGCCCCTTCTTCCTCGAGGTGTTGCTGTTGGACCAAATGGCAAGAGCACCTCAGCTCCTGGTAAATGGGAAGTCAAAGAAGCCCGCAAATACAACGCAGATGCAGATGGACTTGCTGGAGACGAACCAGCTGCCGCAGTTCCTATTAGAGAGAAGAAGAGCAAGCAGTAAGTTGAAATGCTTCATCCCCACATGTTACGTTCAAGACTAACTATCTTTAGACTCATCGAAGAAGTCGCTGAGGAATCTGGTTCTGATTCTTCCGATGACAGTGATGCTTCTGAGAAGAAACCCAAGAAGGGAGACAAGGAAACTAAGAAGGCCGAGAAGGCTGCGAAGAAAGCTGAAAAGGCCGCTAAGAAAGCCGCAAAGGAAGCTAAAAAGGCTGCAAAGGCTGAGAAGGAAGCAAAGAAGAGCGCCGTAAATGGCACACCAGAAGCCAACGGCAGCAAGAAGAGGAAGTCAGAAGACGATGGTGAAAAGTCTGAGAAAAAGAAGAAGAAGAAGAGCAAGGATTGATTGATTGGACGTAACTCTTCTTTCAGTTCTGTATCATAATGCTTCGGATATCACGAGTCTGGGCGTATAGGGTTGCTTGTTTATAAATTGGCGTAGGGACGGCAGTGTCAGGGTATTGTCTTTAGGCTTAGATGCTTTTGCATAACACATATTTTGCATTGACAAAATAGTCAGCACTTTCAATAAAAGCTTTGTTCAAAATAATCACTGCAATCAATCTTCTGTCTGCTACAAGAAAATAGTCTTGTGTTTCCCATTTGTCTACAGGGATTTACACAAGAGACGAACACCATTATACTACTACTCTGTACAAAAAAAGGATAAGCTTTGAAGTGCAATGTTTATGATAGCGTTGTAATCAAAATCTCAATCTCAAAGAGTCAAACAGAATCACAGAAGATATGACACTGTATGGGGTTTTCCTAATATCACATCACAGATTGGTGGTTTTGAGAGAAGGACCGAGAATTAGCCGAACGAATACCAGATCAGAATATCGCGAGCCAGCTGCAATAGCTTCCTCCTCGTCATAATCTCATAAACACCATGGCAGGTCTCAAACTTAAAAAGCGAGCTCGCTCCCGATCTCCTGAACGCGATACCGATAAAACTTACCGCAAGCGATCGCGATCGCCCAGAAGAGATAGAAAGAGATCACCAATTAGAGAACGAGAGCGCGAACGTGAGCGCGAACCTGAACGAAGAAGACCTTCGCCTCCAAAAGCTGCTGCAGATGATGATTTAAATATAGCTGGGAAGTTTGGTTCTTCTTCTACTACTAAAGCGCAAAAGAAAGATGAAGAGAAACCAAAAGATGCTGAGCAGCCAGAGGAAGAAGATACACTCGACATAGCTAGCAAATTCGGCGCATCTGCATTTTCGAAATTCAAAGCTTCTTCTGCCTCATCTTCCTCCAAATCTAAGAATCAAACTACGGATTCTTTGTCTGCTCCTGTTAGAACACCTGCAGCTTCGATATCTACACCCGTCACTGCTTCGGCGGCGCCGTCGAATGAACCCATGATTATTGTTCATGTTAATGATCGATTGGGAACGAAAGCTGCCATTCCGTGTTTGGCGAGCGATCCAATTAGACTTTTTAAAGCGCAGGTAGCCGCGAGGATTGGTAGACAACCGCATGAGATTATGTTGAAGAGACAGGGAGAGCGGCCGTTCAAGGATAAATTGACGCTGGAAGATTATGGGGTGGGTAATGGGGTGCAAATTGACTTGGAAATTGATACTGGGGAGTGAGCGGGAGATTATGGGAGGAATGGGATGATTTGCGGCCAATTTGATAGATTTTAATTTTGGAGAGTTCGTCTATAGTTTTGACTATGGCGATGGGGAAATCATCGTTGGTATCAAAGTACCTAGGTAGACTTTGATCTGGCGGGCTCGGAAAAGCTCACGGAAACCGGAATGGCTTGCAGATCTGCCACGTATGCATTCGTCAAAAATATACAATGAGAAAGAGAAACTAGCATTGATACATGATACTCTCTGCTACTAATGAAAATTTAAGTTATACCAAACCATCCATCCTACATCTCCAATTTTGCGAGATCCAAATCTTTGACTTTCAGCCTTGTCTGGATCCAAAAAATAAATGTCCTTATCGATAAGCCTCGTCTTCCTAAACCAATTTCCCATCACAACAGACAATATGCATTGAGCAACTCTCAATTTTCTACTCTTTAAACCCTCCCAACCATTCTCGAGAGATTAATTGATGCATCAATCATGCTCACCTGTCCCCCAACCCTCTTTATCCGCCACCCATCTCCAACAACTATCGAATACACCGTCAGCACCCGCCCACCTCTTGCACTCCCCCTTCGCATTCTTCTAATCCTCACACACATCATCCGAGTGGTCCTTGCCCTCGCGATTCTCCTCCTCCTATATACCTACTACCTGACACTTCTCCCTCCCCCGAGTATCCTCTTCTCCCTCACCATCCCTCCGTCCATCCTCCTCCGCCTCCAAGCTCTCACCACTCTCCTCTCACCCCTACTCCTCGTCCCTATCTCCCTTGCTCTCCTCCTCTTCCTCACCCTGCGCCCTCATACCTCCGAGTCACTACTCATCCTCCGCCATCTCGGTCTCCAAATCTCAAGTTCCCCGAAGACATACCTGAGTACTACGAAAACAAGATTTATCCCGAGTCAGAAGATTCAGGATATCTACATTAACGAAGTATTTTCGAATTTTGAGGTACGCTATGTGTTAGTGGTTGTTGTGGAAGGAGAGGGAGAATTGGTTGTTGTTTTCGAGAGGCTGTTGCCTGGGAGGGCGGTGTTGGAGAGGGTTTGGAGGGGAGGCAGAAGAGGGTTGTTTGGGGGAGAGGAGAGGGGTGGTGGGAATGGGGATGCGAATGGGGGAGTTAATGGAAGTCTTGGAGGAAAAGAGACTCTGACATAATAAAAGTCTTGCTGTTTGCCCTGACCTTGGGAACGCGGTTTGAAAAGTCTTCTAATGTGGATGGTGACGATATGCTTTGAGTAATCTGTACGAGATGAGCGGGCGTCTGGGCTGTTTACATGGCATCTACAAACTGCTTGCGTTTTGCGCTTCAAGATTGGCGTATGGCATAGAGAAAGAAGTGTCTTATTAGCCTTGCATTACGAAGGAAGTACTGGGAATAGGAGGATGGGAGGGCCCGACAACCAATTCCCAGTCAAGAACTGGAGGGGTTAGCAGGAGACCTGATTATGTCATTAGCGTATTAAGGACATCTGAATTAGGGTCGATTCTCATCCCCTAGTCCGTAGAAGGGCACGCAGATGGGCAAGTGGGGTGTCAGGCGGGAGGAAGACGCATGATATGTCTCAGAGGCAAAAAGGACCCATATCTACCCCTCTCAGCCCATCGTCTATACCTATTCAGGTCTCAATTTACACACATCAACCACTCACATACAAGCATCTGCATATATTTGAAGAGTCCTTGTATTTACTAACTCCATATTCATCTCCAGTCCAGTTCTAACTCCAGTAGCCATCCAAAACTACTTGATAAATCCACGCCATTTCATTTTGCCTTACAAAATCCCACCCACCCCTCACGCCTGTACTCAAAGCAACCTCGCACGCCCAAGAAAAATACAGTCCAATCATTCTACAAACAAACCCTCCACCCGAATCCCACGGTCTCAGTCTCACACCATTTCATACTATCTCATTCCAACCACACCACATACAGCTCCACAGCTGCACAACCCGGTTCCCAGGGGCCCGCAGAACCATGCATAAACGGGAACTACTGCAGCCCTGGCGTCTCTTACCAGCTACAAGCACTAAAGAGCATGTTCAACCGGCGCTGCTCCATCCCCGCACTGGGGACAAGCGCTCCACCCAATCATAATCGTCGTTACTTCGTTAGAAAATGCTCTGGAGTTCCGCTTTGTGTGAAAAATAAAAGCAGCGCAGATAATAATTCATGGGTTGCGGCTAACATGAACAGTATTAAGGAAAAGAAAAAGGGAACTTTTTTTTCGTAAGCGATGGATAGAAGTAGGAAATATGCAATATGAAGGAATATGCTTTTAGTACTCTGGAGATGGGTAACGCTCGCGAGCTTGTGCATATTCTTTGGGGTGTCGTTTTGAGACTTTGGTTTTCATGGCTCTGGAATGTTGTTAGATTTGATGTTTAGTGGAATAATAGAAAATTTGACTCACCCCATTCGATGTTGAGTCCACTCTAAATTCGCCTTCACCTCCTTGGCATCTTGATAACCTTCTTGCAATCTCGCTCTGGTTCTCGCAAGACGTTGTTGTGCCAATGCTTGCAAATCCATGATTTCTCTATGTTTTGCGTTCAACAAGCCAGATCTGATGGAAATGTCAGTGGGTGAAAATTGAAGGAAAGTGTTCAGGACTCAATTCTCACGTTTGTGCTTGGACTGCTAGAGTGCGATCTAAAGGAAGAGGATCAAATGCGCCAGAAAATCGATCTTGCATATATTCTTGCAAATCGACACCATTGGCGGAAGCGGTGCTGTCATATTCACCACTTGCACTCCCAGCATAACTACTAGAGGTAGTAGAGTAAGTCGAATGTCCATATGCAGGCGTCATGCCTGAACCTGTAGTGACAGATTCTGGAGCTTCTGGTGGCGAGACACCATAAGTCGTGTTTTGTGGAGTGTAATAGGAAACTTGTTGAGATTTTGTAGGAACAGGAATGGGGAGGGAAGTGGTTTGGTAGTAGGTTGCTTGGTAGGCCATGATGTAATAGCGTATAGTTAGAGTGAAGTTAAATTTTCGTAAACGACAACAAAGAACTTCAGACGAATGATTTTCTTTGATATGGATTCCTATGCAATGCAAGCAATAGGAAAGATGCAATTGTAATATCTTGATGGTGATATGATACAATGGTCAAGCACAGACAGTAATTTGAGGGTCAATGGGTATGAGACGTCTTGTTTCTTAGACAAGATAAAGTTGTTTGTATGAAGCGGTGTAGAGTTGAGATTGGATTTGAGAATGGATTAAAAGGAAGAAGAAAGAGATTCTTTCGAGAAGGGTCTCAAGCTTCCTTTTATACACGGCCAGTTGGCCCAAATCACCCAGAGAGGACTAGCATTGAGGAGGGGGAATAGGAAAATTGTCTTGTCCCCGAACTTCCTTACCTACTTATCAATGACCCCGCGTCAAGAAGGAAGAGATAGGCTGATCGTTTGCTCTCTTGCCCCTTTCCTTACTAGTCCATTACCATCAGCCTCCTCCAATCCACCCCTTCCATCCTCTCACGTTTAACCCGAGCCCCTCCAGACATGCAGTAGTATCTCTCGATGGGGTGACCCTTGAAGGTTCTGGCTTACGCAGTTGATGTGGATTGGTGCAAGAGTAGAAAATGTTATTGATCAGAGATAGGCCATGTTGCTATTGCATATGCCGAGGGGATTGGATTGGTGGGAAAGGGTGGGAAAGAGGAAGGAATGGAAGGGTTGGTGGTAGTAGTGGTGGTGGTGGTGGACAAATTCATTCTCTATAATTTTCGAGGAAACGAACTATGCCGTAAAAGGATTTAGTAAGCATGAAAACCGACGAACAAACGAGCAAGCGCGCTCCCGCTAGAATAAAAGGATTAATCAAGTGAATTGAGGTTCCCGACATAAAAGCAGCATTGGATGAATATACCATGTAGGATTTTCCTAGGGTTTTCCACATGAGCATCGCTAGTAAGGTTAGGTGATCATGTAAGGTGGTAAGTAAGGTGGTAAGGTATCAAGGTATTGGTAAGGCAAAGTAAGATAATCATGGCGGAAAGATTTCTGAACGTTCAATGGTCAATGGACTTTCATTTGGGCTTCATTGCAGGAATATTAGGCTTTAGGACCGGAGAGAAGATCCTAACATGATACAATTGTTAAGTGACATATTTGAGTAGTTAGTATTGCTCAGTATCTTGGTAGGTACAAGTGGTACAACTCATTTGATAGTCTCATAGCTACCTAAGTACGTTGTTTCCAGTTTTGAAATCCTGAAATTTTCTAGCAAGAGAATTGTACAATTGGATAATTGGACAATTAGCTTTTCGCAAATCTCCTACTTACAGAGAGTATGACTTACTTTGGTTTGTTCCTATCTGTATGCGTTGTCAATTTGAAGATTCTACCGTTTAATGCCCTCCCAACACGCCCCCCTTGTCGGATTGGGACGGGAATGAGAAAGCAGGCGAATAGAAATGACACCAACATTGAAGATTCCTGAAGGGATTAGACATCTAAGGAAACCAATCATTGTGATATCTTTCACCTACTTTTCGGTTCTTGAGAAACTACCGATACATGCAGGACAAATGGTCACAGGATTGCTTTTGGTTCCAGAGATCTCGATTCCTTTCCTGGCATTGTGAACAACACTCCTGCACGTCATGACAGTAAAAAGTACCAAAGACATTGATTTCTGTGACCAAGAAACCATTTCCATTAGTACAACATGGTAGCTGGATGTTTGCAACTAATCCGAGGATCATTGGATTGACAGTGGTACATTACTCATGAGGCCATCAAAGTGGTTTGATGTCTTACCAAATAGATTACATTTTGTTGTTCCGAAGCTGGGTCCTAGCCTGCAGATATATCATGTTCCATGTGCATTTTAGTGTTGAGCTACAATCAAACGGCGCGACAGCAATGTACGAACGTGAGAACGGTTGAACTGGCAGGGCTGTGTTCATTTATCCTGTCAGCGAATGATATCGACCAATTCTTCGAGGTGGTATGCGTAGATTGTCCTCACATGCTTCAAGTTCGGAATTTTCGTCAAATTAGCCACGCATCTCTCACTGCATGCTTATGCTTAGTGTTTAGAATTTTCGAATCGTCCTACTAATACATCCATATTGTACTCCCTCCTTACATGACATAAACTCGGTGTGAAGTGAACCCATATATGCACATTAGAAGATGCCTGCGTTATCGCCCCATCTCATCTCTAGAACGCTCGCTATGTTGAGCTACCCGAAACGCCTCCTATGCCTATGATTATATTGTCCTTTATCCTCCTACCCAAATATCTTTAAAAATCCCCACATTCCAATCCCACTGAGTACCGGAATGGTCAAGTTGTCATCCCACCCAAATATGTCTACCACCTCACTAGCTGCCGCTGTGAAACCCGTCCAAACACTCATTATACCTAAAGCCAACCCCCCAGAAATGACGCTTTGAGCCTCATTCAAACCAATGAGATCTCGGATTCCCGCAGGAAGGAATAGGTCTCCCGAGAACATAAAGGGCCAGTCCAGATCATCGGGAAAGGGGCCAGTTCTTGGTGCTAACCACCCCCAAAATACGGCTGCGGTGACCACGCCAACGGCGAATGCAGCGAGAGATCCAGCAAGTGATTTACCACGTCTCAACCGAGGAGTATATCTTCCGTAGGCCCGTCCAAAAGTACTCGCCGCTGTATCACACCAGCTCAAAAGAAGTATTCCCATTACACCAACATCTTTCGGAAAGAATCCAAGAACGATCCACGCGCCAAGTAAATACCAGATGACACCATTCCATCCATCGTACTCGGTTTCCCGCATAAACGCTCCAAGTAACCGCACGTATAAACCGTTAAAGGCCGGGTAATTATGTCGGACATAATCCACAGTTGCTATGGGTATCAGAGCACCCATTAGGTAAGGTGTAATAGCATTTGTTTGGACACCAGACATGTAAAACCAAATTGTGAAGAATCCTATGGAGACGTGCAACACCTTTCTTGGTATTTCGTGGCGATGTATAAACGACCTCCATTGTCTGTGGATAGGTATAAGCCCCAAAGGACTAGGGCTTCTGCTGAAGTCTCTCCAGCTCCAGCCAGATCTTGCGCTGGTGGGGGATAGATGTCCATTTGACGCCTTTCCATTTGTACCGTTTGTTTCTTCAGGTCGGACATTATCTGTAGGCTTGGACGACTTTTTCGTATTCTTGACTGTGGAAGTTGCTACTTTTCGAGGTTTCAGAGGACTTCGGCTCCTTGTCCTGGATCTGTCCAACTCAATAGCTGAGTCCTCGGGGTCTGTTTCACCCTCATCTATCCCTTCGTCTATTGGGAGCGTCTGCGCTGCCAGCTTCTTTCTCGCAGATCTGGTCATAGGTCCAAAATACTCTCCATTTTGGGACAATTCCGACGGGGTTGGAGAAGGAGATATGACACGCGGAGTAGCCGGAATATCTGAATATGATCTCGACATTGCAAATTTGGGCAAACAAGGCACTGGAACCACACCAGCGAGTGTCCGTCGACTAAAGGTAAATGTTCGCAATAATGAGATGGTAGAGATTAGATGTCTGTCTTTCCGTGAAGAGCGTTCTATGTCGTTGTGGGGAGTAGTATCAAATGAATTTATTGTGTGAGCAGGCACGAGAAGTGCAGACTGAGCTGCATTGTTGAAGAAAGATATGATGACTTTTTGCGCCCCGTGAAGACGTGGCACATGGGATATATGGTGGTTTCTTTTTTAAGTGTCAACGGAGATTGAATTAAATGAGACACGGACTGATAAGACGACCCGGACGCGGCACAGAAGAACTGTATAGAAGATTATTACTCTGAATTCCTGAAAAACATGACTAAGCACGCGACCACGAACACTTTTACATGTGAAATTGATGCTGGATAACTGAGGGAAGAAAATGAATTTACTAATATCATAATGTAGAATGGAATATTCTTACCTTTTCCAATAATCCTCTCGTTGTCTCTATTTTCCTGTCAATATCAAAGTTTGTTTACTTTACCAATGGATAAATTGGTAAAGTTTTATGTATTATTTCTTGCATTCATCCTTCTGACGTAGAACAGAAAGTGTTTGAACCTTGAATGGAGGGAGAGGTGCGTCCCCGACAAGGGTCCCGCTCGTTAACTAGGTAGTCGGACCCGGAAAAAAATGTTGATTCCGATAAGATAAGAAAATTCCATCGACGGAAAACTAAAAATGTAGAAAAATCCGACAAGCTTCATACCATTACAACATAATCATGGCAGTTGAGAGCGAGAAAAAGAAAGACCCAAGAGCTTGGGATGCGCTCACGCCTTCATTGGCGGAATGGGTATTAGACGCCATCTCGTCAATGGGGTTTGAAAAAATGACACCAGTACAAGCATCTACCATTCCCTTGTTTATGGGGAACAAAGATGTCGTTGTTGAGGTAGGTCTAGTATATCATCATGCAAACCTCGTACTAATAACTTCAAGGCTGTCACAGGTAGTGGGAAAACTTTGTCCTTTTTGATACCCGTTGTGGAAAAGCTATTGCGATTGGAGGAACCTCTAAAGAAACACCATGTGGGAGCTATAATTGTCTCCCCAACTCGAGAGCTCGCGACCCAAATTCATTCGGTCCTCACATCCCTACTCAAATTTCACGAGCCATCTGCGGAAGCACTGCAACCATTGGAGGAAGGCGAGAAACGAAAGCCCTCGTCTACCCCGAGAGTAATCCCACAACTTCTACTTGGGGGTACAACTACTCCGGCGCAAGATCTAAGCAGATTTCTCAAGAACAGCCCCAATCTCCTCATCTCAACGCCTGGTAGACTACTAGAACTACTTTCGTCTCCGCATGTTCATTGCCCACAATCTTCCTTCGAGGTTTTAGTGTTGGACGAGGCAGATAGGTTATTGGATCTGGGTTTCAAGGATGATTTACAGAAGATTCTCGGTCGTCTGCCGAAGCAGAGGAGGACAGGTCTTTTCAGTGCCAGTGTCAGTGAAGCAGTAGGGGAGATAGTCAGGGTTGGTCTGAGGAATCCAGTGAAAATCGCTGTGAAGGTTAAGGGGGCTGGAGGGGGTGACAAAATGACCCCTGCAAGTCTTCAAATGTCTTACCTACTGACTCCACCAACCCACAAGTTTCCCGCGTTACTGTCTTTACTTTCACAGCTTGAACCAACTCCTCAGAAATCTATCATCTATCTTTCGACTTGCGCCGCCGTCGATTACTTCCAACCTTTACTTGAGGCAGTATTGCCTAAACAATTTGGCTTGGTTTCCCTACATGGCAAGCACCCACCTAACGTAAGGCAAAGAAATTTCTCCAAATATGTTACAGCAGTCACCCCGACGATACTTCTCACTACAGATGTTGCCGCAAGAGGTCTCGACATACCTCAGGTCGATTTAGTGGTACAAATCGATCCACCGTCAGACCCAAAAGTGTTTCTTCACAGATGCGGAAGAGCGGGTCGAGCTGGGCGAAAAGGATTGAGTGTCATTTTCCTACAACCAGGACGTGAGGAAGATTATATCCCATTTCTTGAGATCCGTAAAACCCCAATTACACCCCTTAAGCGGCCTGAAATCAGCACGACTGATGAGGCTGCTAAAATTCTAATTTCAAAGATGCGCAAAGAAGTTCTCGCAGATCGTGCTCTTTATGATAAAGGGCAACGTGCATTTGTCAGTTGGGTTCAAGCCTATTCGAAACATCAAGCAAGTAGTATATTCAGAGTTGCAGATCTTGACTGGACTGACCTGGGCAATGCTTGGGCACTTGTAAGGTTACCAAAAATGCCTGAACTAAAGAAGTGGGAAGGTGACAAAACCTTGGGCATCAAATTAGATATGTCTGAGTATGCATATAAAGATAAGATCAGAGAGAAAGCAAGAAGAGTGGCGATGGAGGAAGCGAAGAATGCCGGGCCATACGTACCAACTGAAGAGCAAATAGCAAAAAGAAAGCAAAGGGAAGCTTGGAGTCAGAAACACGAGAAACAAGATCTCAAAGAGTTGAAGCGAGAAAAGAAGAAGAGAAAGAGAGAGATCGAAAGGCTGGAAAAGATGACAGACGAAGAAAAGAAAGAAGAGCAAGCAAAGGAGAAAGAGTTACAGGACTTGATAGAGCAGGTGAAAAAGAGAAAGATCGAGGATGATGCTGATGTTGAGTTTGAGGGTTTCGCTGATTAGCTGGAAACTCATTGTATTCTAGATCATTACTGAAATATACCCTTCCAATGTCTGTTACTTAATTGAATATTGCTATTAAATCTCTGGAGATGTTCTTGAACGTTACCCCGTTGTACAAAATTTAATCTTGTTTTTGTACGTGTAGCAAGGCAGCCGAAGTCCAACACCTCACCACATATCTGTGTACGTTTGCATATATTTCCATTTCTCCCCTTAAGCATCCGATGCTTGTTCTCATGCTACAGCAAGATTTTCGCCGCAATTTGTATCCCCTATCACGTACAGCCCCCAGACATTGTCTCCCTAGAACCAGAAGCAATCTCGGAAGAACGACCTTTATATATCCTCCTTTGTAAGTATCTCCATAATCCTTCGCCATTCAAACCCAGGTACCCTTGGCTTCTAGTCCCATCCTTTCCTCCAATTTTGCCCATGGATTCTCGTTGAAACTTCGGTCATAGTATCCCTCATACCATGTCTTGTTAAATGCACCCCGTCCACTCGGCCTTGAGCTTGCCATGCTTCCTGCATCACTCCCTCCACCCTTTCCTCCCCTCCTATTCCCACTATTTTCTGGAAATCCTATATTACTATGCACTGGTCTTTCTGGAAGCCCATGTGGGTGTCCCGAAACCGGCTGCGATGTATTCGTCTCGGCAGAATCAGGGGCAGCAGCTAGAATTGCATCAACCTGCTCCTGTGCTTTGCGCCTTTCCTCCACTACCGCCGGATCATCTGATATACCATCCTGACTTAAGGCATTTTCCCCTCCCTCGATCCCATCAAATATTGGAGGCGGCGCACTCGTATCCAAATATCTTGGTCCCTCATCCTCTGCATCTTCATCATCCCCCAAATCAATCTCTTCATCGTTCCTCTTCTCCTCGGCTTTCTCTCCCATAACCCTCATCTTTCCCAACGGAATTTGATTCCCACCACTTCCCAGTCCCTTCTTCCCTCCCCGATCAATCTTTTCTAACTCTGCGCCTTCGACAAATGCATCCGTCGCAGCATTGAATTTACGTTTCTTAGAACGAGAGTCTTGATTTCCGAAGCCAGAAAAGCCCATCATGGCTGCCATAGCGGCAGAATCATCTTCAAGTCCGATATCATCCATGGTTTATAACGCAGTGATTATGGTTGTTATTGCTGAGAATAAAGTTGCGGGTGTTGAATTGGTAGGTCAGCCTCGCAACCTTTAACTTCTCGAAAGGTTTGTTGTTGCACGTCTGATGGAAAACTCAAGTACGGGGCTTCTGGGAAATGTATAAATTTTATTGCGGATTTGAAAAGAAGGAGATTGCGCGATCTCGAAAAAAATTGTCCCGGGGATTTTGACGGATTTTTTGAGGTGCGACGGCGAGGGGCGTTTTGATGGTTTTTTGTTTACTTTGGTGAGGCTAGGCACATAGCCTTGCAGAGGGTGGTTGCGATTGGATCCACAGGAGCTTCGCCAAGCTCTGATTCACTTGATAAGCTCCCAAGGTTCTCGATTACTTTCTCGCATTCACTTTGATCTGATGAGAAGAAACTCATTGTTCCTTGATAGGGAACATAAAAATCTTGCTGTCTTTTGCCCATAACAAATATAATTAAACACAGCCAATAAGCATAATGTCCAGGTAGGGAGTGTACGATGAGCGAGCTTGTGCCAAAAGTGCAATACTTCTGTGGCGCTTTGTTTCGATTGATCGTCACGTCTTAGCTACATCGCGCCTTACAAAACGAGAACCTCATTTTGTTCGAAGAATCCGGGATTGAGAGTACATGTTGCTTTCGCGCATCGCAGAAATTTCTACATCATAATCTAATTAGTCGCAGACATGAATGACACATCCAGAGTAATCATCCGCTCTCCCCTCAAGTACAACCACCCCTCACCTACCTTCACCACTCCACCTCTTGAATGGCTTCAACACACCTGGTCTGTCACGCATTCCACACTTCCCATGTGGAAAAAGGCGAAAAATGTTCGCATAACCTATAAAATCATACCACCCACCTCTCCTCATGCAGCGCCTCTTCTTGACGACGAAGTGACTTCTACACCCACCTCTAAAACCTGGATGCCGCAGCCAAAAAGTATACAAGGTATCGATACATCAGATGGGGATGGAGCTTGGAATTGGAGAGGAAAGGGTTGGTTGAAGATTGCGAGTAGTCACTGGGAGGTTTTGGGGTGGGGAGAGAGGGAGATTACGGAGGGGCCACAGAAGGGTGAGAAAGAGAGATGGGTTGTGACTTGGTTTGCGCCGAGTTTATTTACACCGCAGGGGCTGGATATTTACAGTAGTCGGAAGGAGGGTCTGTCGGAGGGAACCTATAAGGAGATTAAGAAGGCACTGGAGGAGATGGAAGCTGGTGATTTGGGAGAACTGGTCAAGGGAGATATGTTTGAGGTTAAGATTGAGTATTAAGGGTATCAGATTAAGGCTATAAGTTGTAATATTAAAGTAATAGATCTACTCATCTCTATGATGATGACGATGATGATGTCGATGTCTGTGTCGATGTCGATCAATTTCATCCCTTTCTGACCTCCGGCGATGTCGATGCCTACGCTCTCGTTCCTTTTCATGCTCCGAATCAGTTCTATGATGGGAGCTTCGTGACCTCTTTTCAGGTCTGTCCAAACTAAACCCCTCCAGGTTGTCGTCGTCTATATCGTCAGTGTGTCTTCGCTTTCTTTTGTTTCTCCGCTCCTCTGCCTCCAGTTCCTTGACTTCTCTCTCTTTCTCTTTTATCCACTGTTCTCTTTCCCTTTTTACCTGTCGTACTTGAGCAGCACCCTGTCTCATGGCAGCCAATGGATCGTTTGAAATAATCCTCGCTGCATCTCTTTCTTTTCGTCTTGGATCTTCATTACCCCATGCGTCCTTGCCTGGGTTATCTTCATCGATAGATTTCACCTCTGCCGTTGCTTTCGAATACCATGGGTTGTCGAGAGCTTGTTTGAATCCTGCCGCATTTGAAAATCGCATCGTATATTGATCTTCGTATTCTTTCTTCTTCTTCTCCTTTTCCTGCTCTACCTCTGCATTCTTCTCTACTCGCAGTTTTTGTGGGCGTTGTTGGGGGAATAAATCGATATGTCCCGCGTGGTCAACTAATGGCGCATCGGTAGATTTTCGTAGAACAATTTGACGTTCATTCTTTGAAGACTGTGAGTCTTGAGCTGCAATGCGCATCTCGAAGTCAGTTTCGTTCTCCCCATTTCGTTTCCTAGGTCTCCGCTTGCGTTCTTCGCCGGAGCTATGTGAGCGTCTCTCATGCGGGTCATTATGTTTTTCTGGCTTGTCTTCTATTGATAGAGTTGTAGGTATTTCTCCTCGTAGTATTTGCATGCGACGTTCGGCATCTAACTCTTGCATCTGTTGCTCCTCCGCCTCCTCCTTGGCTTTTGCAATAGCTTCATCGCGCCGAACTTTCTCGATGTTATCTTTGTTGTAGACATTCCACGACTTTTTGCCCAACAAATGACTAGTAAAAGTCAGTTATCTGATCTTAATAATTGAAATAGCGAAACTTACAGAGGCATTATTGGTAAACGAAGTTGTTGATCCCCGCTTTGGACAAAGAAATCTAGATCAAGGCTGAGAGGTTGCGATAAGGATTCTGGGGTTGGAGAAGACAAGGCCAATCCAATCATTAGCTGTGCTCGGTCGCCGGTTGCTGATGTCAAACCTGCAAGAGACAGCAGTCGCAACACGAATGGCACTGTCCACTTTGGAAACTTCATATTTTCATATTTTATTCGGAATTTCAAAGAAATAGAAGATCTGATCTGATACTTTATTCACTTACAAAATTATATCTGTTCTCTTTGACTTTGAGTCATTGTTGAAAGGACAGTTTGATTATCGATATCATAAGGCTGGTGCCTCGCGAAATCCCCTGAAGATCAACCACTCCGCAGCAGGCTACGGCTACGACTACCACTACCACTACCACTACCGACACTATTTTGCCTCGTGTACATAAGAAGTTAAAACGAGTTTCACCTCCACGCCTTCTCTGAATACTACGAAGCCTCTCGTATCATCTATCGAGTCCCAAAAAACAATCATTCTTCTTTACACACGAATTTGCCAACGAAATTATGAATCTCCGCAATAACCTATTTGGCTCGGGGCCAAGATCATCAAGAGACCAACCACCTGCAGGTTATGGCAGGGCTCCAGCACCTCCTCCCCGGGAAGACACTGCCATGGGTGGTTATGATGGAAATGGTTATGCAGGACGTCAAGAAAAGTCTCCTATGACCTCTCCAAGACAAGCTATGCCCATGAGACAACCTGTTGGTGGCAGAGGCCCAATGTCTCCCCGAAGAGCGCAGCTCAGTATCGCCAAAGTCGAAGATAAAACAAAGGCAAATCAATACATTTTTGGCAATTTGTGAGTATTTGTGGTTAAAATTTAATGCACTGCTTGTACTAACATTATTACAAGATCCGCCGTATCTCCTATGGACTTTCCACCCAACCAGGACGGATCAGATATATATCTCATATTGAATGGCATGTTTGTTGTTACTGCAAGACCATTGGATGGCTTCCCTCCAGGATGCATAAGTTTGTCGGATCCACAAAGAACATGGTGTAATGTCGGAATGCTGGATAGAATAAACGCTGAAACATACGATCCTTTTCACCAAGGCCCACAAGCTTACCTTGGTGCTCTGGACGTCGAGGTCGGATTTGCCTCAGCGAAGAAGTTTACAGATGTACCTTACGACCAAGATGAATTAGCTAGTGTATTCATCAAGTGGTTCGAGAACCAAGTCTTTGCTCCTGGTCAAAGGTTGCTAATGGATCACAAGAATGTCCCTTTGTCATTTCTTGTTAAAACTGTTCAATTGTCTGATTTGAGTATGGAGAAAAATGCCGAACCGTCTCCCACTGTCAGCGCTCCACAAGCTCGGGGTATTCTAGTTAGAACGACGCCTATCACATTCTATAAGGATTCAAAATCACCCATTAAGCTGAAGGGATCGAGTAAGCGGCCGGCCGCTAATTCCATCATTGCACCGGATTTTAAATTCGAAAATATGGGTATTGGTGGTCTAGATACAGAGTTCAGTGCTATTTTCCGAAGAGCTTTCGCTTCTCGTATTTTCCCCCCTGGTTTAATCGAGAAATTGGGCATCCAGCACGTGAAAGGTATTCTTCTGTTTGGTCCTCCGGGTACTGGAAAGACACTCATTGCTCGTCAAATTGGAAAGATGTTGAATTCAAGAGAGCCAAAGGTCATAAACGGTCCCGAAGTACTTAATAAATACGTTGGTCAATCCGAAGAAAATATCCGAAAGCTTTTTGCCGATGCCGAAAAGGAGTATAAGGAAAAGGGAGACGAGAGTGGTCTTCATATTATCATTTTCGATGAATTGGATGCTGTTTGCAAACAAAGAGGAAGTGGATCAGGTGGTGGAACTGGTGTTGGCGACAGTGTAGTCAATCAACTGCTGTCTAAGCTCGATGGTGTTGACCAGCTCAATAATATTCTCCTTATTGGAATGACAAATCGTATGGATATGATTGATGACGCTCTTCTTAGACCTGGACGTCTAGAAGTTCACATGGAGATTTCACTGCCAGATGAAGCCGGCAGAGCACAAATTCTGAAGATTCACACTTCCAAGATGTTGAAAAATGATGTCATGGATACAGATGTCGATGTTGCTGAACTCGCTCATCTAACCAAGAATTTCTCAGGAGCTGAGATTGGTGGTCTAGTCAAGTCAGCTTCATCGTTTGCTTTCAATCGACACGTCAAAGTTGGCACCGTAGCAGGTGTTAGCGATGATATCGAAAATATGAAGGTCAACAGAAGCGATTTCATGCATGCTCTTGATGAAGTTAAAGCCGCGTTCGGTGTATCTGAAGAAGAACTTGAAGGCGCCATGGCAGCAGGTATCTTGCCTTTCAGCAGGCACATTGATACCATTCTCAAAGATGGACGTCTATTCATAGATCTAGTAAGACAGTCACAAACAACATCGCTCCTCTCGGTGCTTCTTCATGGACCCCCTGGTTCTGGAAAGACTGCCCTCGCAGCAGCTATTGCCAAAGGTTCAGAATTCCCATTCATCAAGCTTGTTTCCGCCGAGAACATGGTTGGATTTGGTGATGCACAAAAAATTCAATATCTCAACAAAGTCTTTATGGATGCATACAAATCTCCTCAAAATATTGTTGTTATAGACAATATTGAGCGTATTATCGAATGGGTTCCTATTGGTCCCCGATTCTCAAACGCAGTGCTACAAGCCCTTATGGTTCTGCTCACTAAGCAACCACCAAATGTAAGTTCTCTACTTTATTACCTACACCTTTATACTAAAAAATTTCTAGCAACGTCGCCTCTTGATTATAGGCACTACGTCTCAACGCAGTGTCCTCAAACAACTTGATCTCCAACCCATTTTCAACCGCGAACTTGCAGTCCCCAACGTCAATACTTTCAGTGAACTAGCAACTATCTTGCGAGAAGTTAAAGCTTTCGACAATGAAGGTGATTTGCAAGAGTCCCTGAATCAACTAAAACAATACACGGAAAGTGATAGTGTAGGTGTGGGCATTAAGAAGGTGCTTTTGGCAGTTGGAGAGGCGAAGCAAGAGAGAGGTAGTGTACCAGCCAGGTTTGCGGATATTATGGAACAGTTGATTGCTAGCGGGAGGGATTAGATGGACTGAGATAGGACTATAATGAATAAGTGTGGAGAGCAATAGAGGAGGAAAATCAGTTTGCATTGAATAAGGACATGATAGATAGGGTTATGATAGATGATAAGACGAGCCGAAGAGTATATCAGACAATATATTGATTAAGCATTCATTGATCATAACTCTTTAGACAAGTTTCCTCATAATTCTTAGACGAGAAGTGCCTGAAATTGGTAGTAAAATTGCAAGTGCAATCGAGACACCATACCAGGAAGTCTGAACAAGTTGTCTGTAGTTGAAGTGTAAAATGAAACCAAAATAATTGTGACAGACCTCTTCAAACAGAGGGTGATGTGATACTTAATTCAACGACCGTCTATCATTTCTGTTGTGCATAGGGCGACAAGAGAAGTTCGTGAGGTTCAAGCCTTCTTATCAACTAGAACCAACTTTTGCGTCAAGTGAGTTCTACAGCGCCACATCTATGCGTTCTTAACTTCTGCGAATCATTATCTCCAGGGCTCCATTAAGTAAATCACTACCGTGGCGCAAATTTAAGCATAACACTGGCATAATTCATGGTCGAAAAGGCGTTTATGATAGGCCAACCGCTCATTGTCACTCGTTCAACCTATCAAGTCTAAATGGGTACCGAACCTTAGTCATGATGGACCAAGATGTTTTCGAGTGAATGCTTTTTGGGACTACATGACATGTTCAGAGTGAACAGAGTTGTTCATGTTGAGGGGCACAGGATGTTCGGTTGGTGATCAGATATTACAACATGCAGCTGTGCCCCCAACCCACTTCCTGAACAACGTGTTATAGCCAACAAATCATCAATCGATCATTCTCTATTGCCATTATGGATTTCCTCAAAGCCCAGTTTACTAAGATTTCTAAACTCAAACTTGTGAATCTTTCAAAGAGTACCCTTTTTATTACGGGCGCAGATTCCGGTCTCGGATTAGAATCCGCTCGTGAGATTCTTCTCTCCAAGCCAGAACGTCTGATCCTTGCTGTGCGCGATATCAAAAAAGGCAATGTCACAAATAAAGAGCTACAAAATGAAATGATGTTAAGCATTCAAATCGATGTGCACAAGTTGGATCGTTCGAGCTTTCTTCCTGTCCAGAATTTTGTCAAAGGACTTGAGGGTCAACGTATTGACATAGCAATTCTGAACGCAGGTATGAAGCACTTTGCTGGTGTAATTGTCAACTCGAACTAATTTTGTTTCTATAGGAACATGGAAAACAAAATTCACAACAACTACAGATATGTCATTACGATTATTAAAACAGCAAGGTAACTCCCTAAGGGCTTATTTGACGAATATTATAGTCTCATTCTAGCTGGGTGATCCCATATGATAAACTGAATAGCCTGAAATGTGATGGGTTGCCGCCTTCATCGCTTGCCTCGGCATTCTTCCGTGCTTAGGCTGCTTTCTATAGATAAAAGTCTCTCTACATGTGATGTTGACATTTGTTCTCATGTCAAGATACAATAAGGAAAGCTTTTGGGTCGCTCACTGTGATCATACGCCACCTTACTGCGTCTACCCCATTTTTTCTCAAGTTTAAGTACAGAAGTTCATTTCCAATATTTTCTAAGTCTTTTCAAAACAAGTGTATTCATACTTTGCCTCCTATTCCATCTATTATATTTCCACCAAAACTTTCAACGATGGCTTCATCTGTGACGTACACGGCTTCGGATGTATTTTTTGAGGCTTTAAGCGAGTTTCGTGTAATGAGAATGCTCCATATTCAAAGCATTGACTAACAATTGCAAGTTTGGCATTCAAGCCTGCTTCGTTAATCTTGGGTCAGACCATCCCAGTCTAATATAATCAATGTTGAAGGGACAGAAAGAAAAGAGAAGAAACTTTCCTACCATCTACACTTGTCCTAATGAAGTACATATCATTTTATCTTTTCCGTTTGTCCAATGTTAGTTGAAGACTGATTTAGCATTATTGATAAAGATGGTTGCGCTTTCTATGGCTGATGGTTGGGCCTGAGCGACTGGACGGGTACAAGCCGTAATTGTTCATGTTGATGTTGGAACTCAAGCTCTGGGGGCTGCCATGCGTGAGTATCTCTGATTCTTTGACCTAAGCCCAGAATCCTCAGGCATAACATAAGAAGCAATTACTGACTCGCCTGTCTTCATAGATGATGCTAACACAGGACGAGCACCTGTTTTGATATTTGCCGGCCTGTGCCCATACACTGAGGACGACGAAATACCTGGGTCAAGAACTGAATACCAACATTGACTACAGGATGCCCCAGACCAAAAGGCTCTCGTTCGACAATATAATCGCTACGTAGGAGAGTTTCGTACGGGTTCTACCGTGAAGAAGACTGTTGCACGAGCGCTGCAGTTTGCTATTAGTGATCCCAAGGGACCCGCATATCTGGCCGGAGCCCGAGAAGTGATGGCTGAGACTGTTCAGCCTCAGAAATTTGATACTGGACAGTATGGACCTATCGGCCCCTCTGCCTTGCTCCAATCTACAGTCAAAAAAATTGCAGATGCTTTGTTAAATGCTAATTCGCCTCTCATTATCACCGGATACTCCGGTAGAAACCATGCTTGTCCTGCAGAGCTAGTCAAATTAGCAGACATGATTCCTGGATTGCAAGTTTCAGATACCGGTGGTTGTGACATGTGCTTTCCAGCCTCACATCCTGCATACCTTGGCTTTCATCTCAGCTTTGACAAATCTGCAACCGAAGCTGATGTGATATTTGTTCTGGATTGCGATGTTCCATGGATTCCTTCTCGCAATCGTCCTCGTGAGGATGCAGTCATATATCATGTCGACGTCGATCCCCTGAATTCAACAATGGGGTTGTATTTTTTTCCTGCATAAGGGAGATGGAAAGTGGATAGTTATATTGCTTTAACCAAAATCAATCAATATCTGACAACCTCAGAGCTTGCGAAGAAAAAGCTCGCAGACGAAGAATCTGCAAAACGACATAAGGTTGTTGCCAAAAAATACCAAGAACGCATGGAATCCATCGCTAGGCTTGCAACCCCGCCTTCCGATGGCTCGCTAGATATTCATTACGTTGGAGCCGCGCTAAAATCCGCTGCACCACGGGACACAATATTTGTCGTCGAGGCCGCAACGTGCGCAATGCCTTTATCGGACCAACTACAAGTAGAAATCCCTGGCTCTTTGATTAATTCTGCTGGTGTGGGCTTGGGATGGAGTGGTGGAGCGGGTATGGGGGTTAAGTTGGCATAAGATGCTGCCGGGACTCCAAAGTTTGTTTGTCAGGTCGTGGGTGATGGAACCTATCTATTCACAGTTCCTGGAAGTGTATATTGGACTGTATCTCGATACGGTATACCAATTTTAACAATCGTGCTCAACAATAGAGGTGAGTGTCTAATTATTGTCATCGATTCTAATTTTGATACGTATGAAATTATTCAAAATATGCTAACTATATGTGATACAGGGTGGAACGCACCTCGCCAATCGCATCGGCTCGTTCATCCAACAGGCCTTGGTGCCACAGCGTCGAATAAGGACATGCATATATCATTAGATCCTTCTCCTGACTATAGCGGAATTGCTAAAGCAGCAGCTGGGGATAATTTTGGCTCCCTTCAGGGTAGCCTATTTGCGGTGAAAGTTTCTACAGCTACGGAACTAAGTAATGTGCTCAGCAAGGCTGTGAAAGAGGTTCAAAATGGGCGTGGAGCTGTTGTAGAAGTAGTATTGAATGTTGATGAGATGGGCGATTTCAAAATGCGTCGAGAATGACCACCTCCGAAACGAGATTTTTCGATTGTAACTTCCAACTTGTCAATCATAGTAAAGATGACAATTTTTGCGCAGCGTGTTTTGCTATCCTTCTTGTTTGAAAGCTTTTTGATCACTGTAAGTAATGAACCATGCATGTTCTGAATATGTTTCTCACTTTTACTATTAACAAAGTTACATTACTAAAGCCAGTCATGAATTTTTATCTTAAATGATATCTAGATTGCAATTTGAATCTCGATCATGGATTGCCATCAAGGCTGACTGCATCTTCTGGTTGACGCCACTTAAACCCTTCTGGCATCTGTACAGCTCTCTCCCCTAATCAATTTTGCAAACGATCTTTGTCAACCCATTTATGAATTGTGTTACCATTTGGCGTAGGTTTCTGGCGATTTCTAATCCAGTACAATGGAATGATAGTTGTATCAAAATTGCACATCGAATACTGTCTAGTATAGTCGACACAGTGCTCATAATCGCTCATACATTTCGGGTATCTGAGCTTTGGTTTCGGCGACCGAGGGTAGAACATCAATATAGTGATCCTGCCAGATATAATGCAAACAATGAAGGGTATGGGTGCCGGAGGCAATAGCTGGATGACCGCCGCCAACGGATGCAGGGTACTGTACAGCAGTGAGATTGTGTCCGACGCGAAGAATATCAGATGCGGGCACTCCGATTTCACAATCTAATCGAAAACTATTAGTGCTGAAAAGTATTTCCAGAAGATGACATACATTTCATGATATCGTGCCATGCTTCTTGGACTTCAGGAGTAGGTGGACCTTTGAATGGAGAATTGTACCATATTGAGCACATGAACTTCAATCTTTGGAAAGCATCGTCACCTATAGCTTCTAAGATAGTTGTTTATTTGGCTGGTCAGAATAAAAGCTAATGAGTGATGTGAATCATTCACTTAGGTACTCACTATTTTGCATTCTATTATGATTCATTGTGTCTAAAGGCGTCGGGTTCTATTAGGCCGGTTTCCTGCTTGCACCTTGCACCTGCATGATTGCGCCGTACTGAGGCGAAGTGTGCTGAAAAATCAAATACTATAAGTTTGTTTGTACTTTTTACCCAGAGCGATCTTACTTACACCTTTTATCCACAAGACAAACTTCCAAGTTACTCCCAATAATCTCAAATCACTTTCATCGCTTCCAGAGTCTTCCATTCACCGGAACAATAATGGCTTTCTTAGAATTTTTCAACATCCTGCTATTCCTTGGTTTATTTGTGAGTCAAACCTGGCATTGATATACTAGGCTAATCATTTTCAAGTATGCAATTTTTTGTCTAATTGTCGGTTTATACAACGTCACATTTCATCCTCTCGCTAAAACCCCTGGACCTCGATTACGTGGTACCTTTTACTTTCCAACTTACTGGGGCAAGTGAAACACCTCTCATTGCCATTCACCTCATAGACTCTTTAAAAAATGCGATAAACTTGCTAACCAAACTGGATTCACAGAGATTTGGACAGGTGACGGGGTGGCAAACCCAAAGAAGCTTCATGATCTTTACGGAAATACTGTTCGAATATCTCCCGCAACAGTATCCTTCAACAATTCTGAAGCATGGCAAGGTATGGTCTGGCGAATTTTTGGAATGAAAACTAGTCCTTACTCTTCTATCTAGAAATCTACGGCCAGCATCATGGAAAGAAACCTATCCCAAAAGATAAAGATGTGTATTTCTCTGGAAATGACGGAGTCGCAGACATCATCTGTAAGTTGATACTTCATAGCATGTTCAAGAAAGGATTTAAACTGACCAAATCAGCATCCAACGACGTAGAACACGCTCGAATCAGACGAGCACTAAGCCACGCCTTCTCAGAAGCTTCTCTTCGCGAGCAAGAGCCTCTAATGAACGTATACTTTGACCTCCTCACCCAGAAACTCTACGAGCAAATCGACAGTCCCTCAAATGACAAAGTGAACATTGTCCGATTCTTCAACTTCACCACATTCGATTTGATCGGCGATCTATGCTTCGCCGAATCTTTCGATGCTCTCCGCACCCAGGAATACAATTCTTGGATTGCCAACATCTTCAAGGGTCTCAAGTTCGCACGTCTATTCCGCGTCATGCGTGCCTACCCGCTGCTTGGAATACCCATTTTGGCTATGTTGGCGCTGTTTTCTGCACTGCAGAAGGCGAGACACAGACACATACAATACACGCAAGATAAGACTGCTCGTCGTCTAGATACCGTTACTGATAGAAGTGATTTCATGAGGTTCGTAGCCCTTAGTATCGCCAAACAATATCAATAGTACTGACTTTAGCGCAAATAGTTATATTCTTCGTCATAACGATGAGAAAGGGATGACGAGAGCGTCGGACAAGCTTGGTGTCGTACAACCGTTTTCCGTGGGACCCAGGAATTACTTAGGATAGGCATGTGAATCACGTTCCCGTGTAAGATATACTATTAAGTCAACTACCCCACTTTCCAACCACCCCCTCTTTTCGACCACCTTAAAAACCATACCACTTTAAGTAATTATAAAATTTATATTTTGAATAATTCAATAATACTTTAATTAATTGATTTGAAATTTTAATATTATTATAATTATAATATAAAGAATCAATATATCAAAAAAAATATTATAAAGGCTTTTAAAGTGATTATAAATGGAGTAAGTATATAAAAAACTAGTTTGGATTATAATATTTTATATATTATATTTTATAATTGAATATATAATAGAGTTTTGTATTAAAAAGATATCTAAATATTTCAAAAATTATTTTTAATTTAGAAGAATCAATTAGTAGAATGAATATTAATATAAAAAGCTTTTGGTATTAGCTTTATATATTATTAAATTAGAGAGATAATAGAGTACCTTTTTATTATATAAAGAAAGGATTCTTTATTTGAAAAGAAATAAATATATAACTTTTTTTAAAAACATTTTAATATTAGAATTAAGAAATAATATCAAATTGATTCTACATAAGTTTTAGATATTATATCTAATATTATTAAGAAATAATTCCGGAATCTTACAATCCCTGAAATCAAGATTATTAAGCTAACCAATAAATAAAATATAAATAAAATAGATATAATAGAAAATCAAAATTTTAATAAATTAATAATAAAAAATATTAATTAAAGATTTATTCAAAAAAAACAATCTGAATCTCGAATTTGAATCTTTTTTATAAAATATATTTTATGTTAAAAAGAGAGTGGTAGGACAGTGGTTGCATGTATTAATGACTATGTAGATTGACTTATTACTTCGTAGATCTAGACTACAAAGTGGAAGATATATATATATATATATATATCATAGCTTATATAATATATTATGTAATATATATTATATATTTCCAATACTCTTTTAAAGAAATTACTCTCTTTTAGCTTTTGTAGTTGAGCTTTTAATTTACTATAAGACCTAATATATTTTTATATCTTTCGAATATTATTTTTGTATATGGCTTTGTTAATTTGTTTATAGCTATATTCTTAGTATTAATATAATTAATATTAATTAATTATTTCTCAATAAGGTTTCTGATAAAGTGATAGTATATATTGATATATTTTGATTGTTTGTATAGATGAGGATTTTTAATTAAAACTAATGCTTTTTGATTGTTATTAAGTATTTATATTATATCTTTATTATTAATATACTTTGAGTGTTTTAAGTTTCTTAAGAGTTGAATTAGTTATTAGTTTTGCTTTATAAATATAACTACTGAAATATATTTTGCTTTTATATTTGATATTATTATAGATATTTGCTTCTTACTTGCCTATAAGATTGATCCATTATAGAACATAGTTATATCTCCAGAAATGCTTTTTTGATCAGCTTTATCAAATACCTAATCTATATTTATATAAACTTTGATAATATATTACAGAAGGTTATAGGCTTTATATATAGTTGATTAAACTCCTCTAGGCTTAAAATATAGTTTCTGTTTAATAATTGATTTCAGATATCTTATAAGGTTTTTAAATGTAATGCTATAATATTTTGCTGGGTTGAATATAGCTTATACTAATTTTTTGAAACTAAAAGTAATATCTGATCTTATATAAATTATAGAATAAATTATATTATTAATCACTTGTTGATATTTATAAACATCTATAAATTTATTATCTGAATATATAGGTTGTAATTAATTGTAATTAGAAATTGATATCTTTTTTGGCATATATTAATCATAAGGGATTCCGAATTGTATAAGTATAGTATCCAGGTATTCTTTTTGATCTATTATTAGAATTCTTTTTTTTCTATTTTGAATAATACAGACTCCTAAGATCTTACTAATCTCCCCCAGATCCTTAATATTAAAACGATTAGATAATTCTTGATAAAACCATTTGATGTTTTATCTCTATACTACAGTTACAACAATATCGTCTATATATACTAACAATATTATTTCCCTTTGATAATTAATATATAAATAAGGGTTAGCTTGGCTTTATATAAATCCAATTTTTATAAGATGGTTTTTCAATAATAAGCTTTAGTTTCTATTAGTTTATTTCAATCCATAAAGATTACAAAGTGTATAAAGAATGTATCCCTGCTTTACTTATATTCTCTGAGAAGGGGCCAAATAGATTTCTTCTTTCAAATATAATTCCATAAATGTATTTTTGATATCGAAATGTGAACACTCTAAATTTTCTTGAGTAATAATTGCTAGGAAAAGGCAAAAAGTATTAAATTGGATTGTAGGTGCAAATGTTTTATTATAATCTTTTTCTAAAACTTAACTGAAACTTTAGATGATTAATTATACTTTGAATCTCTTTATTAAATTGTTTTTTGTTTTTATAATAAATATCTATTTTGTTGAAATAAGATTACTTTCTTATAGAAGAATAAACTCTTTTCAAATACTATTTTTAATCAAAAAATCTATTTCTTTTTGGATTACTGTTTGCTATTTTTTTATATGATTTTTGTTTACTATAACTTCCTTATAGGTTTTAGGGATTTTGATTCCCAGAATCTCATTTGTAGATAATACTATATTATTATCTTCAGAAGTGTTTGCAAATATTACTATAAGATTAAAGATAATTATATTTTTCGTTTTCTTATTACTTTATAAAATATTTAGAATTGCTATTATAATTTGTTCGATTTGTTTATCAAATAGCTTATTTGATATAATAAGAAATATTTGGATTATTTTGGAAATACTTTATTCCTTTTGGTTATCTATAATCGCATCTCTTTTTCTCTTACAAAGATTATATTTTGATTTCAAAAATTGATTTTGTGATTTATAACTTTACTAACTTTTGATAAAATTATATTTAAAAAATAAAATCGGAATAAAAGCTAAGGATATATTAGTTTCAAATGATATTTTTATAGATAAGGTTATTGAAATTACTATAAATATATTTAATATTTTTTTTGTTTATTCTAATAAATTGGGTAGCAAATTGGGAATAAGGTGAATATTACTGTTTTTGTTTTTGTTGAAGCGAGAGATATTTTTTTTGTTGATTTTTTTAGATAGTTGTATTTTAATAAAGTTTGGGATTATTAAATTTAAAGAGATTGATGGGTTGATTTAATTAAATGATATTTCCAAATCGAATTTTGGTTTATTGTGGGAGTTTTGGTCTAGTTTTATATTCTTTGTTTTTTGAGATTTAGTTATATAATTTTTGAATCTCAAATCCATATTTCTATTTCTATAATTTTCATCGATTATAATTTGAAAAGATCAATAAATATAGTCCAATTCAAGTGAATATACTTTTATATATTTGATTATATCCTTCGAATACTTTAAGAATATATTGATTCTTATAATATCCCGCAATTTATTGTATCTTTATCTATTTAGAATTGTTTTAGAATTAATATAAATATAATATTGATTCCCCTAGATCTTATATTTATTAATATTTGATACAGTACTAATAAATGTTTTCAATAGGCTTCGATTAATTCCATTTGAGTTTGGTTTAATACTAATACAGTTTCGGATATATACATTATGCTTTATAGTTTTATTCCAGAATTTTAAAGGTAAGTAAACTTCTTTTAATATTACTTTTATATTAGTTTTTGTTATACAAATATTATATACAGTCAATCCATTTTGATGTAATAATACTATCATTATAACTTTTGATTGTATATCAGATTTCCATTCTCAAATTGATTATAGTAGTTCTGGGGTATTATCAATTCTAGTAGCGATTATTGATACTTTTATATTAAATTCGATTACTTATTTTTATTCTTTTAGTAAAAATATTATATTATTCTTATATTTCAAAGAAATAATTCAATTTACTTTTGTTGCATTATCGATAATAAGAATAAAGTATTTGTATCTTCAAATAGATTTTAGAAAAAGGTTAACTATATCAAAATAAATCAATTCTAATTTTTTGGATTTCTATATACTCAATTGATTTAGGATTCTATTGATTATTTTGGTGAAAAAATATATATTATATATATCAAAAAATGAGGGAATTTTGATAGGTTTTTGAAATATAATTATTTTATATAGATTTCTGATTTTATTGGGGTTAAAATGATTAAAGTATTAATGTTATATTAGATATCTCTCTTTTTCTGATATAATTAGTTTTTTAGAGGTATTTTTTATACTATTTATAATTTTAATAAACAATATAGAGTTTTTATATTCTAATTTTATATATGAAATAATATATATTCCATCTTTCATTTTGGCTTCGATAATCTTATTATACTTATTATCTTTTAATATGAAATATATCCTTTTTAAGTTAAACCTTTTTTCGAATTCTGTTTTACAGATTTTCTTAGTAGAGAATAAATTGACTCCTAGTCTAAGTATATATAAGATTTTATTCAATATTATTCTTGATCTATTCTTATATACCATATCTACCATTCCTTTTTTGTATAAATATATAGCTCCCCCACCAATTATTATCTTTCGATATAATATAGTAGTTAGGGTTTTGAAAAAAGAATATTGATTAAATATATATAATATAACATCAGAATCGGTATATTATAAAAATAGGAATGTTTTATTAATAATTTTTTTAATAAAATAGCAATATTCGGAATCAGAATTATTATCTTTTTTATTATTAATGTTTTTTGTTGAATTTGATTTGGTTATATAAGCTTTATAATTATATCTTTCTCTTTTATTATTCTATAAAGAAGAAATCGATTGTTATTACTTCTTTTTATATTTAGTATTGTATATCAAAAATCGTTTTGCATATTTAAATAAGAGATATTTCTATATTGAATATTCTATTTTATTGTAGAGTTTATAGGGATCGAATATATTAAACTTTAAGTCTATATTTGAGTTTTGATAAAGATTGTGGTATAAATTATTTCTGTTTTCTTTAGTAATGTGTATTATCTTTG